CCGGCCCACTGTTTGCATTATGGGGAGGAGCGAGCAGTGAGCGCTTTGATTCTGCCCTCCTCTCGCGAGCTCGGCATTCGGAGTGTTGCTACGGTGTTACCACGGCAACGCTCTCATACTATCAAGGCAGAGCTCGCAAGGGGAGGGCTCCTGTTCTGCAATGTGCAGAACTTCAAGAGCTGGCAGAGACCGCTGGACCACCAGGTAATCAATATTCTCTCACCCCTGCCCAAAGGTATGCAAGAGGGAGGGGGCAGAAGGGGGGAATCAACATGAATAAATTTAAGAAAACAAAACATGAAATTGCTCTCCCACCTCGTCATTTAAAGCCTTATGTCACCCCTCCTACCCACAAATCATCACTATCCAACCCTTGCTGTGTTACCTAAACACACTACATAATCTACTCACACACAACATCCCCTACACACACTACATAATCTACTCACACACTGCATAATCTACTCACACTATGTTCTCTACACACATACACACTAGATAACTCATAAACACTACAAAACGTACAGACAAACTATGCTCCCTATACATACACACTACGTAACTTACACCCATACACACTACATTCCCTATACACACACTGTGTTCCCTAAACACATACACACTACACCCCCTTTACACACACACACACGCACTATGTTTCCTAAACACATACACACTACATCCCCTATACACACACAGTTTCCTACACACTTACACACTACATTCCCTTTACACACACACTACATAACCTATACACTACATCCCCTATACACACATACACACTACATTCCCTTTACACACACACACACACATTACATAATCTACACACACACTACATAACCTATACACTACATCCCTTATACACACACACACACTACATCCCTATCCCACACCACACTGTTTTCCACACACACACTGCATCCCTATTCCACACACAACATAATGGCATGGCAACTTCAGGGAGGCAGGACACTCTTGTTAGAAATAAGTTTTTACTCCTAATGCTAGAGTGTTCCTTCACATAGGTTTGTTTTTCCCAAATCTATACATGTGGGAGGAGTTCTTCTAGTCCATATATATCTAGAATTTTCTGCAGAAATTGTGTGTACCATAATAAGTACAATTTAACATGATTTCTGAGAGTAATATTTATATATACATGTATGTTAATATGGGTGTATATTATTATATGTGTTATTACGCCTATAACATTTACAAATGTATTAATATATCGTGTATATGCATGATATGCCCAGAAATCACATTAATACGTAACACCTATGTAATGGAGGCTTACACTATGTAATGGAGGCTTGTACTGTTCATTTTTTAATCCATCTATTCCAGAAACTGTATTGGTGGCTCAACAGGGGGACCCATCCATTTGTGATTCTCACTTACTGTAACACAGTTGAACTGTTTACTTGGAGTAATGCATGACTTTGTGGTTCAATGTATGATGATCAGGCGTGGTCTGGTCAAGGAAATCAAACTAGGGACAGTGTGCTGTCAACAAGCTGCTTGCCAGTACAATGATCACCAAAATACTACAAAAACAGCCTCTTGGTTGGTGAGAATAAAATAATTACCAAGAACCAGTGCCAAACTTAATCACAGCAACACATTCTTTTTATCAAATGAGTTACAATGCTGCACTTGTTTATCCAATAATTCCATAACATCCCTATGAATCTAGTAATTCTCTATTTTACCAATTTTAATATTCTGTTTGATAATGGTTAGAACAGTATTTAATATTACACTGCTTTGCCACCAGACTTTTTATAGTTGCTTCTGAATGCCATGTAAAAGTTACTAATGCAATCTTTTTCACTCCCTGTGTGCTCTGTAGAGTAATAGATATGGAAGTGAAATCTATAGATTTTAATATGGGACATTTTTCAGCTCATTTGTGCCATTTCCTTGTGTAGCGCAAGCAAATGACATATTCCCAATGTACAGAGGCAGTGCTCAATAAATGATAACACAGCAGAGCTGTATTAGACAATATGACATCCAACATTAATTGTCAGGTCCTTGTTTGGAAACAAATCAGAATAATAAATTGTTGTTCTTGTGTCTGAAAATAGGTGGTGCTGCAATACTCCTAACGAACACGATGTACAGTGCGTTCACATTACATAGTAAACAAAGACCAGAGGCACAGGAAGACTTTGTACCAAATGTGACCATCAGGCATGCTCAAGCAGATAAGGTTCATGTCAAATTATTATTATTTTTTTTTGCTGTGCAGTAAATCGCTAGAATTGGTTTATAAATGGAGTGACAACAGGGTTTATTAACTAAACAGTGCATTGTGATCATATGAAAATCAATATTACAACATATAGGCCAATATAGCTGCAATGGGGAAAAAAATGTTTTCAGTTCAGTCATTTTATTGTTTAATTAATAAATTTAATTAATGACTAGTGAAAATGTTTTTATTCATAGAATGTGTTTATTTGTGCTATCATAATATACTTCTGTATGTTGATAGCATGTTATTTTTATTTTCCAACGCTAATACATTTTATCCTAAAAATCTTAGTTACATAGAAACATGTATTTTACACATTAAAGGAACACTATAGGGTCAGGAACACAACCATGTATTCCAGACCCTATAGTGCAAAACCTACCATTTAGGTGGCTTGCCCCCCCCCCCCCACCCTCCCTTAGTCCACTTAAAAGGAATTAAAACTTACCTTATTTCCAGCGCCGCACAGGTCCGCCCCCTTGGTGACATAATCACAATTGACGATTTTTTGCCAATCCCATGGGGAAAGCATTGGATTGGATAAAATCGGCAAGGGGCGGGGCCAAATACCATTTTGGACAATCAGCACCTCCTTATATTTATTCAATGCATCTCTATGCGGAAAATTCAGCGTCCCAATGCAGAGATTGGAGATGCTGAACGGCAGTGCTGCCTACAGCACTGAGCCAGGAAGCATCTCCAGTGGCCACTTGGAGGTGTCCCTCAAGGCAGTGTTTGCATAAAAATGCTTGCATATAATGATTATACTCTCCAGAACAACTACATTAAGCTGTAGTTGTTCTGGTGACTATAGTGTCTCTCTAAATAAATTTGATAGATTATAGGCCCAAATTTGTATAACCTTGTCAGTCTTTATGTAATTTATCTGTATTCCTAACATTACATCCCTGATGCCTCTAATCAATTAGAAATTTACTCTCCTCACCGTGTAAAGGAAAAAAAGGAAGATAAAACAAATTACTTACCTTTTCTCCAGTGCTGAATCTTCTTCATCACTGCCGTGACCTCAGAAGCATGATGGGCCAATCCAATGCTTCTCACAAAGGAGCATTGGGGACCTTGCGTGCATGTGCGGTGCTCACCATGATGTGCCTAAGAGTCTGCCATAGAGAATCAGTAAATACAATGATTCTCTATGGCCAACTGTTATGTCACTGCACATGAAGTCACGGTAATTACGGCATGAGAAAAAATGTACATTGCAAAAACTGATAAAACATATTCTTTATTTTTGTTTACCTCCTAGCTTCAAATTAATAAAAATCGATTTATTGTGATGCTGTAATTTCTTTTAGCAAATTCCACAGGTCTCCCTTTTCAACCAGCTACTCTGGCCTTAAATGTGAAATTCTCTTAGAATTTTATTTTAGAAAATAACACTGATATTGTTTCAGACCATTTGTAAACTAATACAGTAACTATGTACACATGCACAAGGAAACTATAATTGAGGTTTGGAGGACAGTTTGGAAATAAATGCACATTTATTTGAGGGACTATTTTACTATAAAGGTGGAATAAGTCAATTGGAAAACACAGTCAGAAATCCCTTACTTGATTTTGAATTATCTCTAATCAATTTAAAATACTTTGATAAGGGTGCTATATAAGAAATATTATCACGTTTATTTATTAAAGTGAGAATTCAAAGTGAATTTCAAATTTAAGGCCAGAGCAGCCAATCTAGAAGTATAGCAGATTTAGGGATTTTTTTCCAATTTGTCCATTTAACCTTAAATTTAAAATTCACCTTGAATTCTCACTTTATTATATAACCCTGTAAGTAAACAAATTACAACACACTGAATAGTGAATAAAGTACAGAGAGTTTCTCTTTTCAAGTGATTAGGTATATATGACACCAGCTTTAAATCCATCATATGAGCATTAGTTCTCTATCTTGTTCTGATTAGGAGCATTATCCTTTCTTAAACCATTCTGCAATAACCTTTGCTGACATGTGACAGCTGGATCCATGTGCTCTGTGGTTTTCTTGGCTTCTGTATAGTACATTCGGCCCCTGATGCCTGAGTCACTGCCCTGATCACTATGAGTGAAGTCATGAATGTGTTTCAGAATATCAGTAGTTCAGAAGGTGTCTTAAAGGTCTAGCTGGATGGAAGCACCAATTCAGACACGTGAAAATTATAACTGAGAGAAGAAGAAAAGACTATGGACATGACACATTTTACTGCAAAACAGCATGCTTTCAAGAAGTTTGATGCAGACCATACTACTTTGTGGGAACATATACGCTGGAAGATAATGCAAGTAGAACATTTTTGTATTGTATACTTTTTTACTGCATAAGGTTATATTAGTGAACATAATAAAAATTAGATATATACAAATAAATCCCTTTACCAAAAAGATAATATTTAACTGGGGTAGGAATTTATGGAAACAGCTTCCCCCATGGAGTTTCCAGTAAACTTATTTCTTAAACAGCATGTGTGTGTGTGTGTGTATATATATATATATATATATATTTTATTATATTATAAAAAAATTTTCTTCAACAAAGTATAATCTTTAACTGTAATCTTTAACTATGTTGTGATTCATTCTGATATAGATCTAGTCGGTTACCCACATTTTGGATATACATAAGGCTATATCAAATTGAAGGTTTCCACACTAAAGGTGAAGATTATATCATCCTGTCATTTGGTCTTATCAGAAATGTTTACATCAAATGATGATTATTAGAAATCTGTCACTACAATGTAGATTCCGGAGTACATTCTTAAGTTTATTCACTAAATCAGTAACTGAAAAAATTAAAAGGGGATTCCAAATATATGGCTAAAATAGTTGATCTGTATACATAGCTCCATTGTCAATTTCCAAACTGGCTTTTTTGACCAAAAATATACAATGTTGTCACTTTTCTACAATTCAGGAATTTGTTAAGCATGATGCTCGGTTCAAAATATTGCAGAGTCCCTTTGTACTCAGAAAGAGCCTGCATGCTATTTGAAATCAGCACTTTTAAAAAGTGTGAAAGTGGACACTCTGTCATCCCCTAAAGCACGTCAAAAAGCTGAAATATTTGAGGGTAATTGGAGTATTCATTTAAAGGGAAACTATAGGCATCACTAAACTTAAGAATGTACATAGAAATCTGCATTGTAGTGACAGCATTCTAATAATCATTAATTGAAGTAAACATTACCTGTCCATTGCGCTCTCCTAAAGGGCAGCACTCTACTCTGTCCTCCAGCTCTGCCTCACTCCCACCTTATTTGATTGCTATCTCCTGTCCTATTGTGTTTAATACCCCACCTCCTATAGACTGTAAGCTTGTTTGAGCAGGGTCCTCTTCGACCTATTGTTCCTGTAAGTTTTTATAATGATCTCATTCTATGGGTAAATCTTCCCCTCCTATAATATTGTAAAGCACTATGGATTTTGTTGGAGCTATATAAATGCCAATAATAATAAAAAACAACCTTAGCTTAAACAGTTGTGGTCTATAAATCATGCACCTACACTCAAGTGCTCAATTCTCTGCCATTTAGAAGTTAAATCACTTTTGTTTCTGTTTATGCAGGCCTAGCTTCACCTCCCCTGGCTGTGACTGACAGTCTGCATGAGCAAAATGTTTTAATTTTCAATAATATGTTAACTTGCTTTAGAAGTTATCTGATGCTCTGTAAATTAACCATAATCACACACAGAAGACCCCTGCAGAGTCTAGAAGATAGTTAAAGGGACACAATAGTCACCCAGACCACGTCAGCTAAATTAAGTGGTCTGGGTGCCAGGTACCTCAGGTTTTAACCCTGCAGATGCAAACACAGCAGTTTCAGAGAAACTGCTATGTTTACATTGCAGGGTTAAGCCAGCTTTAGTGGCTGTCTTCCGGACTAGAGGCGCATTTGCGACGCTGGAGGCATATTATGCCTCCATCACGCAGAGCGTCCATAGGAAAGCAATGAAAAATGCTTTCTTACTGACAGCTTGAATGCGCGCGGCACTTGCGCATTCGGCTCCGCTGACGTTGTCAAAGGGAGCTGACGTCGGCAGGGGAGGAGAGGTCACCAGCACAGATGCAGCCCAGCGCTGGAATAAGGTAAGCTGCTGAAGGGGTTTTAACCCATTCAGCCCAGCGGCAGGGGGACCCTCAGGGCACTATAGTGTCAGGAAAACCGCTTAGTTTTCCTGACACTATAGTGATCCTTTAACAGAGCAGGAGATAATAAACACATCTAAATTAAACAGACTGTGCAATAAAGGAACCTAGAATACCTATGTTCACTTTTCTGTGTTTAGGAAGGCTGTGCAAGTTACATGTAGAGAGGTGTGACTAGGGCTGTATAAACACAGTGATTCAACTCCTAAATAGTAGAGAATTGATCAGTGAGACTGCAGCGGCATGATCTATACACCAAAACTGCTTCATCAAGCTAAAGTTGTTCTGATGACTATAGTGTACATTCACGTGAACATATATATATATATATAATATCTTACAAAAATAAGAAAAAGTACAGAAATGATCAATCAAAAATGTATGCTATATTTCGTCATTATTCCATTGAACTTTGCTTGCTTGAGAAAAGAACCAAACATTGCTGTGTCCTGTCCAATACAACTGCCCTGGATCGCACACATGTGCCTGGTTTTGTTCTAGAGATCACGGGAGAATGGTTGTCTCTGAGCTGGAGCTATGATGTGGTCCTTACTCCATCTGCCTACCTATCTTTTTTTTAATCTACAGTGAATTTATTATGCATCTCCTTGTTGAAATGTCCACATTGTAATACATATGTAGAGAAGATAAACTCTGTAAATGTGTTATTTTTGCATCTTGTTTTAACTGTAAACCAGGCAGTTTTAACAACTGTAATATCATAGAGCAGGCTGTGAGGAGATCTTGCACAGCTGCCTCAAAACCATTCAGGTCTTCTTTTTGACCTGGTATCCCTCTTTATTACTAGTTCTCCTTGCCATTATTTGAGGATAGGGATATGGGGTCGGGGTAGAAGAATTACCATGTTAGAGTAGCAGTCAGAACTATGGTCCAGATTGATTGTGGTTGTCTAATAGGGAACCCATAGTACTTTTGCATATCTCAAAGCTGCATTGGGTGGACAACTGGTAAAAAGGCAAAAATGTCCATCCATAGGGTCTATAACTTTAAGTAAATGCCTCCCACTTAATTGCATGTCCAGCACACATCAGGTATGTTTGGGTTAAATTGGTGTAAGGTGAGGTGTAAGGGAACCCTGTGTCACAAATTTAGACTCTTAAAAGTGGTGTTTAAATTGATTTCCAATCGTACTATGAAATCTGGGAACCAAATTCACATGACCATGCCCCGGTATATAAAAAGAGTAGAGGAGGGAACGAGCTGAAAATAAATAAGAGGACATTTTCGCATGTTACTTCTGGTTTGGACAAAGGACTTGGATCCCTAAGATGGTGCATAGGGGATAATTGGGAAATAAAACCTATTCGTTACTTAAACTGGAAGTTTTCCAAAAATGTTGGAGAATTACGAGTGGATAATTGTCGCGGTACTTACCTGATCAATGCTCTGCCTAGGTCATCCTGCACCACGGCGAGTGTTGATCTGGACGTTTCACCTTCTGGTTCTCTTCTGCCTTCCCAATTGGCGCTTTCATTTGAACTTCCCAAACACTGTTTTAATGCACAGATCGAGAGGCGAATGCTCTTGAGTTTTCTAAGAGAGAGTCATGCTGCACGCTCACGGTGCCCCTCTTATACTAATATGATGCCTAGCATCAATTGCTGTTCTGGCAGTGCCACATCATCACTGCGACACTGCACAAGCACTTCTCAGGCTTTATTACACATCAGACTGCCTTCCAATCATGCAGGATGACCAACCAAGGGCATACCGTGCAGACAGCACCTTGAGCCTGACATAGATGCGTCTAATGATGCGCTAGTTCTGATGGCTGACGGTATGTGCTTTTGAACCTCCTGCCCCACACATACACCGTCACAAATCATCTCACTGTGCAGGTGAGTGGGAGCAGGCATAGGGATTACACCTTTAGTGTTCATGCGCCAACCGCTTGCGACTCCGCTTTAGTAATGTGGAGGATGCTCGTGAAAAGCCTTACTCCACCGTGTTGATCACCAGGCTCAATTAGGGAGGCCGTGAATCGGTAGTCAGGAGTTGCAGGATTCGAACGTTTAACAAAAATCGGGAAAACAGGCAGTCCAAAGCCTGAAGAAGTGGGTCCACGTGGTCAGAGGGTAATGGGAAGGTCCAAGATGCAGCATGCCCTGGTGTGACTGCCATTTCAACTCACCTACAATATCAGTGCCACGCAGCTTAGGCTGCAAGAACATACCAGTGGGGACTGGGATATCCTCACCGGTCCAGAGGGGAAGAATAGGGCCTCAGAAAAATAAATCTTCAGATCAAAGCAGAGGATTGGCCGCCTCCCCCAACTCGCGTATAATTGAAAGCCGCCGAGAAGCCCAACACAGTCTTCCGGATTCAGGCAAAAGCAGGCTCAAAGGTCGACAGAGTTTCCTCAGAGTAATTATTAGGATTAATATACAATAAAATGGGAATAGAGCTGACTGATTTACAAAAGAAAATGAAGATAACATAGTATAATAAAGTTAAATTAAAATCCACTGCGCAACTAGTAATGCAGTCACAAAATAGATGGTAATATACGCCTTTGGACGCCTCCCCTTGGATATTTGAGGGGCTATCCAAAGTTATCTTGCTGCTTCTGCTCCCTCTTGTACGTACCACGTCAGGGATAGCTCTCTCAGACTCATGGTAGTTGTAAAAATAAAATTTAAAAAAATGTTGCTTTATTCAAATCAAAACATAAATCAAAATAAATTTAAAACAAAAACAAAAAACAGGTCCTACGGGTTTCATCTCAATATGGGACTTCCTCAGGGACCCCCCAAAAAAATAAAAATCATAAAATTAAATACAATAATAAACCCTAAGGGAATATCAGCATGTTCTCCATCTCCCCAAGCCTAAGTATATATAAGGCTATTCCATCCTCCGTTCATTGGTGGTTCTGTGGGTGGAACCGGATTTCCAGCTGGCTTCACTTAATCCTTGTATTTCCCGAGTAAATTCAGTCTTTCTTCTTGTTAGTCTCATCCGAAATGTCGCTTTCAGTGCGATCCCTCTCTAATCATGCCCTAATTATAATGGAAATGTCAGGTATATGGTTTATTTAGAGGCTTTCCCCGAGGAGCTCTACTCTAGCCACATGCGACTAGCTTGGTCGCCTGTCAGGCCAACCCTTCCATCCCGCCAAGTAGGCCCCATTTCTTAATATCTGCTCTAAGTGCTTTGAGTCACGTGAAAGAGTGCGATCGGGCATGGCCAAACCCATAATTTTTCTATGTTGATTTTAAGATTAGAGAAATGAGAGTACATGCCTATTAAATGAGGGAGAAACTGAATAGACTCTGTAATGGTGAAAAGGATGTCATCTGCATATTCAGTCTAACCCAACAGGACCCTCTTGACCCCTCATTACACTTAATAAAAAGGGCTCCAGAGTTAGAATAAATAGGAGAATGGACATTAAAAGGCCTGGCAGGTGCATTGTTAATCATCACGGGGGAGGAGAGCTGTTAACAGACATACATGCTGTAGGGAAAGAGTACAATGCCTCTATGCAGTTTAACCATCTGGGACCGAAATCCAGGGCACAAAGTGGTTGTAGAAGTAGGGTCCAATCCACCCTGTCAAAATGGGAATACAGCTAACTGAGCTACAAAAGAAAATGAAGCAGTTTTGGTGTATAAATCATGCCTCCGCAGTCTCACTGCTCAATTCTCTGCCATTTGGGAGTTATATCACTTTGTTTATGCAGTCATAGGCACACCTCCCTACATGTGACTTACACAGCCTTCCTAAACACTTCCTGTAATGAGTCATCTAATGTTTAGCTTTAATTTTTTGCAAATTCGGTTTAATTTAGATTTTCTTATCTCCTGTTCTGTTAATAGCTTGTTAGACCCTACAGGAGCATTCTATATGTACTTAAAGTTCAATTTACAGAGCAGGAGATAAAAAAAACAAAAACTTTTTTTATTTTTTTTTATTCTTTATTTTTGCTGTGCATGGTTTAACATTCGTATATCAGTAATGCCACAACAGCATTCACAAACAGTTTACAAGCACTTATTCGCTAACTGCTGAACAGCATTAGAGAAAACGCACATTTTTTGGTTAATAATGCAAGCTAGATACAAGCTGGGTAACTACGTCTGTCGTGAATTATTTGTCGATTAATAACAGTAGCTTAAGGTTGAATTTTGTTATGTATCACCGCTTTAGTGTCATTGATATGGTTATGCATGACTGTGCTTAAGCGAAGGACATACATTTTGTTCAGTAACAGCATAACATGTAGTAGGTAAAACATTAAATTAACGTTCAGGTTATGATAGATTACGCAGTGCTGACTATAGAGAAGTATGCAGTTCTATTTCGGTTTCCAGCTTAGCTAATATTATCATTAAAGCAGGGTGCCACCAGGCAGAGCATCACACATTCCGCTATCTCTCTCAGTACGTACTAAGCTTAAACAAAAATTAACTATATACAAGGTTATATGCAGAGGTTGTGTATGTTAGTCAACGCATACTGTACATTATGCTTCATATTGTGAACGGCTGGGGTCACCGCCAGCTCCAACTGAGCGCAAAGCGTGAAACAGCAGGGTCATAGTCCATGCCTAGGTGTGGGGAGAGTTCTTGGAGATTACCCTATGAGATCCTATAGTCCCGCCATAGCTTCCCAGTTGTTGGGCATATTTGAGTGCCGTGCCTTGTAAGCCTTGGTGTGCAGTCAAGGGCTGTAGCACCTTGCGGTCAATGGTTGTTTATTCTTTCAGCACCGATCGTGGATGGAGCTTGCTCGGTCTGATGTGGCCCGGAGTGCGCTTCGGGTATTGCCGCTTTGACACGGGTACGTGGTAGAAGTGCTGGCTGTCATCTCTCAGCATGCATGTGCCAGTGTCGCTGTGTGGGGGCTCAAGGGCCCGTAAGGACCTCCTGTGATAACAGCTCAGGTTGTGTGTGTGTCGTCTCAGAGGGATTCCTGTCTCAGTCAGCGAAGTTGCTGTGCAGCAGTCGGCCATTTTGATGAGACCGCGTGGTAGCCTTTCTCCTACTGCTTCGGGCCGCCAAGGTGAGATGCAAAAGCGGTAGCCCGCCCGGTGGGGGCCGGGATGACCCCCCCGGCCCACAGGGGGGGGTAACGGGACCAGGAGTGCGCCAGGCAAATGATAGTTGCTGTCGGGGCGGAGAGCGAGGCAGCGGCCGTCCGCCTCACTCCCTTCCCGGGTTGGCCTCAATCTCTGAGCCCCAGAGTCTCTCACCAGGACCTAGGGCCACCCTGCTTCGGGCGCCCCAGCTACACCGGGACACTCCAGAGCTTCTTGCCGTGGACCCCCGGGTCAGTATAAGCCGGGTAAGATGGGTATATACCCTGAATTTCTTTGATTCCTCGGGGAGCTCTTGTGATATGCAGCCTGCTGGCATGGCCGCCCGGCCCCGCCCCCCAAAAAAACAACTTTTAAAGTAAGTTAACATGTGATTAAAAATGAGACCATTTAGTTTTCATGCAAGCTGTTTCAGTCACAGGCAGGGGAGTTGTGACAAGGGCTGCCTAAACAGAAACAACGTGATTTAACTCCTAAATGTCAGTGAATTGAGCAATGAAACTTCAGGGGCATGATCTTGTTGTGGACAAAGAGATTAACCCAATCCATGTTGGTAAAATGCCTATTTACTCCGTATAACTACAATCAGCATTATTCAACTTTATATGTGATTTACCTAAAATGGCCGCTAGGGAGTTTCCCTTTGACATCGACTAACACCCTCATTAACAAGATGGCGCTAGAATCTGGGGGAGACCTCCAAGATACCAGTGACATCACACCCGGTAGGAAGAGCACTAAATGAATCACTTAACCAATTATTGATGTATTATTCCATGTTATCTCTGACAATGCATATGATGTAATTTTGCTCGTTTTTTTATTAACCTGTAACCTGTGTCTGGTGTGAATTACTTTAGGAGTGTGCACGCATTACTTCTCAATTTGGCCGGGGGCAGATACGCAAGATAATCAATTTATTGATTGATTCCACATCATTTGGCGCCCAACGTGGGGCACCGGTTCTAACCGGTTCAGACGGCCGGAAAACGGGACCGGAGCGGACCTCCGGAAAGTGGGACAGGCGGTTTGCCTGTATTCTCCTATTTTGTGTCGGTCTATCTCCGTGTCCACTTCCGGCTTCCAGAAGGCTACAAGACAGGTAATCTCTTATCTGGTGCCTTTTAAAACGAACCTGTCGATTGTCTATCTGCCTCCTGAGTGTATGTATGCGTGTGAGACAGCTGATGTGTGGTTTATGCTTTATGTATCATTATAGCTTGACTGCCTAGCGGGCAGGGAACGAATCCGCCCAGTGAAGGGCTGGGAACTGCCTAGAGAAAGGCTGGGGATTTATCACAGCTTGACTGCCTAGCAGGCAGGGAACGCATCCGCCCGGTGAAAGGCTGGGAACCGCCTAGAGAAAGGCTGGGAATATTGTCCGCCCGGTGAAGGGCTGGGAACCGCCTAGAGAAAGGCTGGGGATTTATCATAGCTTGACTGCCTAGCGGGCAGGGAACGCATCCACCTAGAGAAAGGCTGGGAATTTTGCTGTACTGTTCAGAGTAGAACAGGGTTTATTTACTGTTTAGTTGTTACTATGTTCGTAGTTATACTGTTCTTTGTTATATTATGTTTTCTATTCAGTTGTAGTCATAGTGTGGGTACCCTAGTAGTGTGTGTATGTGTTGTGTGGCTTGTCCTTGATTCCGGATTATGTGCGAATCTCTACATCTGTGACTCCTGTAAATGTCTTCTGATTAGTCTCTCCACGTTCACCTTTTCCCTTATTCTCTACCTCTCCTGTACTTGTTGCCCAGAGCTGTGTTAGTCACCCACGCTCGCCTGCTCAGATCCGTGGCCACCATCTTGGGTGGGCGGATCCTGTGACTAGTCTATGTTTAGGGAAGATGCACGGGGATCAATTCCTCGTGGCAGTCGAGCACTGTAGACATTCCTTCTTTTTTCCTCTCTCTCTCTCTCTCTCTCTGTCCCTCTTACAGGGAAAGCCTTGTTTGGTAAAAATGGGACAAGAACACGCCAGACCTTCCAAAGGCTATTTAGCTTGTGATATTGTTAAGGAGAGAGCAGGAGAAGAGGCTATGTTAAAAATTAAGAAGATAGCAAAGATTTGTGGTTTTCAAATGTCACCCAGTGGTAGATTACAGCCAGAGTTTTGGAGGAAAATGCTTATTGATAAAGAGGTTGACAAAAGCTGTGGAGGCTTGGTATCGGGTAGCAAGAGGACTCAAGCGGGAGGGTTGGTCAGAGGAAGAACTAGATTTTGATGGACAAACAATTTATGTATATCACAGAAGTGTTTGTAATGATGATTCGTCTCTTTATGTTCCCTGGCCATCGCCCTATGATGGCGCCCAGAATACTGTGAATGAATCTCGCCCCGCCTCTCCAGTCACTGCCCAGTCGCCACCTCCGATTGGCATAGGCCCCTCTGTCCCCACCCCTCTGTACCCCATCCTCGGGGCGGACGGATCCTATTATTACCCTGTCCCTCTCCCACCTACCTCCACACTATCCATTATTCCGCCCTCTCTGCTTCCAGTGCTATTCCCTCTACTCCTGCTCCTTCCTCTCCTCTCCCCACCACCCCTTCTGTCCTTGTTCCAGATTCCCCTCCTCTTCCCACCTCCAATCCTGTTGTCCCTCCCCCCTTCGATCATCGTCACTCATTTCCGTCCTCTCTTTTTCCGGTGCTATTCCCTCTACTCCTGCTCCTTCCACTCTTCTCCCCACCACCCCTTCTGTGCCAGTTCCAGATTCCCCTCCTCTTCCCGCCTCCAATCCTGTGGTCCCTCCCTCCTTCGATCTTTCGTCACTCATCTCTGCCCTCTCCGCTCATCTCCCTAAGCCTAATCAGCCCGCCCCCTCACCCAGTCCGGCTCCTGTCTCAGCCTCCCTGATGGCAACTCTCAGTTACCCAATCATGATCGTTGGGTCGAATGAATCTACCGTGCCGGGACAACCTCATGCTGTAGGCGCTTCTCCTGCCGCATCAGGCTTCCATCCCACTACCTTCCAGTTAGTTACTCCCCAGACCATCGCTGTCAGTTCTCCCGGCTCCAGCCACTCAAGGCCCTAATTCATCAGATGTTGCCAGCTATCGTGGTCTCTCATTCCCGGTTCCCCCCGAGGATGGCAATGTGCAGGGGCTTAGCCCATTCCGTCCTTCGAATAATAGGGTTTCCCAGAGACATGCCACCCCAGCCAACCACATCCCTGCTCTATTAATAGTGGAAGGGGCTCCCCCGATGTATGTTACTTTCAACCCATCCCAAGCTGCAACCCTAGTAACCTCTCTCCCCGACCCTGAGAAGCAGCCCATGCCCTTCTTCCGGAGGGTTGCCCAGATTCGTAAGACATACTCAGCAGCCTGACGTGATCTGTATAGTCTGTGTGAGAAACATTGTTATCTTAGTCTACCTGCCTATGGAGGTTTATTTATATCACCATTGGGAGGTGGCTGTTCCTCATCTCTCTTTCACCAAGTCTCCAGATCTCTCATGGAAAGAACTCGGCCCAATGGCCAAGACATGGAGTACTGCAACTCAAGAACAGCTCACATTGACAGGGGGTCACTAAAAAGGACCATAAATTGCAAAACAGTCGGTTACCCTCGATATCACACAGAGCTCTGTGAGGACATCCCTCCTACAGAACAGGACCCGGACGCCCCCCATGATTGCTTTAAACAGATGAAAATGGAAACAACCCATCTCCCAACAGTGCACAAGGCTGCTCTACCTGACCCTGACTACACTCTGTTTGTGGATGGTTTTAGATTTGCAGGATGTGCAGGGACAATATCATACCGGATATGCAGTCACCACAGAGGACCAAATACTTCAAGCATCTTCACTCCCATCATATAAGTCAGCACAAGAAGCCGAACTAATAGCCCTTACGGTGACATGCAAGATGTCTGAAGGGAAGCGTGTATGCCCTGGGCGTGGCACATGACTTTGGCTTAATCTGGAAAACAAGGGGATTCCTTACAGCAACAGGTACTCCTGTAAAACATGGCACAGCTATCATAGAATTGATGGATGCCTTACTACTTCCTGAAGAGGTGGCCACACTGAAGGTAAAGGCCCACGGGAGGCTGAATTCAGAAGAAGCACATGGCAACCATTTAGCCGACCAGGCCGCTAAGGACGCGGCACGCCAGTGTCGGAAAGTGAACAGAAGAGTGTCCGTCGAAAAGACTCCTATTTACACTATGCAAACCCTACCCACCAATCTCAAGCTCCTAAGAGAACAACAGGCCACCGCCACTCAATAAAAACAAAGCTGGAAAGACAAAGGAGCAACCCTCCTGAATGAAGTATACACAATCAACCTCAAATTCTGTCTACCCAAGAACATGTATCCAGCTGTCGTTCAGTGGGCCCATGGACCAGCTCATTTATCCAAGCAACTCATGAACGCTTTGATTGATAAATATTTTGAAGCACCCGGAATTACCACCTTGACATGAAATTACTGCAGATCCTGTACCATCTGCGCCACATGTAATCCAGGGAAAATAATCAAAGCTGCACTAAACCATTTGGCCAAACCACAGTACCCTTTCCAGAGGATCCAAATTGATCATATCCAAATGTCAAAGAGTGGCTGGTATGAATACGCACTGGTCATAGTGGATATGTTTTCAGGATGGCAGAAGCTTTTCCGGTCGCTAATCTCACTGCAAAGACCACGGCGAAGCATCTACTTACCGAAATCATCTGCAGATACGGAGTTCCTGAACTGATCGAAAGTGACCAGGGTACATCCTTCACCGCGTTGCTAACCAAGGAGATCTGGGCAGCACTGGGGGTAAGGTAGAACGCATGAATGGCACTCTGAAAGCCAGAATGCTTAAAATGTCCCAAGAAACTAACCTACCCTGGCCGGAGAGTCTTCCCATAGCATTGTTTAGTAAAAGGTACACCCCAAGAGGGAGGTTTAGCTTATCCCCCTACGAAATCTTATTTGGAACAGCACCCAGGTTAGGCTGTTATTTTCCTCAGCAACTTCAAATTCAGTCAGATGCAATGGTAGATTATATAACTGCACTCTGTCATGCCTTGACCAAAATCCATGCGCAGGTGTTTTCTTCTATTGCAGATCCAGAGTCAAATACGGGCACACATAAGCTACTTCCTGGTGACTGGGTCATGGTCAAGAAGTTCCTAAGAAAACACACTCTTGAACCAAGGTTTGATGGTCCATTCCAAGTCCTATTGACTACATCTACCTCTGTAAAGTTGGCCGGGAAGAATACCTGGATACACGCCTCGCACTGCAAGAAAGTTCCTGATCCAGAAGAAGCAGATTCCGCCAAATCATGAGCTTCCTGTGCCTATTTCTGCTGCTAGGCCTATTGAAGGCCCAGCAAGTTGCTATTACCAAAGACAATCATGTTTACACAATTTGGTATAATTCTTCAAACACACACGTAGCTACTTTCACCTTTGATTACTGTGATATTGTCTCTTGTACTTTTCCACACTCACAACACTCAGCAATATACAAAGACATACCAAACAAAAAAGGACCTGTATATTTGTGTGACAGGTGACCATTGGGGACATTACTGTAGTACCTGGAAAGCAGCGTGTTGGAATACGGGTCGCCCATGGGGCTACAGACCACGAAGTGCCTTAGATAGGATTGACAGATATGGGAAACCCTTGTTATACAGAATGACCTTATGCAAGCCAACAGGGTCTACCCCAATGAAGCTCACCTTAAACATAGAACATCCCAGCCCAAGAGACGCTGGGGAGTACGTAATGGGAATGTATTGGAAAGGGGGTGGCTCATATAACAAGTTGGGGACCTTCTATTTAAAAGACATGCTTACGTCACCTGACTGGGTAGACTCCACACACACATGACCAATAACCCTTTAAAACCACACATTAAAACCCTTAACCCCTTAAGGACACATGACATGTCTGACATGTCATGATTCCCTTTTATTCCAGAAGTTTGGTCCTTAAGGGGTTAAAGACATGGTAGCCATTGCCAATCCCACATTTGAAGACACTATGGCTGTGGAGACCGGGTTTTCAGATACTAATCTATAGCTTGAATGGATGAGGTATAATGCTAATTCACACAACAAAACTAATTGTTATGTTTGTGGTGGGGCCAGACCCCATCTGGGTACAGTGCCTTTAAATCTACCTGAAGATGTTGAGATGTGTTTCTTAAGCCTCTATGCACAGTCAGCAGTGAATTCATCAGTGTGTGAATCCACCTGATGGAATCACCGTGTACCCAGGTAACCACACTTACGACACAATACATGGAGCCACAGGTAATTTTGTAGGTAAATTCCCTTCTGGCTACTGTACCACTTATCGAGAACCTCCCACTGCCCTATTAGTAAATCAAGTTAAGTCCATGGGAGACATTTATTGGCTATGTGGTGACATGCAGCTCAGATTAAAAATGACTGGCCTGTTGTGGGGAGAATTTACTCTGACCAAAGTTATCATGCCTATACATATAATTTCTGATAACCACCAAGGCCCACACGATTCACCACACACGTATCTTAGAGTAAAAAGAGAAACCCCCAGTCGAGGTAGTTTCGACCCACACATATATATTAATGCCACTGGAGTACCAAGAGGGGTACCAAATGAATTCAAGGCCAGAGATGAGGTGGCGGCAGGATTCGAATCCTTGATCCCACTCATCACCGCTAACAAGAATGTTAACTGGATCAATTATATCTACTATAACCAGCAACGATTTGTCAATTATACTAGAGATGCCCTTCAGGGCTTGGCAGAACAGTTATAGACTACCTCCCAAATGACATTTCAGAATCGAATGGCCTTAGATATGATCCTAGCAGAAAAGGGGGGCGTGTGTAAGATACTCCCCGATACTATGACATGCTGTACCTTCATCCCAGACAATACAGGCCCCAACGGTAAGGTAACCATGGCCATAGAGAAATTAGAAAGTCTTTCTGTTGAATTAAAGAGGAATTCGGGAGTCCCCAATTCATGGGACAAATCGTTTGGATGGATGAGTGGATGGCAGAAAACTCTCCTTCAAGTAAGTATGGCAGTTCTTACTGTGGTAATTCTCTTCCTGATTTGCTGTGTGATGCCCTGTGTGCAGAAATATTTACAGAAGATTGTAGGTCAGACTATTGACCGCACTACACCTACATTCCTACATCAGGATATTGACGATATGGACTGTGACACCCCACACACACACACACCTTTTCAGTCCCACCACCTCAAACAGACAACTACTTCCCTATAGGGATAGTATAGAGACAGCGTCTGTCTCTACGGGCAGGAGTCTGATGCGAGAGATGTAGTGGGTTAGCCGCTACGGAATACCTGCGCAGTGAAGTGTTCGAGGCCTGTTCAGACAGATGAGCTGCAGCCAATTAGGGACATCATTAGGGTTAGTTAGTAGTTGTCTCTCTCTCTTTCGTAATTAGTCATTTTAAGGAGGGACTGTTGTGGACAAAGATATTAACCCAATCCATGTTGGTAAAATGCCTATTTACTCCGTATAACTACAATCAGCATTATTCAACTTTATATGTGATTTACCTAAAATGGCCGCTAGGGAGTTTCCCTTTGACATCGACTAACACCCTCATTAACAAGATAGCGCTGGAATCTGGGGGAGACCTCCAAGATACCAGTGACATCACACCCGGTAGGAAGAGCAATAAATGAACCACTTAACACATAACCAATTATTGATGTATTATTCCATGTTGTCTCTGACAATGCATATGATGTCATTTTGCTTTATAAAGGACATACCGTCCCCTCAGAATAAACATTCCTTAAGTTTTTCATTAACCCGAAACCTGTGTCTGGTGTGAATTACTTTAGGAGCATGCACGCATTACTTCTCAATTTGGCCGGGGGCAGATACGCAAGATAATCAATTTACTAAAGTCGTTTTGGTGACTATAGTGTTACTTTAAACTTTTAGAGCTATAGAAATATTAACATTAAAAAAAATACTAATTGCAATTTTGCAACTTTTATCTGTATTAGAACACATTTGGATATTTGCACTTTTTTAGGGTTATTCATATGTATATTTATATAATGATAATAAAATAGTGAGAAGGAGAATTTAAAGTAAATTTAAAATTTAAGTTCAATATAGCCAGACTGAACAAATTCTCTAAGTCTGCCATGCTTCCAGTTCGGCTATCTGGCTTCAGAGAAGTAGGCCACTGTATGAACACCAACAACTATAAGTCAACATTTTGGAAGTCCCCCTATTGATATCAGTACTGGGTTATGTTTTATACTTGACTGTGTTTGGATGACAGAACAGTATTTTGGCGGGAGCGCAAAGTGATTTACTAAAGTGAGAATTATTGCATAATATTGGAGATTTACTTGCATATTTACACCTAAGGAAATATAAAGACTCATTGTTTGTATGTATAACCTGCAGATTGACAAACATTAGCAAAGGGTGGAGCTCCATGAACTTTGTAAAGTTTGTCATTGGCTGTCTTGTTGTATAATCACCTCCCTCCAGTGTTGTCACTTCCGGAAGCGGCACATGGTCATAGGCAGTCTTCAGATGCCCAGTCTGCCCATTTTGTCACAAATAAGTCATTGGTGTACTGGGCATGCATGTGATGTCATGCACACACTCAGTAAAAGGCAGAAGACTGGAATTTCAGGTGCTGCCATCTTAGAAACTTTTAAGATGGCAGGGCCAAGACAAAAGATCCCGGTGTGACTGGAACAACAAAAACAGTGAGTTGGACCAGTCCATGAGGCTAAAAAGCATGGTGGAGTGAGGGGGGACTAGAGGGAGGGATCCATCAGCTGGGTGTGGCAGAGCCACTTTAAAGTCTGTGTTATCCTTGCATGGCAATGAAAAGCCCAAAAGATGGCTAACCTGCACTCTGTACCAACAGCCAATAATTTCGGTTTAGTGTTGGAGAGCTTGAAAATGAGAATTTGGCAAAGAATCTTCCATATTAACAGAGTGGCTGCAGAGGACCAGACTTTGAGTGCAGGTGACACTTGTCTTTTGAGGAAAATATGGAGATCTAATTGTGGGAAAATTTTAATGTGAAACATGTATTGCATTATTATTGAAGATTTTTTTAGCCAATTGGTGTGTTTTAAATATTTATGCAGTATATAAAATCTTTGGGACATTTCAAGATTACAAGCTTTTCCTATGATGGCTGCTAGGGATGTGCATGGCCAAAAAAATTCAGTTCGCTTTGGCACTTCGGGTAAGTGTAGGGTTAGGAGTAGTGTTAGGGTTTGTAGTAGGGTTGGGTTAAGTGTAGGGTAGAGGTACCCTAACCCTACTCCTAACCCAACCCTACCCTAACCCTACTCCTAGCCCAACTCTACCCTTAACCCTACGCTTACCCCTATCCCTACCCTTACCCGTTTTGCCACTTTTCAGAAGTCTGAAGCACTTTGTCACTTCCGAAATTCAGCCCTTTGGCAATTCGGACTGAACCGAATTGCACATGTCTGATAGCTGCTTCCCAAGGCCCAAAAACTGTTCTCTCTTTCTGTTTGTCTCTCAGTATAGGATGAGAGTTTGGGCAATAATGTCTCTGTCTGTTTATACGTACAGGATAAAACTTTGGACATTGAACACGTGCCAATTCCCTACAAAAGCAATGTTCTGTTTACAAAACATCTTTGTTATTGCACTGCTTTGAAAGCCTGTTCCTTGGGGACTTCGCTAACTCATATCTGTACTAATTGAATCCACTTTTCACTAAATATGTATACCATCTTATTCACAGATGTGCCGGTTCACTCTCCATCTTCCAGTCATTCTTGCAATCTTTCTTATTATAGTAGCCACAGGAAAGAGCAATTTGGAGTATATTTATACTATTGCTACAATTCAAAATGTAACAGCTTTACTAACATTTTATATTATTTTTCAATTATTTTTGCACTTACAGAGTGCACAGCCCTGGCAGCTTAGTTACTTGTCTCTTACAGTCTACCCACATCTTGATATAGCTGTATATAGTAGTTTGTTTGCACCAGTTTGTTTCCAACATTTAACTCCGTAAAGACTGATGATTTCCTATATTTTAAATTTGTGTGCGCAAGAGAGTATAAATATTGGGTTTTTTTTTTTGTTTTTGTTTTTTTTTTTAATGCTGGCCATCCCTAAATAAAGAGTATGCATTTTATATCCTTGATGTGATACGCTTGTGCATCTTACGCTTCTGCATCTTTCACCATAGGAATATGAACATAATTGACATTAGCCTACCAGGGTTGGCTAATGACACCCCAATAATGCTGCTGGAGGTGGATTACATCTCCGCAGGAAAAAGGTTAAGCTCTGTATGTGCAAAGGTTTGAAGTAAAAATGCTGCACATATGGACCACAGGCACCAAGAGCACTATAAATGGTGTAACTCTTTAAGGTAGAAGAGTAATAGTGATTTTATATATCTATATTGGACAGCTTATAATCAAAGCAATGTGCACTTTGCCAAGCTACAAGGTGGGAGAGACCATGGAGAAAACTTAAGGTGTAAGAGGAGATTGAGAAAGAAAGACAGACACACATGGATGGTTAGAGCAATGGTAAGAGAGGCATAAAGGTCATAGGGAGATGAAGATACATAACTGCTAAGGAGATAAGGCAGGAGGGGATAAGCAGAGATTGGGGAATATACACAAATAGGGCAGAAAGGGAATAATGAGACACAAGGGGTCATGGGGAGAAGGGTGATAGGACAGAAAGAGACAAAGCGGAAGTGATGGTTTGAATTTATCATCACTGGAAAATAGTGTCTGCTTTGTATAGAAAACTATAAGACTGCAATTTGACTTGTGTAGTCAAAGAATTTAAAAAAAAAAATGAAGGGAGGTGGGAGACGGAATAGAGTGGCACAACGGGGTAAGGCATTGAAAGAGAAGAGATGTGCAGCATTACATGGTTGCATTGTGTGACAGAGGATTTCCCTCAGTCCCCCTGACCACCAGACATACAGGCTATCATCAGGTGTTGGAAGAACTGGAGAAAAGCAGAGCATGAGTACGTTTTACCGTGCTTTGGCTACATGTTTGCTGAGTTTCAGGGCATTTAAGCCCTAAGTGAGCACTCCGGTAGCTGTGCAGCCATCCTGGTGCACATGTGAAACTGGATCACAACCCCCTTTTAGGGCAGGTGTGTTGCCAATGATGCTTATTGTACCATGGACACGCATACCGACTACCTATCAGGGTTATTCACAAAAATGACAATTGCAGGGAATTCAAAGTGAATTTCAAATTGAAGCCCAAAGTAGCAGAACTGAAAGCATAGTTGACTGGGAAAATATTTGCAGTTCAGCTATGTTAAAGGATTACTCCAACCACCTTGACCACTTCAGTGATTTGAAGTGATAATGGTGGTAGGAGTCAGTATATGCAATGTTTCTGCTTGAAACACTGCACATAAAGAGATTTTTTTAAATTATGTGCTGGGTCTAGTTGCACCCCCAGCACATGACATTGGCAGCCCAGAACTCTGTTCCAGGCTGCCTATTGTAAATTCTGGGAATAATGTGAAAATCTTCCCCTTGCAGGCAGAACGCCTGTATACGGAAGCTGGCTCTCCCCAGTGACGTCAGGAGGGGGCATGGAAGAGTAGCACTGAGAGCTTCACCCAGCTCTTGATTCCAAGTAAGTAAAACCTTTTTATTTACCTGGAATCAACCACAAAGATCCCCTTCTGGATCTACCACAAAGATCCCCTTCTCAATAGATTTGTAGTAACCCTTTAACCTTAAAGAATTACTCCGACCTCCACAACCACTTTAGTGATTTGAAATGGTATGGGTGGTAGGAGTCTGTATGTGCGCCTGTTACATTCAGATAAATTTGCATTTGTGTGCTGGGGGCTACTTACATATGCCTCAGGTAGCATGGAACTGTCCCGGACTGCATAATGTCAATTCTGTGCGTAAAATATGTCAGCATGCACAGCAGGCTGGCAAAGGACATATTGAGATACTCTTAAAGTATAAATGTCCCCTCCCTCCTTCAATGTTCTGAGCCCTCCTGCCTCCATGTAAGATACATTCTTTAAAAGTTTTTTTCCCCACTCACCCTCCCTTGCTCAGATTGCGGACATGCACTCTGAGACGGCAAAACAATACTATCACAGTGTTGGCTATGAAAAGCCTGTTATTGGAACACACAAAGCCCTTAGGTGGCGTCAGGTGGAAGCGCGGAAGGCAGCGCTGGGAACTTCAGCTTGTGATGGATTACAGGTAAGTAACATACTTTTTTGCAGGTTTTACTGCAAAATAAAGGGTGGGCGAATTGGTACCCATATGGTCTTTTAAATCAAAAAACTCCTCGCTTTAATTTCCTGCAATTCTAACTTTAGTGAATAACTCTGTTAATATTAGATACCAAAGCTAGGTATATAAGGGGCTAAAGAAAGACACAAGACAGGATAACAAGGAACATGACTAGGCTGAGGGACACAGGACTGCAAGGGTTAAATGGTGGTCAGGATTATCCTTGCATGCAGCAGCGGTAGATCACCGCATTTGAGAATGGAAATTAAAATAAATAAATAAAAAAAAGCACACACACACCAAAACATGCAAACCGCAGATTGCGTGAAAAAACAAAACAAAAAAAACACACCTGACAGACCCAAGTGGGCTGTATATTTGCAGGTAAAATGGAAAACCTTACCTCTAATATATAAAAAAAAATAAAAATAAAAAATAAAAAAAATCTAATTTCTATCACATCCATTTTTGTTAGTACACGACATCATACAGGAGGATTAATCTTAATGGCATTCATGCCTTTAACCTTTTTGGCATAATAGCACTATAAATCTGCATAATGCTTGCTCATCCCAGCAAAAAAGAATTTTTTTTTTTTTTAAATCACCTCGTGAGTGTGTGTAATAGCGAGGACATGTGTATTACGCACACCTATTTCCATGGGAGAAGCTGCTCAGTGCATACAGAGACTGATTCATGCTGAGCCACACACAGCGGATACCCAGGATTCTGACAGCCAGCTCCTTGCCAGGAGTCCTCCATACATAGGATTCCATTTGGAACTACCCCAACACAGCAAGCTTCCACACGTGACCGTGCCTTCTCCTTGAATGCGATGGTGAGGAGGAAGCCTGAAGGGGCTTATCGTCACATGTATTGACCGCTTGGGGCCATTATCTGGGAAGAAGTTATCCAGAGCCCGCCTTCCCCTACCCTTCAGCTCTGGGATGGGAGCGGTGACAGGTTGGTTCCTCCCATTCATCTCCAGCGATCACATGAGCCAAGATAAAGCGTCTCATTAGACTACCAGCATGGCGGCCAGGAATACAGCTGTGAGAGGGCTACCCCCAGCCCCTGTAATCACGCTACATGCACACCCAAGGCCGTGTTAGAAGAGGGCATGGCGCCAGGCATGTCTCACCAACCATCATGGCACAAACCCTGTTGCAGAAGCTTTTCAGTAAAAGATGTGGCTCAGCCTCTTCTGTCAGGGTTGCCGAGGAAGAGCCTGCTTTCAGGTGAGCGCATGGGGGCCACTATTCATGTCATCACATGCTCAAAATGCTTTAATGGCAAATTAATGCTGGTAGCCTGACAGGGATGTATTAGCAATCGGTAGTCTCCAGTCCAAGTTCATATAAATGATCAGGGTTGACCCCTCTGTTGTAAGGCACGGTGGGGGTAGTTCACAGTAATGAAGATGGCTTGGGAGATAAATTACTGCCTTGTGTTATCACCTGCACTTGTAAGCAGGATGGTAAAATCTTGCAGTCTTATGGGTTGCATAATTTTGCACACTAAATATTTTTCATTATTTGGTATAAAAATGTGTTTTTGTTTTCTAATTTTACATGGCATCCTCTAGCTTTCCTCCAACTAAAGCTGCCTAGATCAAAGTTGTAATGATGTAAAATCGCATACTTGAAGAATAAGTAAAATGGTTACACCATGGAAACTTCACTACTTTAAAGTGGCTATGGTGCGTGGAGTCTGTATGTGCATTCTTTTGCTATGAATAGCGAAACCCCTTTGCTGCCAGAGGTGTAACCACCTCCAGCCGTGTCATTTGGCCATGATTATTAAACCTGGAACAAGAATTCCATGTGGCCAATATGCATCCTGTGAAATTGTGGTTTCAGATGCCACCCCATCACCACCACAGTGAACATGTGCTTTGCTCAGTGAGGGCAGGAGTAAAGGAGTAAGCCTTTAAAGGGACACTCCAAGCACCAAAACAACTTTATCTTAATTAAGTTGTTATGGTGCCAGGAGGACACTGGAGGCACTTTTACATCAAGAGGTTAAACCGTTGTTGAATGGTTTAAACCCTAAATTGTCTCCAGAGCAGGTCTCAGCTTCCCAGGCAGGGGCACCGCTGCTTGGCTAAGAGCGTTTAGCTGATGCTCTCAGCCAATCACTGATTTCCCATTCACTAAATTGGCTGGAAAAGGTACTTTTCTTTCCAAGCCAGTTTTTAGCAGCAGCAACTGTTTTGCTGCAGGTAATAGGGGAACCTCTTGTTCATTAGGGAGTCATTAGATAAATGGGGCTTCCCTCTGTCAGCTGGATCCTAATATATTGTCCCTACGTTGACCGATCTGCGTGCATCTGTTATATCCCTGCTCACACCATGTAGCCCCAAATAGCAATTGATTCTTTGGGAATTCTTCTGTCAGCTGGAGCCACATCAGCAGAGGGAATCTGTTTAACGCTATTGCATGGCTAGGGTTTGGTATAGGATTAGGGTAAAAGGGCCAGACAGAGCGTAAACTCTGTAACAGCGACAGGTTTCCTTTAAAACTGGAATAGTCAGGTTTCTTATATGGCACTGTAACTTTGCAAGATAGTGGCAAAGGCATATATTGGGGGCATTGTAGTACTCAGAAAATGTAGCTGAACACAATGTGATGTTTTGTACAAGAGTAGTACACATCAGGTTTACGAAATACACATAAAAAAACTTGTATGGTAACACATATAAAAAAAACCCCCACAATTTTACTAGAATATTAAGCAGAGATTGTCAGTTAAATTGCTATGTAAAAAAAGTGTCAAAATCCCCTTCAGTAAGTTTCTTGTGATGTTTACTTTATGTAAACAAATACTTTTGTGTGGCAATTTTGCTTTCAGTGATGGCTATTAAGCGTACAAAACAAACATGGCAAGTTCTAAAATTGCTGAACATTGAAATTTTATTGTACTCCTTGTATTTTGTGACCTGTGACTGCCAAAAATATTTATATAGTCTGTAAATCAGGACAAATAAATTAAAGGAACACTATAGGAAATATTTATTCCTGACCCTTTAATGTTAAAAAAAAAACCCACACATCTTACTTTTATTTCAGTCTGCTGCTGCTGGCTCTGCCCCTGATCTACCTGCTTGGCTGACATCAGAAGTGGTGATTTTGGCTGAGCTTGTCAAGGAGGCAGGTTAGGGGCAGGGCCAGCACAAGCCAAACACAGTCCTGGCCAATCAGCATCTCCTCATAGAGATGCATTGAATCAATGCATCTCTATGAGGAAAGCTCAGCGTCTCCATGCAGCGTTTCAAGCCAGTTTTATGAATGGGGAGTCTCTGACCCCTCTCTGCCAATCATGCCACATGCCGCCTGGGTGGAAGTGAGATTGGCACTGGATGCTCACTTTGAACAGTTTAATCTCTTGAGGTAAGAGTGCGTCCAGGGTCCTCCTGGCATCATAACCATTTATATGAAGTTTTTATGGTGCCAAGAGTGCCCCTTTAAATAAAACCAATTATAACACAGCAACTAAACCACTACTGTCACGAACGCACCCTATTTCAAGAGTGTGCAGGACGTAGTTGTGGTGGTGAAAGGGTTAAAGTTCACTATTTGTCTGCACTAGACCGGAAATAATGTTAAAATCCCACTTAACGCCACCCACACTTAAGCATAATAATATAAATATTACGGGGGCTTGGCTGACTGCCGAGCAAGTAGGCCGCTTAGGAATTTGCTCCAGCACATGGGCTCCATTAACAACAATATTTAAGCCAGCAGAAACACTCATCACCCCAACTAACTATGTCTCAACCCAAAACAAAGAAGTCTACCTCAAGAGCTGAAAAGCTCAGCTTTTTCGGCCAAAAGTAATTCTCCGCGTCGGAGGCCACGCGGGCCGCCCTTCAAGATGGCGCTGAGGACCACGATTCCAGCTCTCACAACGCACTACTGGACGAGTCCCAACCCTCAGAAGGCCTCACAAGGGGCTTATACATACCTGGCAATTGATGGCAGACCAAATTAAGAAGGAGGTCCTGGACCTCTCCACCAGAACGTCCTCCGTGGAACTGCAATGCAAGGACTTAACCTCAACACAAAATGAACATGAACAACTTGCGTTTGCGAGGAATCCCAGAATCAGTCCTCCCCGACAACCTGCAAATATATATGCGAGGTCTAATGCATGCCTATGCCCCAGAAATACTCTCAGACATGCTGCTAGTCGACAGAGTCCACAGGGTCGCAAAGCCGAAGTACCTGCCAGACTCCACACCCCGCAATGTCCTACTCCGGGCACATTACCACATAAAGGAACTCATCCTCCGAGCCTACTGCAACAAACCCGACCCACACGATGACTACCCCTCCGTGCACATCATGGCAGATGTGTCCGCGGCAACACTTAGGCGCAGAAGAGACTTCCAACAAGGCACTTTGGAGCTGAGGAACCAGGGGATTTGTAACAGGTGGGGCTTCCCCTTGAAGCTAATCCTTGCAGAAATGGGGAAGCAAAATTCTTCTTAACCCCGGAGGAAGGCATGAAGGCACTCGAGGAGCGGGGCCCATGCACCAAGAGGCCTGCAGACGTCTTACCCACATCTCCCCACTAAGGCCGCAAGACCACTGTGGACTAAACTAATGAACTGGCCATTCAGGAAAAAAAAACCCTGTCGCAAGTATCTTATTAGCTCAAGTTCTTTCCATGATGTCAAATTTATGTTTTTCTTTTTTATTTCTCTCACAAATATGATGTAGTACTTAAGCGCAAACGCACGTGTTCAGGTACCAACCCTCCCAATGATCGCAGTTACGGTCTTCGTGCCAACGGAATAAGAAGGTAGCACACTTCGATAGCCAAATAGGGCCAACCCTATGGGACTGGAATCCCCTCCCCAAGATGCTATGCCCATACCATGCCACCCAGCTGCAAATCCTCCCTACTGGGAACTCAATGCGTGCACCCAACCGGGAGTGCCCCTCCCCCCGGGCGTACTTCACCTACACGACGCCCTAGACAGCCATACACCTTCTCCTACTGCATACGACCCTGGTGGCGGGTGGAGGTGTAGAGAGGGGAAACTTGGCGAAGCCTGCACAGGGCGACCTGTGCAGCACGACTTGGAAACAATCCGGCGGCCTAGAGTCGCACCACCTGCCGGCTCACACAGGACACCTAATTGCTCCATGCTTGCACCGCAAAACGATAAGTTACCTCGCAACCCACCTGACATAGCACACCTAGGGATGAGCCAGGCAACACGGACCACTTGGTGCCCCATTAGCTTACCCCGCAGCCAGTCTTAAGAGTGCAACCTAGGGGGTCCCCCCATTACAAACGCCCAACCAAAAGTGGAAATGCCTGCATGTTGCTACACAAATGGTGCCTATAGTATAGCACTGGACGGAACCATCCTAAATTGTCAACATAAGTGCTTCTGTTAAAAATGTTACTTGTGTATTTTTTTTTTTTTTTTAATGAAAATATTTTTATTCAGTATTAGTATATCATACAGGTACATACACATACATTAAATACAGCTCACGTTGTAACAAATATTCCTTTTCAAATATTTTCTAAGTCATACAATTCATTGATTGCATTGAAACAAGATGTAAGAAGAGCAAGTTAGTCCACATTGTCCTACACGTAATAATCATATACATATTGATCATACAGTTATAATGAATAGTAGAAGTACAGTATTTCACAAATGAGTGTAGACAGCGGGTAAATATGTGGAACTGCACATATGACATGGATCTGTACAATAAAAGTGATGTAGGTAACCTGTGCAAACTCGGGTGACGTCAGGAAGAAAAGAGGAAGGGAAAGGGGAGGGGTAACGAGCCACGTTAGAACTAAGACCCTTAGGTTTAGCACCTATATGACAACTCATTAGTTGTATCTTTATCCCAGTATGTAGTATAAACTTTCGCGGGGGGGGGCTGACCTCAGCACCACCAGTCCTGTGATTTAAGTACCAGAAAGTTGGGCTTAATTCTTAGAATTTTGGAACAAATCCCATTGATTCCACGCATCTTTCCAAAAGTGTTGTGGAGGCATAGAAACATAGAATGTGACGGCAGATAAGAACCATTCGGCCCATCTAGTCTGCCCAATTTTCTAAATACTTTCATTAGTCCCTAGCCTTATCTTATAGTTAGGATAGCCTTATGCCTATCCCACGCATGCTTAAACTCATTTACTGTGTTAACCTCTACCACTTCAGCTGGAAGGCTATTCCATGCATCCACTACCCTCTCAGTAAAGTAATACTTCCTGATGTTATTTTTAAACCTTTGTCCATCTAATTTAAGACTGTGTCCTCTTGTTGTGGTTTTTCTTCTTTTAAATATAGTCTCCTCCTTTACTGTGTTGATTCCCTTTATATATTTAAATGTTTCTATCATATCCCCCCCTGTCTCGTCTTTCCTCCAAGCTATACATGTTAAGATCCTTTAACCTTTCCTGGTAAGTTTTATCCCACAATCCATGAACCAGTTTAGTAGCCCTTCTCTGAACCCTCTCTAAGGTATCAATATCCTTCTGAAGATACGGTCTCCAGTACTGTGTACAATACTCCAAGTGAGGTCTCACCAGTGTTCTGTACAATGGCATGAGCACTTCCCTCTTTCTACTGCTAATACCTCTCCCTATACAACCAAGCATTCTGCTAGCATTTCCTGCTGCTCTATTACATTGTCTGCCTACCTTTAAGTCATCAGAAATAATCACCCCTAAATCCCTTTCCTCATATGTTGAGGTTAGGACTCTATCAAATATTCTGTACTCTGCCCTTGGGTTTTTACGTCCAAGATGCATTATCTTGCACTTATCCACATTAAATGTCAGTTGCCACAATTCTGACCATTTTTCTAGTTTACCTAAATCATTTGCCATTTGGCTTATCCCTCCTGGAACATCAACCCTGTTACATATCTTAGTATCATCAGCAAAAAGACATACCTTACCATCAAGACCTTCTGCAATATCACTAATAAAAATATTAAAGAGAATGGGTCCAAGTACAGATCCCTGAGGTACCCCACTGGTGACAAGTCCAAGCTTCGAATATATTCCATTAACTACAACCCTCTGTTGCCTATCACTCAGCCACTGCCTTACCCATTCAACAATATTTGAATCCAAACTTAAAGGACCACTCTAGGCACCCAGACCACTTCAGCAATGAAGTGGTCTGGGTCTCTCTAGGGTTAACCCATTTTTTCATAATTATAGCAGTTTCAGAGAAACTGCTTTAATTATGAATGGGTTAAGCCTTCCCCCTAATCCTCTAGTGGCTGTCTCATTGACAGCCACTAGAGGCGCTTGCGTGCTTCTCACTGTGATTTCCACAGTGAGAGCACGCAAGCGTCCATAGGAAAGCATTGTAAATGCTTTCCTATGCGACGGGCTGAATGCGCGCGCAGCTCTTGCCGCGCGTGCGCATTCAGCCCAGGAGGAGGAACGGAGGAGGATCGGAGGAGGAGAGCTCCCCGCCCAGCGCTGGAAAAAGGTAAGTTTTTACCCCTTTCCACCTTCCAGAGCCGGGCGGGAGGGGGACCCTGAGGGTGGGGGCACCCTCAGGGTACTATAGTGCCAGGAAAACGAGTGTTTTCCTGGCACTATAGTGGTCCTTTAAAGATTGCAGTTTATTGATAAGCCTTCTATGTGCAACAGTGTCAAAAGCCTTACTGAAATCTAGGTAAGCAATGTCTACTGCACCACCCTGATCTATAATTTTTGTTACCCGATCAAAAAAATCAATAAGATTGTGTGGGAGCTCCCTCCCACACTAACTAGAGAGCTGGCAAATCCCAGACGCCAGGGCGAAATTTCTTGTTGCCGTGGCGATCTGACGCCTGAGATTTGTTGAGCCCTGCTTTAAGCTTAATGACTCCTCGGAGGTATCAGCCCTGTCTGTCTGGCAAGCCCACAAACCGGTCATGAGAGGACTATTGATACATTGCGAAAACAATAACGAGAACACATTGACCTCCTGAGAAAGTTCCGAGACACGACAAACGCCCACCTCCTGCAACCGTCAGACACATACGCCAAAACTGTAATAGACATCACCAACCAAATCAATACCCTGACCCTCAATAAGACCGCACACATCTAAACAAATTGAAACTGAAAGCATACACTCAGGGGAACCTATAGCAACATTTCTCTGACAGAAACAAGCGAACTCCAAAATTCCATACCTAATTGCAGGAGCAAAGATCCACAACCCTCAAGATATAAATTACGAAATGGCAGATACAACCATACACTCTACAAGTTAAACGATAACTCCTTGCACCTACCTACCGATCAGGAAATAGACGACTTCCTACAACAGATGATGTTGCCCACACTATTGACAGCACATAAACACACCATGCAAAGGGGGGAGGGAGGATGGTCCCAAGTGTACTATCCCTAGACGCTGAAAAAGCCTTTGACAGTTTCACTGGCCCTTCCTGCTCACAGTTCTCTGGAAGTTTGAATTTCCGTCCCAATTCCTGTCACTCATCACTGCACTCTACTCCTCCCCAACAGCCCGAGTAGTAAATGGGGGATTCATGTAAAAAAAAATGTTCACCATCTCAAATAGCTCAAGGCAAGGCTGCCGCTCTCCCTAATACTAGCACTAGAGCCCTTAACAAAACTGATACAAGACGACCCAAACATACACTGGGTCCGAGTCAAGGGACAAGAATGCAAGCTGTCCTTATTCGCAGACGACATCCTTCTATCCTGGAACGCCCACACATATCCCTATCTAACTTCCACAAGGCCCTATCCCAATATAGCAAATGCTCCTACTACAAACTTAACATTGCAAAGACCCTAGCACTAGGTGTGAACATCCCCGCCCAAGACATGACGACCCTGAAAACAATCTTTAACTACGATTCGAGGCAAGACTATATAAAATTCCTAGGGTTTAACGTCACACCCACACCAAATACACTGTTCAAGGCAAATTACATAAAACTACTCAGTGAAATTAAAACCATTTCGCAGGGGTGGAAAGGGAAATACATCTCCTGGGCTGGACGAATCTCCTCGGTGAAGATGATGATTCTGCCAAAAATCCAATACTTATTTTTGAACACTCCCATTTAAGCTCCCTTTTAAATACCTATTGGAATTACGACACAGATTTCCCCAGCCCTCCCACTGGAAGCACCTTCGGCTACTTATCCCCGACTTCAACTACAAAATCTGGAACAGACATGGCGTAGTCACCATGTCACAACTACTGCAAGGCACCCACCTCAAAAAGCTCTCAGATCTCCAAACTGAATTTAAACTACCCACCATAGCCTCCTTCTCTTACATGCAATTGCACTTCTGGTTCACCTTACAACCAAGACAACCCACAGTAAACCCACCAGAACCACAATTGGTAGAAGTGGAGAAGATCTGCATGAAACTCAAGCCAGCCAAAACTAATCTCTACGATCTACACCTCTGAACACACCCAATCTCAAAAACACCCCCTCACCTTCAAGTCGGCATGGGAAAATGACATAAAATACCAACTCACGGATGACCAATGGCAGGACATTTTTAAAGCCCACAAACAACTGACCCTCTGCACAACTCATGTGGAACTATCCCGCAAGCTGCTCTACAAATGGTACCTGGTCTCCACACGCCTCAAACACAGCTTCCCCAACACATTCGACGTCTGCTGGAGATGCCAGGCGGAATGGGAAAATATGATACACACACCTGGTGGCATTGGTGCTGTGTGGGGGGTGGGGTCTGAGTGGTTTTCGGTGAGAGATCTATCGTCATCGGATTTCCCTTCAGGTGTGGGTTAGGTGGTTCATGAGCCATGGGTCCAAGATTTTGTGAAAGTTATGTGTTGTGTCATGTAGTAGGGCCAATAGTTTGTCCATTTCCATAGTTTCTGCAGTTTTGGTCTCTAGTATAGGTGTACTTTGGTTGCCCCATTGTTCACTGATTGTTCGTCTGGTGTCCACTGAAATTTTTGCGACCAGTTTGTATTGTGCTCTAATTAGGGGGGTGTATGGTCTGGAGAACAGCCAGATCCACAGGTCTATATCCCCCCAGCATATTCTCATCAGTATTCTATCAGTGTGCAGGAGTCCGGAAATTAAGTCGGACACAGCGGTCCACAGTAGGGAGATGCTGTGGACGTATGTGCCCTGGGCTCCGCATCCTTTCCAGCACGCGTCTGAGTCTGAGCGGCCCATCTGTTTCAATTAAGGGTGTCAGGTACCACCGGAGAAGCGTTTTGCACGCTTGCTCCTTGTGGTTTACGCAAATTGTGAGTGAGACCGTGGCTTTCCAGGTGTCAGCCCAGTCCGAGGGATCGCTCGGTGGGCCTATGTGTCTTTCCCATGCTTTGGTGTATGAGAGTGCATATGCTGGGGAGGCAGAGTTCATTTGGAGGTAGATAAAGGAGATTTGTCCTTTGTGGATTGGGGTGTGTATGCACGTGTGTACAAAATGTGTTAGTTTGGTGGTAGCTGTAGTGGTGTGTTGGGGTTCATTGAGGAAGCTGCGGATTTGTAAGTATTGGAAATGGTTGAAGGTATTCAGTGGTGTGTTCCTGGGTAAGTCTGGGAATTGTATCAGTTGGTGGGATCTGAAGAAGTGGAAGAATCTTAAGAGCCCGTTGTCTTCGTAGTGTGTAAAGTTTTGGGGTGTCATGCCTGGGGGAAACTGTTTGTTCCTCAGGATTGTAGTGAGTGGTGATGGCGTGTTTATAATGGGATATTTAGGGATGGTCTTGTCCCATGTGAGAAAGGATGTGTTAAAGAGAAACCTGTGCTAGAGCGTCACTGGACGTCCTCACACTGTGTGAGGAACTCCAGCGTTGCTCACTTCCTCATAGGAAAGCATTTTCAATGCTTTCCTATGGAGAGCTCTAATGTGCATGTGAGAAGGCGGCGGCAAGACATCGGCGGGGTCTCAGGTAAGTGACCTGAAGGGGTTTTCACCCCAATGTGAGGGATATGTCCGCGTGGTCAGACCATGCGATTATTCCAATCGGAGTTTTATTACTATTTTAACACTGCCACAACCAAGAAAATTTATAAATGGGGTGACTTAATAAGAAAAATCCACCAAATATAACTTAGCACAATATTTAAGCAATTGCAAAATACTAATTAGTCTCTTCACGTAACGTGGTTCTTTACCAGACAAAGGCAGAACTTAAAGGACCACTCTAGGCACCCAGACCACTTCAGCTTAATGAAGTGGTCTGGGTGCCAGGTCCTTCTAGGCTTAACCCATTTTTTCATAATTATAGCAGTTTCAGAGAAACTGCTATAATTATGAATGGGTTAAGCCTTCTCCCTAATCCTCTAGTGGCTGTCTCATTGACAGCCACTAGAGGCGCTTGCGTGCTTCTCACTGTGATTTTCACAGTGAGAGCACGCAAGCGTCCATAGGAAAGCATTGTAAATGCTTTCCTATGCGACGGGCTGAATGCGCGCGCAGCTCTTGCCGCGCGTGCGCATTCAGCCCGGAGGAGGATCGGAGGAGGAGAGGAGGAGGAGAGCTCTCCGCCCAGCGCTGGAAAAAGGTAAGTTTTTAACCCCTTTCCCCTTCCAGAGCCGGGCGGGAGGGGGTCCCTGAGGGTGGGGGCACCCTCAGGGCACTATAGTGCCAGGAAAACGAGTATGTTTTCCTGGCACTATAGTGGTCCTTTAATAAAGGAATATGAGCAAGAAATAGTCACATTGCATACAAAAAATATCGATGACAATCAAATTAGTTACACCAACAACAGATAAAAACAAAAGGGATAAAATAACAGAAGTCCTAATCACTTACTCAGGTTTTCAAAGTAAAACTTATGCCCATGGGGTCTCTGGTAAGAAAGGTGGTGACTCACTTAGAATTAGATTCTGCCCCCCAAGCAAGTACAAATACACACCTCAGTTTCATTGGATATATACCCTGTGGATTACCAAGCCTCGCCCAGAGGTAGAGATAAGGCGTACCTATAGTAACTATAAGTGACCACCTTGTGTTCCAGACCAACATCAATCAAAATGGAAACATTTGGTTCTATCTCTTCTTATGTACTCTCCACATAAATAATTGCATCTATGAATTTGTTACCATTTTTCCAATCCATAGATATGTCACACTCCTTACTTGTGACCCTATGTAGCGTACATCACAATCCCTGCCCCTGTGGTTAAGTTAAGCAAATCATATTTGGGCTTGGTTAGAAGCTTGTGCTGGTCACATTCCAAATATAACAAAAATGAGGCTTAATTATTATTCTGTGGGTAAATATTAATGTTTCTTTCTTTTGGATACGATACTGAAATACAAGGCTTGTTTATTCATTTTTTTTTTATTTTTTTTTCTTGAAAGCTAATGATCATTAATATATCAAAGAAATTGACTCATCAATTAAAAGGTACAGGCAATATGGCTGAAGTCAGCTAGTTTATATTTCAACCAGACTTCTGGGCCACTTATGTGTGACTTCTCACTCTTTGCAGAGACTTTTAATTAATCAAGGGATCGAGCCATATGATAAACCATCTGACCATTCTCACATTCCTGTGCAATTTACATTTTCCCTTCTGTCATCTGACCTTGCAACTAAGTGGTTAATTCATATATGCACTACATAAATTACATTAAATTAAATGGCAATATTTTATAGTGCTACAATGAATTATGCACCCTTGGCGAGACCGTTGAGTCACTGATCATATAGTGAGTGTTCCTTTAACACTTTAAAATCTATTTCAAGTGAAAACACTCAAAAAATAATAGTAGATAGCTAAAAATGTGCTTACCCATAACAAATTGTTAAGGTTGCTACGTCATAAAGTGCACATGGAAAATAAAATAATGCGATTTAGGAATAGTGCAAATTGCAAAATAGATTTTTGGTATTGGATTGTTGGGACCATTTTTAAATGTTAAACATCTTTAGAAAATCTTCCTCTACTTTTTGTTGTGGGTTTTTATTTTCTTAATTTGTATACATTTTTTGGTAGTCAGGGTGATTTCCTCAATTTATACATTGTCGTTTGTGGTTGTTGACCTGTGAATATCACATGTTCCATAACAAAGTTACTGTACTCTTTTAGTTTCATTTTCTGCACGTCACAAATGCTATTTTATTTAGATGACTAGGAAAATATTTAACTTGGTATGTATAGAATAATTCTACCACTCCTAAAGCTTCCAACAACTAATGTGATTTTCATGAACTTGTAAAATCACCAGTACTACCCAGTAGCAACCAGTGCACCTTCTGATTTATCAGAGAGCGAGAAACTCATCCCTACATTTCCTTCAGCCATATATGTACATCTTGGGTCAGACACGTACATTATTTAACCCCTTAAGGACACAGCTTCAGAAGCTTGACTTACGCTTAAAGGACCACTATAGTGCCAGGAAAACATACCCGTTTTCCTGGCACTATAGTGCCCTGAGGGTGCCCCCACCCTCAGGGTCCCCCTCCCGTCGGGCTCTGGGAGAGGAAGGGTGTTAAAACTTACCTTTCTCCAGCGCCGGGCGGGGAGCTCTCCGCCTCCGTTCCTCCTCCGATCCTCCCTTTCGGCTGAATGCGCACGCGCGGCAAGAGCTGCGCACGCATTCAGCCAGTCTCATAGGAAAGCATTTACAATGCTTTCCTATGGACGCTTGCGTGTTCTAACTGGGATTTTCACAGTGAGAATCACACAAGCGCCTCTAGCGGCTGTCAATGAGACAGCCACTAGAGGATTTAAGGGCTGGATTAACCCATTTATAAACATAGCAGTTTCTCTGAAACTGCTATGTTTTATAAAAAAATAAATGGGTTAACCTTAGCTGGACCTGGCACCCAGACCACTTCATTAAGCTGAAGTGGTCTGGGTGCCTAGAGTGGTCCTTTAATGACACAAGCAATTTTTGCATTTTCTTGTTGTATGCGTTCAACTGCAATTTGCATCTCTCTCGTTGATTGCACCGACATATATATTATTATATACTGGTTTTTTTAAAGGACAGAAAGGGCTTTAATTTGATGTGTTATATATATATATATATAAATTTTTTTTTTTTTTTAATTTATTATTTAAAATACACAAAAATGTTAAAAAAAAAAAAAGAAGAAATTTTGTGTTTTTGAACAGTTTTTGCAATAATATGTGCCTAATTAGTGCAGGTAAAAGAAAGTAATTAAAAATAAATTCATTTAGTTGTTCTGATTTACAGTATATATAATGGGATTTTAAGTTTACGTTTTTTTTTTGTTTGTTTTTTTGTAGTTACAGGTCACAAAGCACAAGGAGTAAAAAAAACTTTTAATGTGGAGCGATTTTAGAATTTGGTATGTTTGTCTTGTAAGCTTAATAGCCATAATAGAAAACAAAATCGCCACACAAAAGTATATATTTTTATATAAAGTAGACATCACAGGCCATTGTCCCAAGGTTGTTTTGACACTTTCTATGGAGCCATTTCACCGCCAATCTCTGCTAAATATTGGAGTAAAATTTTTGTTTTTTGGCACACAAACTTATAACAAAGAACTTCTCATGTGTATTTTGTAAAGTTGGTGTGTGCTATTCCTGTACAACGTTTTATTTTGTGTTCAGTTACTTCTGCTGAGTACAACGATACCCCCATTGTATGTCTTTGGCACTATTTCGTGAAGCTACAGTGCCATTTAGGAGACCTGTCCGTTTCAACATTTACAGTAGAATTTTGAGAGGCAGATTTAATGGGCATATGCTTCAATTTGGGGTATTATAGCAGTTTGACTGTTCAAAAAAACCCTACAAAGGCCTACCATTTGTAAAAGTAGACACTCCAGGGTATCTCATAAGGTGCATATTGTGCCTTAACATGCCCCCATTTTTTCACCAATATATGCCAATGTATGTGGTAAAAAATATTTTTGGGCATTTTTTACATACGGATTACATTTTTGCTGGGCATTTTGTACATTTCATATGTGCCACTAAATTCAAACCCCCCAAATTATGCTCCGCTAAGTCTTCTGAGTAAAACAATATGCCCAATCTATGACCTAGACACTATTTTGTGAAGTTACAGTGCTGTAAAAGAGATGTGACAAGTTAAGGTTTTTAAGTGTGAATTTTTATGGAGGGTTTTGATGCGTCCGTGTCCCACTTTGGAGCACTTGAGCAGGCTACATATTACAACTACACCATAAAGGCATACCATTTCTTAAAGAACACATCCCAGGGTATTTCAAAAGGCATATTTTGAACGTTAGCGTGGGATCATTTTTCCGCTTGCTTGTACCAAGTGTAGTGGTAATATGCATTTTTTTCTGCCTTTTTGACACACAAAGTGAGTTTGCGCTACTTCATATGTTGCTCAGATATGTCGGCTGAGTACAGCAATACCCCCGTATGTACCTTTGCCAGGTATATGTGGACATTGAAGGGGCACATTTGAGACACAGCCATTCCAGTTTTTCTCAAACTTTGAATTTTTACACTGTGTCCATGTCCCATTTTAGAGTATTTTACAAGGCTATATAATCCAATTACACCATAAAGGCATACCATTTCTTAAAGAAGACATCCCAGGGTAATTCAAAAGGCATATTTTGAACCTTAGCGTTGGATCATTTTTCCGCTAGCTTGTACCAAGTGTAGTGGTAATGAGCATTTTTTAATGTATTTTTTTACTTTGTAAAACCCGCTTTTAAACTTTTTTTTTTTCTTATTAAATGTTTTACACTTTCTTAACCTTTTTGACACTTTAAAAATTTTTTCTAAACTTTTCTTTTACCGTTAACCCCTAACTAGCAGTAAGCAGCACTAACAGTAAATTCCCCTCTTTCCCATAACTCCCACCCACTCCAGCTAGCAAAATATATATAATTATAAAATATTTAAATTAATTAAATAAATTGAACCCCTGAGGGTTAAAAAACAAATAAAAGTTAATCCTCAAGGGTTAAAACAAATTAGATTACAGTATAATACTATGATCTGAATTTTGATCATTGTAGGCAGTGATCAACTGTCAGGGAAGGGGTTAATTTTTATTTAGACTGGGTAAAGGGTGGTGGTGTGTGTGTTTTTTTTTTCTTTTTACTAAACGTTACTAAAAGATTTTTTTTAAAAACTTTTTTTAACCTATTTTAAAACTTTTTTTAACATTAACCCCTAGTTAGCCTAACACCAAATTCCCCAATTCCCCACTAACTTCCACCCATGCCAGCTAGCTAAATATATAATTTTTTAATATTTAATACAATAAATGTAACCCCTGAGGGTTAAAAAAAAAAAAAAAAAATCAGATGACATTAAAATGTATACCCTGCCAATTGATCACTGTAGTCAGTAAATTGGGGCTGACTAAATTGGGGCTGTAGTCAGTGATCAATTGGCAGGGAAGGGGTTAATTTTATTAAAGCAATGGAAAGGGGGGGTGGGATTTAACTTTATATTTTTTTTTTGTATTTATTTTTTTTACACAAGGAGAAGATCAGCAGCACTAATCCGTCTCCCTGCACTTGAACCCGGAAGTGCAGGGAGGCGGAAGGTGAGTATACTGAGCACATGTGCTCGCTCTGACAGCCTGTCAGAGCGAGCACCGGTGCTCCTGGTCTGCCTCGAATACAGGGGCAGACCGGAGCAACTTTAACCCCGCGATCGCGGTGATCTTGGGTTAACTTTTTATTAAATGACGGAAATTTTCCGTCAACGGTCCTTAACTGAAGGACAAGGTTGACGGAAAATTTCCGTCTGCGGTCGGGAAGGGGTTAATAACAAAAGTTCAGATTTTTCTTAACTGTCACTTTTAAGTGCCTTTTAAATCGGATATTTGTCACTCTTAAGACAAAAGTGCTTCATGGATGTGGGGTGGTCCTTTAAAGAAACACTATAGTCACCAAAACATTTTAGCTTAATGCAGTTGTTTTGGTGTACAGACCATGCCCCTGTAGTCTCATTGCTCAATTCTCTTGCATTCATGAGTTAAATCACTTTGTTTATGTAGCCTCCTTGCATGTGACTTACACAGCCAATGGCCATGCTTCAATGATTCGCTATAACAGGGAAAGGCAACCTTTGGCACTACAGATGCTGTGGACTACATCCCCATAATGCTCTTACACCCATATTGCTGTCAAGGCATCATGGGAGGTGTAGTCGAAAACATCTGGAGTGCCGAAGGTTGCCTATGCACCAGTGGCCATGTTCCAGTGATTCTCTGTGAGAATCAGTAATGACATGCCTTACTGGGCATGCCTGAGTTTCACTCCGCTCAACACATGCCCTCTATGTCTGCCCAAGCCGCCTCCTCGTCAGCATTCAGACACTAGAACTTACAAACCACATCACACACCTATTCCTCCTCACATTAGGTATCATACAGACAGGCAAACTTCTAAATACCTATAGAGCTTTGTGTTATCTCTTTCTATCTATCTAGCGGTTAACAGTGGGTAGTGAGGTTGGCTGACAGGGTAGGGGTTAACAATAGGTAGACTGAAATATAGACACAAAGGGGCAGAAAGGGGTTGGCTGGCAGGGAAGGGGTTAACTGCATCTGGAGGTTGGCTGACAGAGGATGGAGGAGAATTTATAACTTGTATTACAGGGAGGGAGAGGAGCACATATGGGCTCTAGGTGCAGTCTGTGCTGTGAGCATTCCTTACACTACAGAAGACATGCCTCTATTTTCATTGGCTGCAAATTGTATGTTTCTTTCAGAGCCTGGAAATCAGGAGAAAGGTAAGTGTTTAACCCCTTCCTCTCTCCAGAGCCCGGCGGGAGGGGGTCCCAGAGGGTGGGGGCACCCTCAGGACACTGTAGTGCCAGGAAAACGAGTATGTTTTCCTGGCACTATAGTGGTCCTTTAAGTGTTTAGTAGATATATTTTTTTGCATTTAATTATGCATTTTTAATTGGGTTATAGCTAAAAGCACTTTCTTCCACAGCCCAAACTGTCTGTGGCTGTCCAATCACAGATTCCAAATGCAATTCCCTGCGTTTTTATGTTGGCTCCACTGAGTTAAACTACTAGGAAATAACAGGACTGGCTCTCTGCCAGCCAGGGGGTCTAACAAGAATCATTTATAAAAGTACCTGTTTCTATTGAAAGCTGCGCTGTTTGTAAATTGGGGTGAGAGCACCCTTTTTACACAGTAAGATCTAATGCTTTAAGGGTCTGGGGTGTGTCTGTAAAGAACAGGAACTCCTCCTTTGTGAAGGACTGGCTGCTAACACATTGCAATTGCTATTTTTAGAATGAAAGTCACCCAAATTGCATGCAGTGTGCATGGGGTAATGGCATGCTTCCAGACTGGCACTAAAGCAGAGTTCAAATCTTGTTTTTTTTTTTTCTTATGTATTTATCTTGGCCAGAAAAATAAAACTAAGCTCTTCATTTACACTAAAAAGCAAACTAGTCAATGGGATGCACGTGCCACATATGTAAATAAGACTGATGAGTTAAACTCTCAATTGTCAGACCTTTGGACTTAAATAAATCAGAAATACCATGTGATGTTTACTTTTTTAGTGCTAGTATGAAAATTAGTATCTTATTTATATGTAAGTAAGATTATAAGATTTGTACGATGTTTAAAACAAATGTTTTTTTTTTGTTTTTTTTTGTGGAACCATATCAAGATACATTTTTTTTTTAATTTTTTTTTAATTTTTTTTATTATTGCCGTGTCTGCAGTAGTTGGGATATTTAAAATTACACTTTAAAACCATGAATTTTGATGGTAATTTAGTTGAACCCCAATGTTTAGAACAGGCACTACATATTCATCAGCTGTTGGGCAACCATACACCATGTGTATTTACAGTAGCAGCACTGAATTATCCTTGTGTAGTGGAAATCCTTTTGCCAGGGCTGAAAATTTCCACTCTCTGTTAGCAAGTATAAATTCACTCTTGTTTAGTGTAGCATGGACTCTCCAAGCTCGCAGTGCCAAGTAACTTTTAAGGCCTAAAAAATTTTTTTTCCACGATCTGACATAGTAGCATAACACTTTACTTTTTAAGTCTTGATTTTTAGCTTTTTACACTGGGTGTAATGAAGGTGTTTTACAGATTTAACATTTTTATTTATTTATTTCTATTGTACATTTGCAGTATGGGTTCCAAACCTATTGCCATGTGCATATATTGAATGTTGAGCGTAAGATGGTCTGATATTTCAATGGCTTACTAGAATGATAACTATTAAGTTGTAAATACTTTAAGTGATTTAAGTACTATCCAATATTTATATTGCTTGAGAATTTAATTTGCTACAATGAAGCAGTGCTAGCAAAATCACTTTAAAGCAGATCTGTCACTTTTCAGTGTTTCATAAAGATTTAATCTTTATGAAATTATGATTAAGACTGCGTTGGAGTTTAACTAGAATTCCAACTTCTTCCAGAGTAGGGACTACTTTTGTCGTATGGTAGAAACTGAGGTGGACTAAAAGGAGGAGATTCTGTCAACTTCATCCTATCCCAGAAGCCATCACAAATGACAGCTGTGGGGTTCAGGCTTTGTCTGTAGAGAAAGCCTTAATCTTGTTGGCTCCTCCATACACCTCAGTCTTGTAAGTCAGAGGACCTGGAGCTTGAACACGGTGCCTGCTGCAAGGCAGAGGTAAGTAAAACTCACATCCTGTGCTCCAAGCGGCCACCAGACCCACACAGGATCTGTCTGTTTCGGGTGTCTTTGCGAAATGGTCTGCTTACAGATGTCAACATTGAAAAGCAAAGTATGATTATTGCATGTCTAAAATGATACTACATTAAGAAGACTGTGTAGCCTAGAACAATGGGAATTACAGTCCAAACCAGCTTGAAGGCCCTAGCCTCACGTACCACTAAAGATCTCTTAACTCTAATCTTAATGTATGCTAATTCTTATAGTTGAGCCTTTAATGTTACTTATTTCTTATGAATTTTAATTACACTGGTCTAAATGCATATGTTGTAGTTTAAAGGGACACTAGTTAATGAAGCCGTTTGGGTGTATAGATGACCCCGCAGTCTCACTGCTCAATTCTCTGCCATTTAGAAGTTAAATCACTTTTATTTCTCTTTATGCAACCCTAGCCACACCTCCCCTTGCTGTGACTGACACTGTGTGCATGGAAGAAAAAGATTTAATTTTCACTCAGATGTTAACTTAATTTAGAAGTTTGCATATATTGCTCTGTAAAGTGAAACGTAATCACGCACAAGAATTGAAAGCTTTGGTGATTTTTTTTTTTTTTGGTTAATGCAGAGCAGTAGGCCGTCGAACATCCGTCCTGCAAAGATTGCAGTTTCGTAACAGAAAGCACCTCTAGAGGCTGCCTGTATGGCAGCCACAAGGGGCAAATGTAGACACAGTGCCCCCACACACAAATGTAGTGTTTAGCTGAGAGGCACCAACCCCTCCACGTTACTCTGTATTGGTTATGGTGCTTAGTGTTCCTTTTAAATCTGTAAACCCTAAAGGTGAAACCACAGAGTATCTATCAGGACTGTAAAAGCAAGCTTTACAACAAGCATGTATTTAATTTGCGACCTATAATGAAATGACTTCCTGGAAAGACTTCTGCCTGTTGGCAAATGCGTTTAACAGTGTAAAAGTACATTGACCAGCTAGAAACTGACTTTGAAACTGCAGACAATACAAAGAGGAGGTTTGCTTTTGATTGTCACATGAGCCTTTCTCATGTGACAGCCATTAATTAGCATGGCCAATGTTTAAACAACCTTGTATCAGAGGGTGGCTGCTGCACTGAACCCTGCCTTTTTTTCCAACAGGAACATATGTTTGATCTTGTGACTAGTTAACAGCTTAAGGTATAGTCTGTTTCTGGATACCAGATATGCAATGCAAACTCTCCGTACTCTACCTGTCAGAATGAGGTCTTCCTTTTTGCAAGAGGTTAAAACAGATAGACTATTGGCAAAGACTAGGGACTTTAACTTGATTTTCCTTATTCATACATTTTCTAAAGAAATAAGTAAGGATTAAGTGGGTTTTTTTTTTTTGTGTGTGTTTTTTTTTTAAATTTTTTATTTGTTTATTTTATTTTATTTTTGTCCCCCCACTTTCAATGGGATGAATACAAACACATTTGTATTTCCCTCACTGGCTTGAAAAAATGTGCGGGGGCACACAGAGGACTGGCGCTTATGTTGGAGGCCCATCAAAAAAAAGTGACGCTGCATGCCATGCACATGTTAAACGAACAAGTGAGAGCAAAGGCTGGGACACCAGGATTGTGAGAGATCCCCTCACACAATCGCCGACTAACTGTAACACCAATATTGAGCCTTCACGGGGGCTTCCCAGGTAGGAGACTGATTCAAATAACTAGTTTTACTGAGTTCTGGGTTTTGTGGTTATTTTACATTTGGCTTATTTGTAATATGCTGGTTTGCTCATTCTTGAAATTCAGACAGGCTTGGGGAACTGCAATCGATGGTTAGACTTTTAGAATAATTGCGGTTTTAATTCAAAATACCAAACAATTCCAAAAATGCAATGTGTTGGAGTGTAGCAAATACCTACATTGTTGTTGGTTTTTCTTTTTCTTTTTTTGTTTGTTTTTTGTGCCTGTGTCCCATACCTTCTACATATGATTTTTTTTATTTAGGTTATAATGATTTTGTCTAAATAAATGAACCCTTAAAGGGCCTCTATAGGCTGAAATTGACACTGTGTGTGTGTGTGTGTGTGTGTGTGTGTGTGTATACACAATGTGTGTATGTACATACATACAAACAAGTGGTGTTTTTTTGTTTTTATTGAATTCATTAATTCAAAGAGGTTAATGTGAATTATTTGCACTACAAAGTGAGTGAAATTTCTCAGTTTGTATATATATATATATATATTCCAGTACAACTTGTTTCTGTTCCAAAGATTTCCATTGTAGCTTCACTCACGTTTAATTTGTATGTGATTGAATAAATGTATTGCTTTCAAATGGAAAGCTGTTAGAGAGTCTTAAAATTCAAATTTAAAGCAACACTATAGTCACCAGAACCACTACAGCTTAATGCCTGTCCCTGCATGCTGAGCACTGTAACCACTGCCTTTTTAGAGAAAAGGCAGTGTTTACATTGCTGCCTCGGGACACCACTAGTGGCAGTCAGTCGGACAGCCACTAGAGGTGCTTTCTCGTCCAGTGCTTCATGGAGACGCTGAACGTTTCCTATAGCGATGCTAATTGTTGCAGTGCTGCCTTTTGCTGTGCATGCTCAATACCCTTTCAATGCTTTCATATAGGAAAGCATTTGATTGGCTATGATCATCAAGATTGATTATCTCAGCTATGGAAACGGGGGCAAGCTGCGGTAAGACCTGTGCGGCAAGGGGAAAAAATATCAGTTAAAAATGCCTTTCCGTGCAATCGGAGGGGGGCCGGTCACCCGTGTTTGTATTCATGACGCTAGGGTCAGGTTAGTCAGTTAGTAGCTACAGCGTATTTTTTTTTTTTTTTGGTTTTTCCTGCTTCCTTCTAGCGAGTTCTATGCAATATAACCCACTGTATACAAAGAGCATTAGTGTTAATGGTGCTTGAAGTGTTCCTTTAAATTTATGGTAAAATATGCTTGTAAAATATTTCATATAGATGGATACAGGTCAATCATCTCACAATTTTTTCTTTAAAGGGACAGGACACTGCAAGCACCACAGCTAATACACATTATTTTCCTTCTATATTTTTATCAACCTATATATAAAAAGCCCAGCCCAACAGTCATATGACAGAATTTTCCTTTTGTTGAAGTTGATTCCACTGCTGAAAACAAAGGAAGACTGTGTCATTGTGGATGTAACAAAACGGTCAATGGTGATTTGACACTTTCGATAAGTGTGCAGCAAGCCTAAACACCTAATTCTCTCCCCCACCCATAGAAAGTGCAGTGTTAATGTAATAAATAAGCATGAATTTCTTGTTTTGACCTCTAGCTGTATGTTCACCTGTTATATTAACAGGAATGCAGTTGAGTGAGTCCATGATTTTTACCCTTTTTGTGCTTTTCTAAAAGATTCTGGCCTAAAAATAGCACTTGGAGATGAAAGCAAAATATAGCTTCTGATCACTGAATTTGCAATATTATAATGGTCATTTTGTGTAGCCTTTATTTACGCTGCCATGATTGCTTCCCATTAGAAACCCCAAGTGATTACTCTTTTATATATTGTTTTAGTGCGCTCATTTAATGCTTGGACTCTGATTGCCCTGCTGCTTGCACAAACCTTGTATGTACGTTCTTTATGACCAGCATAAAACCAAGATAAATCTAAGCATGTTCCTGATAAAACATTTTAGAAAGAAAAAACACTCTGAAGAAAAGGCGATGAATACTAGGGACCAGTTCTTTACAGCCTTACTCTTTAAAACTTAATTGGAAGTCCGTCTGTTTTGCTGCCTGTGGATGTTTCGATAAAATATTCCATATGGCTTTTAAAGAACAATTGTCACCTCAAAAATATTTAATATAATAATCCTTTCATCAAACTTTGAAAGGATACAGATTTAAAAAATGTTTTAAGTATACGTACAAAGAAATTTGAAATGCATCCCTACCTTTTTAGTATATGACCGAATCTTTTGGCTATACATGCGCCCTTGGTTTGACAGTTTCTGAAAACACAGTTGGTATCTATGGCCTTCCCTGTTTCTGTGTGTTCAGTACTTTCAATACTTGATGATATGGTTACTATATTAAACTTTTTTTTTTTAGGTGACCATTGTCCTTTAGACCGTGATCCCATGTTGTCTTTCGTGTTCCGATTGTGGAATGCCTGTGTAAAGCCAATACTGGCCAAAGTAAGGTTGTTCTAGAGGAGGTACCCTACAGATTAGCAGTGGCCGAAAGGTAGATGATGCTTTGCTAGCCTGTAATAACTGGGGTTCTGGCACCCCTGCATAAAAGGAATAGTATACTACCTCACCCATCCACTGGTGTGCTGACAAGAGGTGAATGTAGCGTAACCTGATGTGGTGTATTGTGAGCAACACCATAGACAATGCAGGATAGAAGTGCAGCCGTCAGTCTGCTCAGCAGCTTTTGTGATGAGGGAGGGGGGTAGCCCTAGTCATCTGATAGTCTTGTGCTTTGGAATAGGATCCAAAGTGAGGTACGAATAGCCTCTGAAACTCCAGTCAGTGTAGCTTGTGTGTGTGATGATGTACAGAGGGCATGGAAGTGATGCTGCCAAGGGAGAGGTGAGAGGTATTGCTTTTGATTTTTTTTTTATTAGTCCATCCAATTCATGGCCAGCACCTGCACCATGGCAGCTGTTTACTGCTTCACTCCCTGTCATGGTTATTCAGCCTTAAGGTGGAAGTTGTGGTAGCAGGACTACATTGCTGATAATATATTCAGGAAATAAAAATAAATAGATACTCTTGGGGATGATTTTGGTAAAATAAACATTGTATACAGCCAGGGATGGCTTTTTACAAATATTTAAAAAGTAATACAAGTTGACACTCACTATTCTGTATAACTGATAAAATAATGTGCGCCTGTCTCTATGATGACACTCTCTCTAGGAGTGACCGCAGATAGAGCGGTGCTAACCTGTGCACTGATGCTTTATCTCAGTGGTCGCTGTCTGACTTCATTAAAATGTGAATACTGTAATTTTATTAAACTACTTATGGCTGAAAGTGCAGCGCTCTGTGTCTTTGACTTATTACAGCCATTATCTATCTCTTTTAATTTGTAGTTGTGCTAATTCAATAAGCTATACTCTGCATCTAAAGGCACCTGGTGATGGTTCTCCACATTGATTTAGATCCTTTTAAATAATGCCCACTTGCCTTATTGCACTAGACCAGGCATAGGCAACCTTCGTCACTCCAGATGTTTTCGACTGCACCTCCCATGATTCTTTGCCAGCATTATGGGGTATGTAGTCCACAACATCTGGAGTGACAAAGGTTGCCTACCCCTGCCCTAGACCTTTCCAGTCCCATATGTGGGAATGTCTTATTGTGGATGCACTCACTTAGGTTATTTGAGATAACCATATAGATGGACGTGTCTTATGTTACGTGATGGGCTTCCTTCTCAAATATGCAACCATGTGGTGTAATTACATTGTTTTGTGAGAGATCTGCAGAATAGGATTAGGATTCATGTAATCTCATTAAAGAAATGTATTTTTACTGTATACAGCAGTTTTCACGTATTCAGCAGGGATAAATACAACATAACCTTAGCCAAATCTTTCCAACCTTTGTGTTACCTTAGCCGTTAAACCTCACTTCTTTTATGGAGTAAAGCCTGCGTCTGGGTGTAGTGGCCCTCCCTGTATGTCGTTTTAGTCCTGCTATGTAAAACATTGCCGTTCTTTTGACGATATGGCAGGGTTTTCATTCCAGGACTAACCACTGCTGTAGTGGCGGTCTATCAAACAGCCACTAGAGGTGCTTCCATTGCAATAACAAAGTGCTTCAATCAGTACTTTTACAGAGAGAAGTTGAGTGTGGGGGTTTTGTCACACATGCACTTGTTGTCCACAATGCTTATCTATGAGAAGCATTGGATTGGACGAGAATGCAGATGTCCGCATGCTTGTTGACGAAGAAGGCACAAAGGGCAGCTGCAAGGGCGATGTTTTGGCTGTGGAAATGAGGGGAGTAAAATGTATTAAACTTACATTTTAAACAGAACATGGGGTGGACAGAGGACACTGTAATGAAAGTTCATTTCTTTTTTGTTAAATATGGTCTTTATTGAATTTTTTTTTGTGTGTGTGTCTCTTTTTTTTTTTTCTTCTTATTTATGTATATTGTGTTTTGTTGGAAGTTCATTTCTAGTCCTGGAAAAGAAAATAATTTCAAAACATTGGGTTCCTTATAATAAGCGCTATTTCTCTCTCCAATATTTGGCCTATACAGCGTTTTTAGTTGCCACGTGAGGACTACATGCAAGTGTGAAAAGCACTGTACATTCTGAGTCATTTAAAGAAACATTACAAGCACTATAACCTCCTCAGAACATAGATTGCCCTGTAGAATACACTTCTTGGCGTTGCGCGTCCTCTCAGAGCTCTCATCTTACTTGACATTACTTTTTTGCAGCAACCTTTAAATAGAAAACTTCTAAAACTTTAGACAAATATTACATTTTGTTTGTTTTTCTTTAGCAAAATTTCTATTGTGTATAAAATATAAATAAATTTCCCCCCCTTATTACCATGTAATTCTTTAGGCACATTCTGAGATCTGTTTTTTTTTTTGTTTTTTGTTTTTTTATCCACAGCTGGCCTTCTTCAGAGTTAGATTTGAATAGCATTCGGCTGATTGTTTACCAGGACTGTGAAAGAAGGGGCAGACAAGTCTTGTTTGATTCCAAAGCAGTCCGTGAAGTAAAAAATGAAACTGCACAGGTAAGAAACGTTATTATTAAACGTTATTATGTCTTAAAATAGACAGACGAAGTACGGTCTTCTAATGTGTTTCTTTTTGTTTTGTTTTTTTATGTCAATTGCTAAATCTTTTTGCCCAGCGTTAACTCCCTTGTTGATGCTAGGCAATTTCTAGTTCTGATCGACACACAGAGAGCCCATTTTGGAAGGGGCGTAAAAGTGTTTTTGGTGCTTTGACTGATTCTTTAAAGGGACACTGTAGGTGCCCAGACCACTTCAGCTCATTGAAGTGGTCTGGGTTCACTATACCTTTTGCACCAAGTGCTGCAATTTCTAGATTGAAACAAACCTTTTGGTCCGGTATCTGATACTGGAAATCTTCACGCTCTGCATGAGAACACACCACGTCAGATTTTCCCCATAGGAAAGCATTGATTCACTGCTTTCCTATGGGAAGGTCTAGTGCGCGCGGGGCATTTGCCATACATGGGCATTAGAGCCAGCTCATTGCAGAACATCTGAGGGGGTAAAGTAAATAAAGGGAGGGGGAAGGCAGAGGGAGCTATAGTGCCAGGGATACAGCTTTGTATTCCTGGCGCTATAGGATCCCTTTAAAGCAAATCTGTTGCTTCTGAGGTCTTCATAAAAACAAAATGTATATATTGTATTGGAATTACAATGAAATTCCATTGCAAACCTGCTATATACAAGACAAAGTGAGGACTACTTTGTTTAATGTGATTGTTTGTTTTTATGCTTTTTAAAAAAATTTTTTTTATTATTTCTATTTTATGGTGCAGCCTTATCCAAGTATCATAACCACTGCTGCCCTCTGTATGACGCCAGGAATACACTGGCCCTGTTCCCTGGTAATGGGGCAAACTTTTACAATAGTTTGCTCTTTTACTGGAGTCCCTGCTGTTTTGTCAATGTACATACAGCTCCTTCAGAAGCTGGATGCTGATGCTATTGTCATTTATTGAATGAGTGCATTAACTGACTGCTTTCAGCTATTGAATGATGTTCTGTGCATGGAAATTTGCACAGAATTGACATTAACCAGCGTGCAACTCTTTTTCCAGGCAGGATGATGACTGACACTGCTGGTGTTACACCTCTAGCAAAATGCAGCACATAAGGGCTACAGGAATCATGACCATTTCAAATTACTGCAGTTTATTTAAATTACTGGTGACTATTCTACCCATAATGACAAAACAAAAAACAGATATTTGGAGTCTTCCTAGAGCTGACTGCTCAACTAAATTAAGCAATTGGGGGACAAGAGCTGTGGTAAGATCGGTAACGAGGAACCTGATGGTCACACTAGGAGAGATCATGGGTGGAGATGGGAGAATCTAGTGGAAGGACTACCATCACTGCAACACTCCACTGATCTGACATTTATGGCAGATTGTCCATACAGAAGCCTCTCCTCACTGTAAGATATCTGAAAGTCCACTTTTGGATTGTGAGAAACGAGATTCTCTGGTCTGATCAAATGGCAATTTAACTGTTTAGTTTCAATTCAAAGCTTCAAGTCTGGAGGACACCAGACAGTGCTCATCACCTGACATTACCATCCCAACAGTGAAGCATTGAAGTAGTAGCATTATGCTTTGGATTGTTTTCAGCAGCAGAGGCTGGGAGACTGGTCATGGGAAAACTAAAATACAGAGATCTCTTTTTAAAGGACAACTGTTCCCTCAACACTATGTTTTGATTAAAGAATACTGTTGTATACTAAATATAGGGGTGCATTTTTCTCATTGCTTAACATATACTTCATTAAACACATAATCTATGTCCTTTCAAACTTGATGAAAGGATAATTATATAAAAGTTGTCCTTTAATGAAAATCTTGTCCAGACCTCTCATGACCTCGGACTGGGCTGAAGGTCTACCTTCCAACAGGGCAATGATCCGAAGTGCACAAGGGTAATGCAAGCGTGGCTTACGGACAACCCTGTGAATGTCCTTGAGTGGCCCAGTCAGATCCCAGACTAGAACCCAAACATCTCTAGAGAGACCTGAAATGACTGTCCAGTGACTGTCCCCATTCAGCCTATCAAAGCTTGAGAGAATCTGCAGAGATGAATGTCAGAAATTACCAAAATCTAGGAGTGCAGGTTTGTTGCATTATACCCCAAAAGATTTGAGGCTCTAATCACTGCAAATGGTGCTTTAAGTGAGTTAACGGTATGAATACTTTTATGCCTGAGTAAAATGTTATGTTTTGATATATTTTTAGTACTGCCAAAAATCTGTTTATGCGTTTGTCCTTATAGGGTACTGAGTGTAGATTGATATGGGAAAACAACAATTTAAACAATTGTTTAAAAATATCTTCTTTAATATAGCCATACTAAATATAGTAAATATAGCGATATAGCTATACTGCACTTTTTGGCTATATTAAAGAGACACTCCAGTGCCAGGAAAACAATCTGTTTTCCTGGCACTGCAGGTCCCCTCTCCCTCCCACCCCCCCATCCCTGGTTGCTGAAGGGGTGAAAACCCCTTTAGTCACTTACCTGAGACCGGTGGGTGAGACTGATCCTGCCCGCTGGCTGAGGAGACCTAATGCACATGCGCGGCAATGCCGTGCACGCGCATTAGAGCTCTCCATAGTAAAGAATGCTTTCAATGCTTTCCTATGGGGAATTGAGCAACGCTGGAGGTCCTCACACAGCGTGAGGATGTCCAGCGACGCTCTAGCACAGAAAACCTGTGCTATAGACACGGAAGTGCCCTCTAGAAGATAGCCACTAGACGAGGAGTTAACCCTGCAAGGTAATTATTGCAGTTTATAAAAAAAAAAACTGCAATAATTACACTTGCAGGGTTAAGGGTAGTGGGAGTTGGCACCCAGACCACTCCAATGGGCAGAAGTGCTCTGGGTGCCCGGAGTGTTCCTTTAAAGAAGATATTTGTCATATTCCCCTGCGGATCTCTGTCTGGATAAGGAATCCTTTAGCCTGCAATAGGCACAATTGGAACTGTTTAAGTCCTCCTAACAGAGTTCACGATTTACTACATGTCTGTTTTATAGGTATCATCCCAAGGATCCATTTTGAAGTATTCCTTGTGATTTTTGATAGATTTATATCACTATTGCTGTTTTATTGCACTGTGTGGGTATATGTACATTAATTGTGTGTGGGTAAACACTACCTCACAGACACACAATTTTCTTTACTTTTGTTTTATGTAACTCATGTGTTTGGGGGGGAACGCCATCCACATATACTTTTTTTTTTTTTTTGTCAATCAAATTTTATTAGGATTTATCGAAGTGTTACAAGCATAGGTATTGTGCAGCATTGTGGAAGAAAATAGTACGTTACAATTCTGTGTTTGTACATTATACCGCATAACGTGTTAAGGCTTGTTCTCGTGAGTCATTTCAGTAGCGACCCGCCTCACTCATGAGGTGGTGTGGTAAGTGAAATATGTTGTCGTTAGTTAGCGAGTCTTTGATATGAAATCATCTATCTACGGTGTTTTCTCGCTTGGAGTGAGGACCCCTGAAGAGAGTTGTTTCAGGGGTACCGTCTCTGGCTGTGCAGAGCTCCCCTTCCCCTCATCCTCTCTGTCTACGGTCATGTTTGTCCGGTCCGTACAGTGGGTAGTGTACTGGTCAGTGGCTGGGCGTGGTATGCTATCGGTCTCTATCTTCTGCTGTCTCTCGGGTTCAACCCACCACATATACTTTTAGTGCATTGCATCAATAATCAAAAACTAGAAAAAGCGCTGATACACTTGTTGTGTTTTTTTTTTTTTTTTTTTATTGCACTTGTGTACTCTGTGGACAACTGTATCACATGATTGTAGACGTAGTGAGCAATCAGCAGTTCATGCAGTGTCTGACTGATCATCTGCCTGGGAGCGTGAACCAGCCAGGCCATTTTAATATTAATGCAGCTCTGCTAGTGCCTTTCAACCAGGATGTCAAGGTCATGTCAGCTTTATATCTACTGCTGGATGTGTGAGACTAAACCTACAAGCCTTTGTCCACTGTGTTAGCTTGTTTATCGCTTCCTTATTTATTTATTTCCTGGCATTTTTATAGCACCAACATATTCAGCAGCGCTAGTCATTAAAGACTGCTGTGTAGTATTTAAATGGTGAAAACTCAAAGCTGATTGTGTAGCTTTGCATGTAAAACATAGGAGGATCAATTGTCCGTTGTTAAAATACTGTTATGGGATATGTCAGGCTTTCCAGATTAGGTCAAGATTAGACCCTTTTCGATCTAGGCAGATATCAGAGGAGAAGTTTTAAATACTGGAGAATTAAAAATGTGGGAAACTGAAAGGAGATCCTGAGAATTGCTTGAAAATGAATACTAGTTGGAATAGTAAATGGTGGTTTTGGCCCAGCATACAAACACCCTTGCTTATTTTACCTTATGCTCACCCAGGTCTCTATGGCTCCTGTTGCTCTAGGTTGCCACCTAGATTGTCTCTATGGTCATATAGACTCTGATTCTCCCCAGTTATTGAAAAGGAAAGGTTGGGCTGTTCACATAGGCCGCTCATTTTCTCATTTTATGGTTTGATAATAGTCAGAGAGGGTATCTGGGTATTCAAACTGTGTGCTAGAAGTTCCTGCGGTATTTTTCCTTTAGTACTCAGTAGGTTAAAAGCTAGAAGTTGTATGTTCTTCTGCGCGATCAGTTAACATATATTTGTATGTTTTTACTAATGGGTTTTAGTAATCTGCACTGTCAGTGCTTGGCTTATGCTCAGGAGAAACGGAGTGTGTTAATGGCTTTGTTTTTGCTTCCCTCACATGACTGCTGCATGCACATTTAACTGCATGGTGACAGTCACACTGAAGATTAAATAAACGAGATAACCTGCTATAGCCTGGGTGTGAACTCCAAAACAGCTAGAAAAACCAACCCAAATCCCCCCCCCAACATGTCTCATTTAGCAAACGTTTCATATGAATGACTATTGAATATCCTGTGCTTTAATTAATCTTTCACAGACTTGGGTTGCCAATAAGCTATGTGTATTTATTTATAAGGGGTTCTGATTGAATTAGAGATTGATTACCGATCATTGTGACGTGTGTGTGTTTTTTATAGAGGAATATCAAAACTGCTCTGAAAGATTCATTTGTAATTTGAAAGCCATAATATTTTATTTCTTTCTTGTTTTCCCTTCTTAAACTGTGCCAAGTTTATTGCTCGTATCCCAGTCCTACACCACACTGTCTCCCCTGTTTAAACACTCTACATTGCTCTAAATGTTTCTTCTTTCCTTAATACTAAATACAATAATCTCCATACAGAAACCAGATGAGGATGCATCTTGCAAGATGCTTGGTAAGTCGTGTCAGACGAGCAACAGCGGGTCGTCCTATATCTCCTCCTGTAGTACAACACAAGGAAATCCTCACCATAACAAGGATCCGCTCCCCAGATACCAGGTAATTAATATGCAGCTAGAGAGCTTCTGCTTGAAGCCATGGCTAAAAACTGTTACCTGCAATTCATCTAAAACTGCAGTATGTTGTTGGTCTGCCGTGCAATCTGTCCGTGTTTTTGTTTTTTGTTTTTTTTTGATAATTTGTTGACATGTAGATGGCGGCGAGGGAAACGGCAATCAATATCTGTGTCTTTTTCATTACAATGTTAAGCGAGCAAAAGACAGGTATGTAAGGTAGAGGTTACTCTGGGAGGCCATAAGCTTTCCTAAAGAGATTGGTTTTAAGGCACTTCTTAAAGTATTGAAGACTAGGGGAGAGTCTGATGGAGGTAGGCAGGCTATTCCATAGGAAGAGAGCTGCCTAAGAGAAGTACTGCAAGCGTGAGTTGGCCGTAAGGGTGTGAGCAGCGGACCGGAGTAGGTCACTGGCAGAGCGGAGAGACCAAGAAGGGGCATACCTATGGATCTGTGAAGAGATATAAGAGGGGCTAGAATTGTTCAGTGCTTTATAGGTATGGGTTAGCTCTTTCAAATGACTCCTATAGGATACAGGAAGCCAATGTAAAGACTGACAGAGGGGAGAGGTGTGATAGGAGCGACAAGAGAAAAATCAGTCTGGCGGCAGCATTCATTGCCTGACTGTAGCGGGGCAATATGGCTTTTGGGAAGACCAATTAGGAGAGGGTTACAATAATCCATGCAGGAAATTACTAGAGCTCCTTGGAAGCATCTTGTGTAAGAAAGGGCCGGATGCGGGCTATGTTTTTAAGATGGAATCTACAGGATTTGGCAACATACTGGATTTGAGGCTCAAAGGGGAGGCCAGAATCCAGTATGACGCCAAGAAAGTGCGCTTGCAAGGATGGACCTTTGTGGATGACGCTAATTTGAAGGGAGAGCGAAAGAGGAGGATCAGTATTTGGAGGAGAAAAGACAAGGAGCCCAGTTTTTGAGAGATTGAGTTTCAGAAAGTAGGAGGACATCCAGTCAGAGATGGAAGGCAAGTATTGACACGTTGCAGGATGGGCAGGGGAGAGGTCTGGGTAGGAGAGATTATCTGGGTGTCATTTGTGTACAGGTGGTAGTGGAATCCAAATAAGGTAATAAGTTTGCCAAGAGAGGCAGTATAAAGAGAAAATAGAAGGGGACCAAGGACAGAGCCTTGGGGGACTCCAACCGAGACTGGACGAGGGGAGGAGGTATCATTAGAAAAGGAGATGCCGAATGAGCATTGGGAGAGGTAAGAGGGGAAAACCACGAGAGGACAGAGTCACAGAGACCGAGTGATTGAAGAAGGAGAGCGTGATCAACGGTGTCAAAGGCAGAAGAGAGGTCAAGAAGAATTAGTATGCGAGTAGTGGCCTTTGGATTTAGCTGCAATTAGGTCGTTCGTAACTATGATAAGAGCAGTCTCATTAGAGTGGAGAGGGTGGAAGCCAGATTGAAGGGGGTCAAGGAGAGAGTTGGAATTGAGGAAGTGAGACACATGGGTAAAGACAAGTCTTTCCAGAAGCCAGAAGCTCTGAGGAGAAAGGGAGCGGGGATATGGCACGATAGAGGGGGAGGACAGGACAAGAGATGTTGTTGTTTGTTTGTTTTTGTTTTTTTATTGTTATTTTTAGGATAGGTACTACAGTGGCCTGTTTTAAGGTCAGTAGGGACAACGCCAGAAGAGACAGAGCAGTTGAAGATGTGTGTTAAGGAAGGCTCAAGAAAAGGGGAGAGAGATCTGATGTGGTGAGATGGGACCGGATCGAGCGGGCAAGTGGTGAGGCGAGAGGAAAGGAGAAGTGCAGCCACCTCTTGTTCAGTAGCTGGGGAGAAAGTCTAACGGGTAGGAAAGGCATGACCAACGTGTGGTTGAGAAAGAGAATGGCAAGGTGGGGAGAATTCTTTCCTTAGCTGTTCAATCTTGTCGGTAAAGTAACATACATGTTCGTGTATATCATGTCACTCACTTTATATTTACATAATGTACTTTTTTATAATTTTTTTTTTTTTTTTAAACTGTGTCTTTATTAACCAGGTCTCAGAGTGTCACTTGTAAACTATAACTGAAAGAATAATTTAGGAGACTGACTATGATCTGCTATGGTCAGGGTTGCTGATACAACTGTCCAAGCCTGCATTGCTCCACATGTACTACGGCTGGTGTTTTGTTTTGATAGTGCATAATGACATCTTTGGTTTCTTTCAAAGTAATTTCTGTTGAATTTCAGTACACCAAGCCTGCTTCCGATGTGAACATGCTGGGAGAGATGATGTTTGGCTCTGTGGCAATGAGTTACAAAGGTTCAACACTGAAAATCCACTTTATCCGGTAAATGTAATAGTTATTATTTATATTTACTATTTAGTTTTCATTTTTAACTTGATGTACTGGGGACACATGTTAATTGCTGCGATAGACCCCTAGTATGATATGTTGAGTTTTGATTGATAAGATCACAAGAACAATCCAGTAAAGCTGTGACCTGACCCACCATTTGTGCACTATTACTTCAGAAGTGTTATTTAGTAACATGGTATCAAGACCTGGAATTGCAAATACTAGAGGTGAAAAAAATAAACCTTGGAAAACGTTAAATTTTTAGCTTTCTTGGCATGAAAAGAAATTCCTGGATCAATTATTTTCTGAATAACCCTGATGATTTATTTACAAAAATGTAGAATTGCATTTATCTGCAAATCTATCCTTCATATCTCTAGAAAATAGTTAATTATTGCAACAGTCCTACTTAATTGTAACCTAAATTTTTTTTTTTCCAGCTGTCCACCGCAGTTGATGATCAGTAAAGTGTTTTCTGCCAAGGTGGGAGGCTTCAGTGGAAGCACAAGCACGTAAGAATTTGTGTTAGTGTGCGTCCATGATAAATTAGACATCTACAGGTGATACTTGAAAAATTAGAATATCGTGCAAAAGTTAATTTATTTCAGCAATGCAACGTAAAAGGGGAAACTAATATATGAGATAAATGCATTACATGCAAAGCAAGATAGTTCAAGCTGTGATTTGTCATAAGTGCAATGATTATGGCTTACAGCTCATGAAAACCCAAAATCCGCAATCTCAGTAAATTAGAATATTGGGAAAAGGTGCAATATTCTAGGCTCACAGTGTCCCACTCTAATCAGCTAAGTAAGCCATAACACCTGCAAAGGGTTTCTGAGCCTTTAAATGGTCTCTCAGTCTGGTTCAGTAGGAATCACAATCATGGGGAAGACTGCTGACCTGACAGTTGTGCAGAAAACCCTCATTGACACCCTCCATAAGGAGGGAAAGCCTCAAAAGGTAATTGCGAAGGAAGTTGGATGTTCCCAAAGTGCTGTATCAAAGCACATTAATAGAAAGTTATGTGGAAGGGAAAAGTGTGGAAGAAAAAGGTGCACAAGCAGCAGGGATGACCGCAGCCTGGAGAGGATTGTCAGGAAAAGGCCATTCAAATATGTTGGGGACTTTCACAAGGAGTGGACTGAGGTTGGAGTCAGTGCATCAAGAGCCACCACACACAGACAGATCCTGGACATGGGCTTCAGATGTCGTATTCCTCTTGTCAAGCCGTTCCTGAACAACAAACCACGTCAGAAGCGTCTTACCTGGGCTAAAGAAAAAACGACCTGGTCTGTTGCTCAGTGGTCCAAAGTCCTCTTTTCTGATGAGAGCAACTTTTGCATCTCATTTGGAAACCAAAGACCCAGAGTCTGGAGGAAGAATGGAGAGGCACACTCTGCAAGATCCTTGAAGTCCAGTGTGAAGTTTCCACAGTCTGTGTTGATTTGGGGAGCCATGTCATCTGCTGGAGTTGGTCCACTCTGCTTCATTAAGACCAGGGTCAACGCAGCCATCTACCAGGAGATTTTGGAGCACTTTTTGCTTCCTTACGCAGATGAGATTTATGGGGATGCTGACTTCATTTTCCAGCAGGACTTGGCACCTGCCCACACTGCCAAAGTCTAGTTCAATGACCGTGGGATTACTGTCAATTACAGCAAACTCGCCTGACCTGAACCCCATAGAGAATCTATGGGGCATTGCCAAGTGAAAGATGAGACAGGAGACTGAACAATGCAGAAGAGCTGAAGGCTGCTATTGAAGCATCCTGGTCTTCCATAACACCTCAGTAGTGCCACAGGCTGATAGCTTCCATGCCACACCACATTGAGGCAGTAATTGCTGCAAAAGGGGCCCAAACCAAGCACTGAGTTCATATGGATACTTATACTTTTCAGAGGTCCGATATTCTATGTACACTCCTTGTTTTATTGATTGCATGTAATATTCTAATTTACTGAGATTGTGGATTTGGGGTTTTCATGAGCTGTAAGCCATAATCATCGCACTTATGACAAATCACAGCTTGAACTATCTTGCTTTGCATGTAATGCGTCGATCTCATATTAGTTTCCCCTTTTACGTTGCATTGCTGAAATAAATTAACTTTTGCACGATATTCTAATTTTTCGAGTATCACCTGTACATGGCTTTAAATGGTTAATGAACATCAGGGCTTTATGTATGTAGATCAGTGGTCTCTGACCTTTTCTGGACCAAACAACCCTTCAGTGAGCGAGACATTTCCAAATCATTTACTCTTTTACTGCAAGTTAAAAAAGAAAAAAGTTAACTTTGCTTTTATCCAGCACTGTCTTTACCTCGTTGTAGCAGCTGCTGTCCCATCTCTTCTTAAGTATGAATTTGGGCTTTTTGATGCTTTTCAAACAGGAGCTTTTGAACCCTATGGGTATGCAAAGCAACTGCAATGCTCAGCCATTTAGATGCTCTCTGAGAAATATTGAATCCAGTTCTTCTCTATGAGAAACATTCAACGCAATGCTGAACGTGAAAGCTTACAATAAATGAAAGTATGATCTGACAGCCACTAGAATAATCTTGACAAATGTAAACATAGCCTTTTCCCTCAAACTGCAATGTTTACATTTGTCAGACTGCAGGAGCAGAATCTTTGCACTAAAACCACTGATGATGTCCTATTTTTGGTGTTTAGAGAGTCTTTTATTTCCAGATGGGCATCACAACTTTAATGTTGACACTCAAGAGAAAAAAACAAACACATTTTGGCACTTCAAATGAGCAATTGCAATCGTAAATTGAAATAAAGTGACTTGAGGCATACTAGTTGAAAACCACTGTGGTGGATTAAAAAGACAATGTGTTCATTTGAGGTTTTAGTTTTTCTTTGTGTCCCTACAACCCATAATATTAAAAATATTTTTATAGTATGCCCACAAATACCACAATACTTGATAAACATACAAAAGTATAATAGAACAATTTATTATTTTTATAGAATAATCTTGTATCCCCTAAACAAACTGATTACAGCAGGGTTGAAATCTTACACATGGCCGCAGTGTTCGGATGTGTAGCATGCACAGAATATTTACATCAGTTATGTTCTGTGTTTTAGGTCTGTGCCACTTTAAGAGGGATTTTTTTGTTTGTCTTGTTTATTTTTATTTTTTTCTGTTTTTAGTTTGCAGGATAGCCTTGAAAATATTCATCCAGATGTCAGTGCCACAAAATTTGATGTAAGTCAGAATGTGCAAGGATTGGATCAAAGTACTGCCCACTTGGGTAAGTTGTCTCTGATTATTATCCATGTCCTTTTTAATCATCTACACGCAGGTAGTAGACAAGAGGATCCAGTCCTATGTGGTGGTGTGTGCAGTTAGCCGACCTCTGGGACAACTAGTGTTCCAGGGTTGAGAGATTACCCTATTTGGTTTTATCAATATCCATATAGAAACACAACTTGGTGGACTGGTTTGGACACATCAAATATGACATTATCCACTTACACCTATTGCAGTGATCTAAGCAGCGACCACACCTGTCTATCACTATTGGGGACTCTTGACTGTACTTTATGGTGGTGGGCATCAACACTATTTTAAATTCTGTGGTCCAGCCGCTCCTTTTTTTTTTTTTTTCTAAACTGCCTTACCCTAAAATGTTCTGTTTATTTTGTCATAATCCTAATACTTTTAGGTGTGATTTTCGTGCCCTTTTATATGTTTGTCTTCACTTTGCTTTACTTTTTTTTTTCCTTCTTATCTTATGTTTTGTTTTTTTGTTTGTTTGTTTTTGTCTTGTGTGTTTTTTTTTTTGTTTGCTTTCTTTTCTGTTTTTAGGTTTGTTACAGACTTGTAGCAGCAAACTGCTGCCTGGCGTTTTTGAAGCTCGCCCCCTCCGGCTCATCCGGAGTGCCTCTTTCTTTGCAGGTTTGTGTGGGATGCAGAACTCACTATACCACACAAGTCATTCTTGCTTTCTTGATTCACAAGCTGAAATCATACCTTCTTTTCAGAATTTCAAAGGGTCTCATAGTGTCGAAGTGTGATTTAATAACTTAATCTATGTTGCAAACCAGCTTCTCCTGGGTCTTTTGGTCCCAGTGCTATGACAGACATATTTATATCAAGTAAATAAAATATTTTAAAAGGAAGACAGTCTTGCAAGATCCTCTAAAATATTTGCTCTGTTTTTGATCTTTTGTGATCACAAGTCTGTGTTTTCTTTAATGAGTATTCTTAGGGTACACTCTAATACCAGAAGTGTTGTGGTTATTTTCAATTATAATAAATGTATCAGTCAATACATTGTTAAACACAGATCTACACACAACAGTTAAGCCATAACACTTGCTATTCCCACAAATTTGCCGTGATCTTACTACTGCAATCCATTTATTTATTAGATTACAAATGAGGCCCTGTGTTTCTGAAATGACTTACAGTTTTCATTAAACATTTTGGTGTTCATATTTCTTCTTGTGTGTATCTGTTAGTTTATGTCTGAGAAAGTATGTTGGATGTTTAATCTTCTTTTAAAATTAAACCTAATTACACAGTATTATTTATCCATTGGATAATAATTGGAATTCATTAGACCAAACTTGCTGATTAGCACTGTCACTGTAATGCTTTGTTTCATAGGCTGGACATTTCCTATAGATAATAGGGATGTCCCGAACGGTTCGTCACAAACATATGCGCTGTTCGGTCCGCCCCCTATTCGTCATCATTGAGTAAACTTTGACCCTGTACCTCACAGTCAGCAGACACATTCCAGCCAATCAGCAGCAGACCCTCCCACCACCTGGACAGCATCCATTTTACATTCATTGTGAAGCTGCATTCTTAGTGAGCTGTCCAGGAGGTGGGAGGGAGGGTCTGCTGCTGATTGGCTGGAATGTGTCTGCTGACTGTGAGGTACAGGGTCAAAGTTTACTCAATGATGATGAATAGGGGGCGGACCGAACAGCGCATATGTTTGCCGTCCACGGCGAACCGTTCGGGACATCACTAATAATCACATATGAGTATACAAATTAGTAGTGTGTGTCTTTCACATAGAATGCTACTTAAACTGTGCTATTGAACTAAAACTGATTTTCTTCGAGTTGATGTCTAATTTACTGTAGTTTTAGTATATTGTTGTTATTATTGGACCTCTGGGCACTGATCGGTAGCTATCCAGCCTGTCTATAGCATGAACAGAATGCTGGCTTATGACTTGTAAAACCTTCAAACCTGTAAAAAAAAAACAAAACAAAAAAAAACAAGCAACCAAACTGGAGTGACATTGGTCTTTAATTCTGGTGGGCTTTCCACGTGTTGTTTTTATTTTAAACAAAATTTGACAAGGTTTTTATTTTCCAAATTTAAAGTTTTCTACATGGTAAGGAACAGGTTTGTTCAACAATTTAATTTGATAAGGGCTTAGCACCTGAAAAGATTAGACTTAAAAAGCATACCGTTTAATGCAAACTTGGAATATTTTTATTGAACCAATATTTAACCCCCTGGCCCCCAAGAGCTATTTTTATTGTGTAGTTATATTGATATGAGTGTGTGAGCATGTGTGAGCAATATGTATATTTTACATTTCCCAGAAATCTATAATCTAATTTTGTCTGACAGTTTTATCCTTTTTAACATCATTTATGAATACCTTGAGTCATCAGTAGTATAATCTAATCCCAGGGTGCTACTAACATTCCTAACATGCACTAGTGGACATTTTGATTGTGTTGTTTGGTTTATTAATCTGGGTACAGATAACCATATTATTGATGCCTCTCTAACTTTGGTGATGACAAACATTCTGTGAATTTAAGCTGGGAGAGTATTGTTTGTTGATTTCTACCCTTTAACTCCAATTTCTTAGATATGTGGTTTTTTTTTTTTTTGTTTCCTTTTGTTCTAGCTCACAGCACACCTGTGGATATGCCCAGCAGAGGTCAGAATGAAGATAAAGATAGCGGGATAGCTCGATCAGGTATCTGCATTTATTATTCTGTAACCATTTAACCAAAATAATCTGTCATTATTTTGAAATATGAGCCGGTTTGTAGATTAAAAACCCGGAACACCAATACAATGTGGAAGTGTGGGGCATTCTTTCCTGTAAAAATGCAGCTTTTGGTAGGAAAGGTTCTTCATGCAGTAATTGGCAATAAACTATGTCTGCTAATTTTTTTATGTTTCTATGGACATGGCAAAACATAATTTTTTATTTTTTTTTAATAAAATTCGAAAAGATGACCCACTCTTCACTCATAATGCACTTGAGCAAGCTGAGCACACAAGTAAATTTTTATTTATTGTATATAGTCTGCTTAGTTGTCGTACTATGACACTTCCATGATGTAACCTAAACTGTCATACTCTATTTTACTTGAAATAGGAATACTTACTGTCTTTTTCTTTTTTTTTTTTCTCCTCTCTTATTGTGCATTTCAGCTTCACTTAGCAGCCTGCTAATCACCCCACTTCCTTCTCCAAGTTCTTCCTTCTCCAGTAACTGTGCAAGTAGTTATCAGCGTCGTTGGCTACGGAATCAAACCACCAGCTTAGAGAATGGTCTCTTTCCTCGGTGGTAAGTACTCCCTTCATTCATTATTCTGTGTAGCTTTCGTGGATTCACATTCGTGTGTTATCCTTTCACTGCTTATCATGTGTTTTGGACGCATTGGTAACAGTATCTTTATTCTAAATAAGGACTGTAAATCCGAAGAGAGAGGAAAATGTTTAAACCTGGTTAATTTTTTAAAGGAGGGGGTTAGTGGCACGTAGTGATGTCTCCTATAATTGTAAAAAAGGAGAACAAGAAAAGATTAGGTCATGAATTCCAGACCTAATCTTTAGGTAAAGGCAGCCCTTATAGATAGAAATCCTTTAAAACCTAACTTTTAATAAATCTTTGCTAAAAAGTGCTGTGTAAACATATTCAGTAGAAGGGGAAAAAGGATCAGCGCTAAAAGGTACTTGTTAAAGTAGTTATGGTACCTGTGGCATGGGGGTAATCATGATAAGATAGTCTAAGATCCCAATTTCCAACCAAGGAAAGTTAAATAATAAAATCTGTCTCCAACTCCCATCACCCAGTGCCAAATAGCGTTAACTCCCTTCCCCTAATGCTAGAAGTTTAACCAAAACAGACTACTAGCTATATATGTATTCTAGATACGATTTAAAAACAATAGTGAGGTGGCTAATCTAGGCGAGTGTAAAGCTGCAGCATCGTCCCCATTTGTCTCTGCCACCCACTGCTCTAAATTCCCGTCGCGCGTTTCGCCGACTACCGGCTCTTCCAAGGGAACCGGGTAAGAGTGAATAAATCGTTTAACTATCCCGCCCTCCATTCTGATTGGACATCAATTCCGCCAACCAGAATGGTGGGCTGAAAGGTGATGTCCATATGAATACCTTAACACTTGCTGGTAAGGGAGAAAGTCAAAATATAATAATAAATAGTTAGTATAATAGTAACCCAAAAATGAATTGGGTAAACTTTACACCAAGTCAGTATCGAATATTAAATCCCTTCTGGGTGGTAAATGTCCGCAAGTACTGAGAATGATTGACACTCTCAGACTCGTAAATTCATCCAATATTCTATGCTGTCTCGTTGTAGCAAGAATTTGCTTCAATAGCTGTTCGTTTAATATGTTGCCAGTCTGCAGTAACTATGATCATACATGTCAAGAGATTATTAGGTCCTTATGTTGAGGTTTATCCCGCTGGGGATGATTGAAATTAAACAGTAGCAATCATAAATAAATGATAGTTGATAATAATGAATATAACCAATAACAGTAGCTTTGAAAACTTCCTAGTGAGAAGATAATAGAAACAGTAAAGCTTCCCATTTGTGATTCATATATATATATCTGGAAGCCTTTCTTATAGAAAGCTCAAAGTGCAGTCGAAAAGGGGACCCTATAGAGTATTAATAAAGGGGTGATTTATGATATGACCATATTATAAATTGTAGAGTCTACTTCTCTTGAAACAGTTACCACCAAGCCATAACGCTATGGGACACAATAGTCACCCAGATTCTCCATGAAGTGGTCTGGGTGCAGTGTTCCTGTCCTTTTAACCCTGCAATGTAAAACATCACTTTTTTTTTTTGTTTTGTTTTTTAAATTTAAATTTAAAAAAATATATATATTTTTTTTTATGGCAATGATTACATTGCATGGTTAGGTCCACCTATACTGGCTGTTACTAGGACATTGTAGAAGACTGATAGTTGAGCTGGAAAAAAGAGAAGAAAAACTTTTTTTTAAAATATGTTTTTGTACTTGCTGCGGTGGAGGGCGGGGGAGCTCAATAAGAGTAGGAACAGGGCACCTGCTGTGTTAGGAATACAGATTTGTAATCCTAATGCTATAGTGTTCCTTTAACCACCAGTGTAACTCTACTAACAGACTTTCACAGGGTTACTCTAACACAGTTGTGGCTAAGCTTTGACAATGTAGCTATTTTGGTCAGTGGTCCTCATGATGCCCACCCACTTGGTACAGGTGCAAGGTAATAGAACATTGAAATAATACTTTTCTAGCCATGCCAAGGGCTGTTCTACTGAGTACCTGAACTCCATTTTTTTTATTTCAGGGGTAGACCTTTATATTTAATTATATTTCTCTAGCAAGGTTTATTACTCCATCCTAGAAATCTTAATGCTGAAAATTTGAATAGTTTTTTTTTGCAGTGCGCTTCAAAACTGCAAAAGACCTGTTACAGACATTAAAAGATTTCTAAAAATAACCTACAGTACAATACAATAATCAAATAATATTCCCAGTCTAAACTTTTCTGAACCTGCCCATCATTATTCCCACAGGAAGAATGAAGAAACCTTTAGCATGGCAGATGAAAATTACACATCTAACCCAACAATGATCGGAAGAAAGAAGATTGCCATCAGCATCCTCTTCTCATTGTCAGAAAGTGATGAAGCCCAGAAGAGTTTCCAGGATTTCTTTTTTTCTCATTTTCCTTTGTTTGAATCACACATGAATAAACTGAAGGCCTCTATAGAAAAGGTACCAAAGCTAATCTATGTATTCTTCTTATGTATTTTAGTTCCAGTATATTAATAAAATGTACAGAAGAGCTCTAAAAAAGTTAAATTAATGCAGCCTAATTAAACATTTCTAGCACCCAAATGAGTTGAGACTCCTCTTACTTAGTGAGATACAACTTTTATATTTTTATCTAACAATTTCAATTTTCTTTTCAGTCCACCACCATTATAATAGTTATTATATATACTTTTCAGTAGACTTTTGTTCAAGAAATGTAAAATCTAAAATCATATGCACTTTTATAACGTTTCCTTCATATGGTTGACTTTTTTTTACATTTTTTGATTTAGCTGTTAATGTTAACATTGTGTGTTGTTTTTATCTCAGGCTATGATATCCTGCAGAAAAATTACAGATTCCGGTCAGAGAGTTCAGGTTTACCTTAGCCAAGTCATGGATGCTCTTGGACAATTTAGGTAAGCTCTGCAGGAGCTGAGTGTTTTTCTGCTGTGTGTGTGTTTTGTTTTTTGTTTATTTATTTTTTTAATTAAAAAAAAAAACTTATTTTGAGCCACATTAGTGAGCAGAGTGCATTTATTTATTTACAAAGTTATCAGTGGTTATTTTTGTTTTGAAAAAAAATTATTTGGTCAATCGAATTTGTATTAATGTAATACGCTGAATATACATGAGATATCTTAAAATAGAAAAGATCCTAGGTTTACATGACACTAGACAAAGCAATTATAACTCGTTGTATCATATAAACAAGATATCAGGAATACAGTCGCCTAGCATATTGATAGGATATGCCGGCATGTAGGCTCAGCAATATAACCTATAAGATTGTATGGTGCTTGAAAGAACTATTACAGTAAAATAAAAAGCATATTATGTCAGCAGTGAAAGAAAAATAAATCTGCAAGATTAAAGACAATGTAAATAAAGGAGTGCTTTGAAAATTATATAATATTATAGATTGATAGAGATATGTGGGAAGCAAATAGATGGTTTTGGATTTGTAATCATTCTTGTTTTCATAAATTAAGCTGCAGAGTGCTGAATTACACTGCTTCTTAAATGAAAACTCCCAACTTTATACAGAAAGACATTTTATTATGAAGTAAGGTCACCTGCCCCCCCTATTCTGTAAATAAAGGGTTTCTCATAAAGAAGGATGGTCTTGGGGCACAACACCATCAGGAAGAGCTCCCTCTTTCCTTTCTGGTTGACATCTGGGATGGTGCAACCTTGTCAGTTTGCAAAAGTTCAGATTTCTCTTGAAATCAACAATTTTTTTATTTTTTTTATAAAGGGACAAAGGGTCAAATCTGTTAACTTTTAAAGCATCTCCTCAAGCTGAATTGCTTTAGAGGTTTGGAGTGTTACTTTAACTACTTCTGGGGATGGCTCTTTGCAGCTGTGTACCTGACAAATTAGGGATTTTGTTTGTTTTTCATTGCATTAGCTATGTAATGCATTTTAAATCTGGCCGATATCATGCTTACTGTGAGTCAGAACGTAAAAGGACACTCCACTGCAAAAAAAAAACTAAACATTAAATCACTATTTAGTAGATATACCTTCAATTTTACCTACATACATTTCATTATGCATTGTTTCTTTGGGGCTGTATCTAAAAACAGATTGCAAAAGCTGCAGATCTCTTGTCTGAAGCCTTTGAAAGCCTTCCCATTCTAACAGTGCCCAGACTTTCTGTGGCTATCAAATTAGACTCCCAATTCAGCTAAGTGAGAAGACGTTGCATGGCAGGTGCTCTGGGCAATTGCTGCCACTTGAGTTTAGCCCCACTAAGCTAATAAAACAAAGAAGTAACCAGACATTTTGTTACTTGGAAGCAAAGGGAATGTAATGTATAAAAGTGTAAATTTGCATTGCAACTTTTTGCAAAATGGGCACACTCCTCACACATAAGGATTTACGCAAGCTAAAGTACTTTAGGGCTCTGCTGTGCCCTTTTTTTCAAGCGCCAGAACAGCCCTCGAAACACTTTCTTTGGTTGATACCTGCGTTTTATTTTTTTTTTTTTTTTTTTTTAAATAAAAGTAAATCGGTTCAACTTAATCACTTATATTGAATTGAAAGTGTTGAAGGTGTTTCAGAGTGGTGGTTATTCGGATCCATGGAATTTCATCTAAAAGATTGATTCAGATATTTAATTATAATGTGTGTTTGCTTGTGTTTTTTTTGTTTGTTTTCTTCAACTAATGAAGTTTACTTACTGGGTTCCTGTTCACTGTTAAAAATGTAAATGAATCTAATAGTTTTGTAATCTTTCAGGGAGACTATCTGGAATTTGTATTATTTTCCTCGAATTGCGGAACCCGTGTGGCTTACAATGATGTCCACTAGTTGTGAAAAAAGCCAGCTGTGTGAGCATTTTCTCAAAGAGTTCACATTCTTGATTGAGCAGCTTAACAAGAATCAGTAAGTCCAGTCAATGTTAACCTGTGGAGGGGTAGTTGTAACTTTTTTCTAATTTTATTGATTTTTATGTGCATGTGTATCAACCAATTTTACAACTAACATGTTTGTGTTATTTGAGTAGGAGATTATGGCAATTCTAAATTAAGTGGTGTACCCTTTTTTTACATTTTTGTTTAGTGCACAAAGGTTTTTTTCACACTTGCCGATACCAACACAAATTGCAGTTCTGCTTGTGTCTGTGTGCCTATATAAAGGGGTGGCGGTGTGTGTGTATATGTGTGTGTCATACACACTCACACATTTCTATTTGCTACAAGCTGTTTGTGAGGGAAAATTTAGCCTGAGTGAGTAAAAATTATTTTCTATTTTGTGTGCCATGTACTCTCCTAGATTGGAGTGGCAGGTGACTTTGAAATTCTGGCTAGTGGTATAGATCTTGAAATAAAACACCAGATGTGTAAAATAAAATAAATAAGTTGTATACGCATATAACATTGTCTTAAAATGTCAATTCCCATGCTACTAGTCATTAAAAGTTACTTGCCACTGCACCCTGTGAGTGTCCATGGTACACTCACCAAGGGGTACATTTCACACACACACTGTCTGAGACCATTGCTCTATGTTTTTCAGGTTCTTTGCGGCCCTGATCACTGCAGTGTTAACTTACCACTTGGCATGGGTACCTACAGTCATGCCAAACAACCATCCTCCTATAAAGTCATTCTCTGAAAAGCACACATCGCAGTCAGTTGACCTGCTGGCAAAGTCCCACCCGTATAACCCCCTGTGGGCACAGCTTGGTGAGTTAGATGTTGTATAGCTTATTGGTGGAAACATACATGCTTTTGGCATATACTCACTGAATAAGCACGTCATATAGTCAGGGTAATTGCCAGGATAGATTATAAAACATGGTTCTACATCTAAATATGCAAGCACTAGGAAGACATTCCTTTTTTTTTAATAATATTTTTTTTTTTATTTAAACATTTTACAAATAACAATACTTCCATTAATAGTTTTATATTTCGTTAGAGATAATATAATCAATCTTCGATTCATATAAATTTCTTACATGGAAGATAAAGACATATACACAAACATGGTATATTACATTACTAATGATACATACGCTATACAAATTTACAATATAATACAATACACAACGTTGCAACATAATTGGAAATTTAGAAAGTTTTCCTTACTAGGGTGGAAGGAGCATTCTTAATAAAGCTCTAAAATTACCAATGTCCAAAGTATTCACAATTTGGCTAATATTATTTCAACTTAATAGAGACTCGTTTACTTATCTCATATTTTCTCTATTAATTCCGAACATTTCAACCAAACAGATACTTTTTTGCTTAGTTTTTGTTTACTCAACATCAACTCCATTTGTATCTGAAACTCGAGTTGATTTTTTAACTCTTCTCCAGGGGACGTCTATATCTTTTTTCCACCATCTCGCAACCACTATTTTAGCAGCCAAGAAAAGGTGAGTAAGAATTAATTTTAGTTCATACGACATAGGTGGCCAATTTAGATGTAACAAAACTACCTCCGGGGAAATTCTCAACTCGAGTTTCAGATCTACGGGTATAAACTTTTGAATTTCCAACCACAAATTTCTCAGTTTATGGCAATCCCACCATATATGTCCAAAATTGGATGACATTCTGAAAACAAAGTGTATAAAATAATGAAGACTTAAAGACGCATATTTAATGTTGACTCTCTCGAAACCCTTGTGTGAAATTATGAATCATCATCCATAAAATTCTTCAGTAACTTGTGAAGTGCCACTGTCAGCCATCCGTGCAATAAGATATCACCCCAGCTGCTTGTGTAAAACTGCTCAGCAGTTCCGGCAATAAATAAATATATACCCAATTGCTTGCTGTTTTTCAATGTCTTTAAAATGCTAACTTGGTTCATTACCTACTTTTAATATGCAATCCGCATCTTCTAGAAGATTCCAAGAAGAATTTAGAAGTCTAAAATTGTGCAGTCTATCTGTACACTGCTCTGCACGTCTTTGCTCTGCACTGGTTTCTGTTGGGCTGTCTTGTTAGAATAGACACACATTATTTATAAGTCTGAGTCTATATAGCCTTGGGCAACAGCAGATATGCATAATTCGACACAAATATATTAACTATGTATTTGTACAAATTATCTTGACAAGGTAAAACCCTTTATTGTGATTGGTTTTGAACTCATTCCAGGAATATCTCTTCTCAACAATTCTAATTCTGCACTACACCATGACTACTACAGGTCCCATCCAAATTGCTACCTGTAAAGACTCACACAAGCCTGACAATCACTGGAAAGGAATAGATTTTGGTAGACCATAAGACTAAGCTGAATTAATCGTACCTATGGAATCTCTGTATCGTAAACAATGGATTACTGTATCCCTTGCTGTCTGAACAGATGTGTTATTTGTTCATAGATACAATTTCATTTTTTTTTTAAATTAATTACAAAGAATTCATACAAAATGGACTCTCATAATGTGGCATTGCTGTAGTGAAGGTGCAGTTTTCTAGTGGAAAATATGTCTGCTAAAATAAGTAGGGTTATCAAATCCACAATGTTTCAAAGACACACGTAATTTTGTCAAATTTGATGAAAATGCATGAAAAGGGATGCCCTGCAGTATGTATAATACATATTCTGCAGGATTATTTATTGCCTAATTACTTAATCTTATACACCTTCTTCTGAATTCTACATACTACCCCTTTTCATATGCTGCCCATCAAATATATATATATATATATATATATATATATATATATATATATATATATTTTTTTTTTCTTTTTTTTTTCGGTTACCAGATGCACCATGTTTTCTGGGACACATATTACGTATGTATGCATATAACATGGTGCATCTGGTAACCGAAAAAATAAGCAATCTAAACATTGTGCATAAAGTTTATAGCACCATTTGCATGAATATAGAATATGTTTAATGTAAAACTCTTTAGTGTTTTAGGGAAATAAATGTTCATTCAGCAATGCTCCTTAGTATACAAAGATACATACAAGAAGAGAGCTTACATGAGTTAGTGATTTTGGCTTGTGCAATGGCAATGAATTGATTTTAAGCCATATTTAAACACATCATTGCATTACCATCCATGTGTCATTTGTCATAATCCACCTCTGTCTGGAATACACATTGGCAACCTTAGAGAGCTTTGTACTTTCATTGTATCTATGCCCCGAGTTAATTTAACTACAGGCTGAACATGCCTAAGTCAGAGGTGACATTACTGAGATAAGCTGCTTAGACTTCGTGGGATTTACAAACTCTTAAGGACATGCTTAAGGTTACTCACGTTCATGTGATCAGCACGGGATGTGATGTTCTGTAAATGGAAAGCTCCGCTAGACTGCATAATTGGTCTCATTTAATGGTTTATTCTCGAAATGGGAATTGCGGAAAATTGAAAAAGAATAGTTGTCAAAAATGGTGAAAGTTTGGCATATGTTTTGTAATTCCTCTGTTAATACTCCACAATTATCTGTTAATAATAAAAAAGCAGCATGATATTTCTTTTTGACAAATTTCTGTAATTATTATAATGAATCGAAAGCCTCAGACCATTCCAACTGCCAAAACATTTGCTGGTTTGATCCATGGTAACTGGGCTTATGAACAAATTTAAAAAAAATTTCAACAGCTGCTGCAGTGTAAAACTGAGCTTTATGGGAGAGCTATAGGCCTCCCGTTAAATGTTACATTTACTAAGTGAAGGAGAGATGGCTATATGTGCAATGCAATGATTCTATACTAATCTTAAAGCACTTTTCCATTATTTAGTCAATGGTATTAGCTTAAAGTGGCACAATAGTTTGCCAAAAGAATGGCAGGCATGCATAAGTATAAGCCTAAGGCAGGCATTATTCAATGCAATTGAATGATAACAAGAGCTTGTAAACAAGATTGCATCAATGCTAGGTATCATGTACTTGTATATAAAAACAAACTATAATGTAATGCAAATGAAAAGCAGACAGATGACAAAGAAGGGAAAAAATGATTCAGAAAAGAAGAATATGTGAGTTGACAGGAAGCAATAATGTCTCAAGATACTGAGGCATATTTCAACCGAGGAATCAAAGTTGATCAAAATGACTTTCATTTTATTTTACCAGCCATGGCCCTCTTGTGGTCAGTGTATGTTATGCACGTGCATAATCACTTAAACATATTATTCATCTCACAATGTGAAATGTTTTTTATTTTTCTCTCTATACCATAGCCTTACTTGGTGCCTTTTTAATGTTTTAATGTAGTTTTTGTTTCATGGCATTATTAGAAACATAGACTGTGACGGCAGATAAGAACCATATGGCCCATCTAGTCTTATTCTTACTTGAAGAGAGTGTTTTAAAACTGTAAAGATATAGAGTGTTTATATTATAAATTTTTTAGTGCTCTTGTGTTTTTGGGTTTGTTTGTTGTTTGTGTTTTCTGTTTTTGTTTATTTATTATTTCTATATTTTCCCCCAGGTGACTTGTATGGGGCAATTGGTTCCCCGGTTAGAATGACTAGAACGGTTGTTGTTGGCAAACGGAAAGATTTAGTTCAGCGAATTCTTTATGTTCTGACTTACTTCATCCGATGCTCGGAACTCCAAGAAAGCAATCTTGTGCAGAGTACCAGCCCAGACCAAGGGGAACAAATGGATAATGGCAGTAAGATCACAACCTCTCTAGAGAAAGGAGAAGTGGAAGAATCCGAATATGTTGTTGTAACAGTAAATAATGAGCCTGCTCTGATAACCCCTTCTGTGTACAGTAAAACTAGTGAAGCATCAGATAAAAAGGTAGCAGAGATGGCCGTTCATGATTCTTCTTATCCTACTGGAAAGGAAAGCAGTTCACAAAATGTTAGCCTTTGCAAAGTGCAAACATCATTGGCCAAAGAAGCCAGGCTAGAAACGTTGGTTTCTGTGACCAGGGCACCATCGTACAGAGTGGAAGATGTAGCCACTCCTGAGTTTTCATCTCCACGTGCCAAAAACTATAACCATGGTCTTAGGGATGAGACGCAATCCTGTAAAGAAGTGAAGTTGTCGGACTGGGCAAAATCAGTACTACGTGCAGAGACACCAGACACTGGTTCATCTCTAAATAAGGTCATTTTCAAAATGGGGTGCTCACCTACTCTAGACTCTGGCTTTGAGGTTTGCAAGGAGAAGCTGGAAGAAAACCTAGAAGACCCTTGTAAACAGACTGAGAAAGTCCACAGTCCCACCAGGTCACATTCTTCCAAAATTCAAGCAGTTGCTGCCGCTGATAATTATTTTACTGCAGAAAAAAGATTCCGCATCTGTTCACAAATAGACTCATCAGTAAGTGGTTCAAGCATATTTGATGAATATTTTGTAGAAGGAAACAACATTGAGACAAATACAGTTGAGATCCTTCCCTCTCGTCCGCTCTTGTCAGAGAAATGTTTCATTTCGAGCTCTTCAAAATCATCAGTGAAAGCACAGCTTAAGGACACAGAAATCTGCATAAATGTCTTGCCAAATGCTTATAATTCAGGAACTCAAATGTACTCTTATGGAAATATCCCCTGTGGGGATGAAGTAAAGAGGACTGAGGTTAGGACAAGGGGAGACATTCCAAGGAACAGGAGCTGTGATAGTGCAATTGGAAACAGTGATGAGGAGTGCAGCGACCCTACTAATTGTCATTTCCACTGCAGTCATTTTACAGAGGAGAAGATCCCACTACCTAGGTAATATCTATCATTATGCCACAGATTGATTTACTTGGAACATTCTATATCTTGTTTGAAAGTCTACTACATTCTAAATCTGATATTTTAAAGTATTTACTATGTTTCCGTGACAATAAAATGTGCTTATAATGCAGAAAGTAAATTGTCAGGCCTATATTTCAGGGATTCATGACTTTTACATGCTATAAATTATATATAAATTAATTTAATGCAGAATGTTACGCAACACACTTTATTTCAAAAATATGTTTTAAAATAAGGTTTACACAGAAAACCATGGTAAAACGTATTTCATAATTTCTGACCTTTTGTTGGTCGGAAACCTGTTGCCTTAATTTCATCCTTATGGCATTCCATGGAGTGAACCATTTTTTGTTATTCAGATGGTATAATGTTAAACCAAGATTGCATAATTGCTTCTGTCAATTGTCTTGTATTCCTACGTAACATCTCAAGTTTTTTTGTTATTCCACTCCACAAATTTTTTTTGAGTGCAGGTCCAGGACTGTTACCTTTCTATTGTTGGAGTGTAATTATGATTTTTCCTGAAACCACTTTTTTTTGCACGCAGTAACATGACAAAGAGCTCAATCCTGTTGAAATATATATAGGCTAAATTATGAAAAGGTCATGTGTTAAAGGCTTCAGTTTTGGCTCAAGTAGATATCTGATATTATTTTATGTAGAGTACCATGATTCATACAAATTCTGCTCACACCTTTTGTTGTCATAAAACCTCTGGTCAGAACACTGACTGGAAACTTTGTGGTAGCTGTAACACATTCAGGCAGCAAGTCTTCTCCAATTCTTTAAATTGTCTTTCAATTATTGATATTCTGATCAGAGGGAGTGTGTGTGTGTGTGTGTGTGTGTGTGTGTGTGTGTATATATATATATATATGTATATATGTATGTATATATATATATATATATATATATATATATATATATATATATATATATATATATATATATATATATATAAATATAATATAGAGAGAGAGAGAGAGGGTTAGGGATATGTAGGGTAAACAGACATTCAGGGTAGGCCTCTAAAAAGAAGGCAAAAAAATAAGTTTAATACTTTAATACGTGTCGACCTTACACAATCAATACTTTAAATTTAATCAGCATTTATAACCATACCTGAAAGAGAAAATTGGTTAGTGGGAGATCCTGTATAACACCAAGATACTGGCTGATCTATGCTATGCCAAGTGGCGAAACAATTAAGCTAAATTGGTGACTTGGGAACCTAACTAGTTGCCAAGTGGCGATGAGAGGATCTGCCTATGATTTGGCCCATTGGGTACCTTTTGAGCGTTGTGGTGGGCTATTGGTGAGGATTAAAGAGATTCAAAATAGGTTGGGCGTGAGAGCTGAGGCCCTAACTGCTTTTGCCAAGAGGGCAGAAATGCGAGGCAGTAACTATGATTTTGGCCCAAGGGGAGAATACCTCCTTAGTTGAGGATGGAAGTTGGCCTCGCAGGACTGCTAAATAATGGCACAAAAAGCCGAAATGATCTATGGCCACTTAAGAAACCATAACAGCCAGATCAAGCTAAAGATAAGTCTCTTGATCGAGTGGTTGTTGTAAGAAGGGAGGTAGTATCGTAAAGTGAGTCACTTACGTGGTGACATGAAAAGCGTAAATGCGACGCCATAAATGTGCCAGAATTTATAACTATACCTGAAAGAAAAATGTTGTTATTGGGAGATACTCTATAACACCAAGATACTGGCGGACCTATGTTATGCCAAGTGGCGAAACAATTAAGCTAATTTGGTGACTTGGGAACCTAACTAGTTGCAAAGTGGCGACAAGAGGCTCTACCTATGATTTTGCCCGTTGGGTATGTTTGCCACCGAGCGTTGTGGCGGGGTGTTGGCCTCTCGGTGAGGATTAAAGAGATTCAAAAGAAGTTGTCTGTGACAGGTGAGGCCTTAATTGCTATTGCCAAGAGTGCAGAGATAAGAGGCAGTAACTATGATTTGGCCCGACGGGAATACCTCTGTAGTTGAGGATGGAATTTGGCCTTGTGGGACCGCTAAATAATGGCACATGAAGCCGAAAACTATCTAGGGCTATTTAAGGAACCCTTACAGCCAGACCTAGCTAAATATAAATTGTGTAGAGCAAGTGGTTGTTGTAGGAGGGGAGGTAAAATTGTATAGCTAGTCATTTGCATGGTGACATGAAAAACATAAATGCGAAACAATAAACTGTGGCATGATTAATTAGACAGACAGAATAATTGAACAACATGACCCCTGTTAAGTATACGTCAAGGCGAGGGTACAATCACAAATGATCGAGTTGAGGTAAACAGCCGCAAGTTTGGAGCAAGTAGGCATTGTGACAGAAAGGCATATCAAAACATAACATTGCGAACAAATGGAGCAACTGAAAATTAACAGATTACCTCGAACGCTGAATACCTGATGTACTGAATGTAGGCCTGAGTTCACACTGCGCATCCTTCCACTAGAAGGACCTGAAGTATGTATGAGAGAGAACACCCTTAGAAATTGACAACCATCACATAATCGAATCCCATAGAGTACTGGATGAAGCAATATACCAGAACTAGCAAGTGAGGTGAGGTTAAAACTGAAACAGTTAAAATAGTGACAGAACGAAGAGGCCCGGACATGTTAAAAGCGTAGTGATAGGTTCTTGGGAGTGTGTTGAAAGAGGGCTCTATGGGAAAGCCTTGCATAGGAGTAACGAGGCCGAGTGTAATAATGGAATGTAGTATGAAAACGTACATTTATTAATTTTTTTGACCCTGTATATCGGGAAATTGGCATATGTAATTGCTCAAACGAGGGGTCGAAATTTTTGTACTTGTTGCCCCTGGAGGGCCATATGTAATCGAATTGAGTGAGATTCATGTGTAGGGGTATCGTAGCAGAAGGCAGAGTGCTCAATGTCAATACAATAGATTATACAGTGTCTCGATGTAGGTGACTGGAGACATATAATGTTGCTAATACTGTGCAAGAATGAAATGACAGTATGTGAAGTAAGGATATAATGTCTACACAATACTAGTGGGTTTTTGCAGGCCGAGTTAGGGGTTGTATAGTGTTGTTGGTTTAGGCCTAGCTAGACTAAGTGTTGTAATGAAACGTTGCAAGAAAAAGTGGTGTGTGTGTGTGTGTGTGTGTATATATTTTTATATATATATATAAAATCCCCACGAAGCAGGAAGGTACTTATGCAAAGCACAAATGAGGGGCTCAATTGGTCATATTGAGGCACCCACAGAGGGCCATATGATAGGAATGCAATGAAGGCCGCATGTGATGGCATTGAACCTGAAACAAAACCAGGAAAACATTTACTCACAACCTTCGCTATATGTAAGCAGTTCAATATGGGAACAGAGGCCTCTAGAATGCCACAGTGGCTTAACAGGCTAGCGGCCGTGATGGCTATACATAATACATAGGAAAAGACAGGAGATATAAGACCTAAATTAAAAAGACCTACACCTGGAATGCTTAGGAGATAAACACTTTTATGCCTACACAGCTGGCTTGAAGAGATGAAAGCAACAGCAAATACAACCAGTAACTACTTTTGTGGTGTGCCATATTGTGTCAACAAGAATATTAACACACAAATGCCAGTCATTATTCTGATCTAATAATCGCCCTTATACTTATTTGTTTTTGTTTTGTTTGTTTGTTGGGTTTTTTTAGGTCTGATGTCCTCTACAGTCCAAGTACAAATACTTTTGGAAGGTCTCTTTTTGGTGGTTACTGTTCAACATACATGTCTGACCTGGTGCTTCATGGATTGAGTACTACTGACAAGCTGAGGCAAAACCTGACTGCTGACTTGGCCCACTCAACACATGTACGTTACTCTGTGGTATAGTCTGATGTGGTTTCTTTGTAAAAAGTGATCTTTTCTGAATGAGAGTAGCCTTTCATTAGTAGAAAGCTGACATGATCAAACCTAACTAATTAACAATGCCAAATGGAAGGAGTTCCCCTGTTACTATATCTATCTAATCTTTTGAACGTTCTTGCATTTTTGTACGCTAAGTTCCTACTAAATGTTGTAGGGGCCAACTAAATGTTTGCAAATGTTCATGGTGTATTTTTACCGAGGCTGTACGCTTCGTTATGTAGGATAAGGACTATCCATTCTTTATCACCAGTAAAGCACAGATGCATGAGGGCAGCACAGATCTGATAATCTATGTTTTGTGCATAGTTTTGACCAAAGATACTTCTTCTATATAAGGGTATAAAAAGTAAATTATCCCTGTGGCTACAATTCGCAAACATGTCAAGCTTGTTGCACATCATATGCCTTGCCTGTTTGTGTATGGTTTTCCAAAGGAAACATGCTTGCGGGAAAAAAGCCGTTCTCTAATATATTTGATTAATAATTAAAGTTTATGTTCACAAAGCGGCTTTCAAATTCAAAGAAGTCACAGAAATGCATCTAGTATTTTGCTACAAAGTTAAATAACTCCTCTAAGACAATTTGACTTAAAGTGTTACAAATATTGATAGCCCTCACTTGTCTTTTTCCTTGCATACATTCTAATTTTTTTTTTTTTTTTTTAGAATCTTGTGCCATCCTGCTGATTCTCCCTGTGAAGAGCTTTACATAAAATTGTTTCTTTTTCCTGGATTAGGATTACCATTAAAATATCTATATACATTGCTATACACAAACCAGTCAAGCCATGAGACTTGCTTTTCCCACAGAAATCTCACTTTAGCAGTGCTCTCACTACTGCAAGGGATTACTGTAGGCGTATGCACTTGAGCTCAACAAAGAACCACATTTTTGCCTCGTAATTCCATTTTATACATGGATTCAACCTAGAATGTGACGGCAGATAAGAACCATTCAGCCCATCTAGTCTGCCAGTTTTCTAAATACTTTCATTAGTCCCTAGCCTTATCTTATAGTTAGGATAGCCTTATGCCTATCCCACGCATGCTTAAACTCCTTTACTGTGTTAACCTCTACCACTTCAGCTGGAAGGCTATTCCATGCATCCACCACCCTCTCAGTAAAGTAATACTTCCTGATATTATTTTTAAACCTTTGTCCCTCTAATTTAAGACTATGTCCTCTTGTTGTGGTAGTTTTTCTTCTTTTAAATATAGTCTCCTCCTTTACTGTGTTGATTCCCTTTATATATTTAAATGTTTCTATCATATCCCCCCTGTCTCGTCTTTCCTCCAAGCTATACATGTTAAGATCCTTTAACCTTTCCTGGTAAGTTTTATCCCGCAATCCATGAACCAGTTTAGTAGCCCTTCTCTGAACCCTCTCTAAGGTATCAATATCCTTCTGAAGATACGGTCTCCAGTACTGTGTACAATACTCCAAGTGAGGTCTCACCAGTGTTCTGTACAATGGCATGAGCACTTCCCTCTTTCTACTGCTAATACCTCTCCCTATACAACCAAGCATTCTACTAGCATTTCCTGCTGCTCTATTACATTGTGTGCCTACTTTTAAGTCATCAGAAATAATTACCCCTGAATCCCTTTCCTCAGATGTTGAGGTTAGGACTCTATCAAATATTCTGTACTTTGCCCTTGGGTTTTTACATCCAAGATGCATTCTCTTGCATTTATCCACATTTAATGTCAGTTGCCACAACTCTGACCATATTTCTAGTTCACCTAAATCATTTGCCATTTGGATTATCCCTCCTGGAACATCAACTCTGTTACATATCTTGGTATCATCAGCAAAAAGACATAGACATACCTCATCAAGACCTTATGCAATATCACTTATAAAAATATTAAAGAGAATGGGTCCAAGTACAGATCCCTGAGGTACCCCACTGGTAACAATCCCATGCTTCGAATATACTCCATTGACTACAACCCTCTGTTACCTGTCACTCAGCCACTGCTTTACCCATTCAACATTATTAGAATCCTTAAAGATTGCAGTTTATTGATAAGCCTTCTATGTGCAACAGTGTCAAAAGCCTTACTGAAATCTAGGTAAGCAATGTCTACTGCACCACCCTGATCAATTATTTTAGTTACCCAATCAAAAAAATCAATAAGATTAGTTTGGTATGATCTCCCTGAAGTAAACCCATGTTGTCTCTGATCTTTAGATGTTCAACAATCCTATACTTTAACATGGTTTCCATTACTTTCCCCACTACTGAAGTAAGGCTTACTGGCCTATAATTGCCCGACTCCTCCCTACTACCTTTCTTGTGAATGGGCACAACATTCGCTATCTTCCAATCTTCTGGGACTACTCCTTTTAACAATGATTGGTTAAATAAATCTGTGAATGGTTTTGCTAGTACACCACTAAGCTCTTTTAATAGCTTTGGGTGTGTTCCATCAGGTCCCATTGACTTATTTGTCTTTACTTTTAACAGTTGAAATAGAACCTCTTCCTCTGTAAACTCACATGTAACAAATGACTCATTTGTCCTTTTCCTAACTGAGGTCCCTTTCATTCATTTTCATTCCTTGGAGTATGTGTCTGCTGTATGCAACAGCTTTGAAACACAACTCAGGAACAACTTTTTTGATATATATTTTATTATTATTATTCTTTTTTATTTATTAAATTTTTTAATGGTAATCCTAATCCATGTAAGTACCTATTTATTTATTTATTTAAAAAAAAATATTCCCAAAGTAAATGAGCTTAAGAAATCGTGTGCACATAACAAAACTTATCCATGACTTTAATAGTATTGCTGTTCTCCAAAACCTTTCCTAGTTTCAGAATGTATTTTTGTTATCTGGCAACCAAAGTTATTGTGATGTCTTGGCAAAGATTTATGAAAGAGGCAATATTCTATATGCTCCCACGCACTTATTCCTTTTTAATACATTACAATTTGCTTGTCTTTTTCTGACACCTGACAATGCTCACAGCTGCTAAGTCTGTTGTTTCAGTGACCCTTGTCTATACAGGATTTCCCAAGTAAACAATCTCATTATTAATAATTAAAATGCTTATTTTTCTTTTCATATACATTATTGCTTTTTAACGTGGGCTGCAATTTTACTACCCACTGTCCTGTTTTGTCTAATGACGTTTAAAGGAAAAAAATATTGCTGCTCTGTTATATATTTTTTTTTTTTTTTTTCTTACATAATGTGGTCTAATGCATCTTTATGGTGCATTGTTTTCACAATTCTCAAAAAAATGTTGCCTGTTATTTAGTGTGACAATGTTTGTTTAACCACTTTGTCCTCTTTACATTTAACTTACACAAGTGCTGTTATTGTCTCTAATTAGGATTCAATTTAACATAATTCCAGAATGTAACATTAGAGCACTGGAAATTCATTATTCTAAGCAACGGAGTAGTAACTTTTATATTAAATAAAATACAAAAAAGTGGAAAAACAACATTACGTATAAAAATAAATATAACCAACTGGAAAGGGTAGGATATTGAAAGATCATAGATGTCCTTGGGATCGATAATATAACATAGCGTAATACTGTATAGAAAATAAAGAAAGTGAAATATACGAAGAAAACTCAGACATATGGTAAATTCAGGTTTGTCACCCTCCTAGGGGTACACACAGATGTATTTGCAAGATGTTGCTCATATATGGGTAATCTTCCAATAATGCATAAGGAGAAAAGAAAAAGCAGCAATGGTGAAGTACAGTAAAATCACAAAAGGAATTTATTAGAATGCAATTACAGACCAACGTAGACAATGGGCATATCTCCACATGGAGTGGAACTTAGATGAAAGTGTGGTACTGGAAACCAGGCATAGATGGAAATAAACTAAAACCACATATATAAACAAATAAAAGAATAAGCGTATACAAGTCCTCAATATATCAAACGCGCTTTGTCCTACAGCTTGGACCTCCTCAGGGATATAAGTTCTTCTCACCAGGAATGCTTCTTAAATATGCTGGGATTGATAGGTGATGGAATCCACCTAAATTTGGCGTGTGTTCCACCCTGGAACACATTGACGCTTATCCTGTGTGTCTCCCAGTGGCGTGAGCTGATGATGTATTCATATGAATGAAATCCAAAGTTTGTGCACATGCGTGGACTGTTCGAATGAAGTCCATCGTTAGTGCGCATGCGAACGACCGATTCCATGTGTGCACACATGTATACGAAAACCATGCGCACACTCGAAAACCACGCTTCCATCTTTGTTCCACTCCATGTGAAGGTATGCCCATTGTCTACGTTGGTCTGTAAGTGCATTCTAATAAATTCCTTTTGTGATTTTACTGTACTTCACCATTGTGGCCTTTTCCTATCTCCTTGTGCATTATTGGAAGACTACCCATATATGAGCGACATCTTGCAATTACATCTGTGTGTATCCCTGGGAGGGTGATAAGCCTGAATTTACCATATGTTTGTGACTTTTTTCATATATATTTCACATTCTATATTTTCTATACAGTATTACACTAGGTTGTGTTATAATTTTTTTATAGATCCCAGGAACTTCTAGGATCTTTCAGTATCCTACCTTTTCCGTGTGGTTATATTTATTTTTATACGTATTGTTGTTTTCCCACTTTTTTTGTATTTTATTTGGTATTTGGTGTGTGTGAGGGACCATTTGGATCACACTTATTTATTTATTCTTATTAGTGTGTATATAATTTTGCTGTAACATTCTTTGTTGCTGCAGCTTTTATATTAGGCAAATGTAACTTAGTGACACTGAACACTTATCACAGGTTAAATGGACATTATAGCCACCAGAACAACTACAGCTTATTGTATTTGTTTCTATCAGTATAATCATTCCCTTCAGGCTTTTTGAAGTAAACACTGTCTTTTAAGAGATGTATTGATTCAATGTATCTCTATGAGGAGATGCTGATTGGTCAGGGCTGTGTTTGGCTTGTGCTGGCTCTGCCTCCTTGACAATCTCCGCCAATCTATCTTCCTATCGGAAAGCATTGTGATTGGCTGAGATCATAACTTCTAATGATGTCAGCCAAGCAGGCAGAGCCAGCAGAAGGCTGGAATAAAGGTAAGATTTTACTATATTTAGGTGGGGCCATGGGGACTAGATGATGTTTTTAACACAATAGGGTCAGGAATACATTTTTTTGTTCCTGACCCTATAGTGTTCCTTTAAAGATTAAACTAATTTTAGCATTAACATGAGTAGCATTTCAGCAGATGCTGTCCTATAAGTCTTACTGTATGGTGTATACAGTTGTGTTAGTTACTATTGTCTCTTGTTTTCCATTGACCATTTTCCTTACCGTCTTTCTCAATTCTAGCACCCTGTGTTGGACGAGCCTTTAGCGGAAGCAGTTTGCATTGTAGCCGATACTGAAAGATGGAGCGTTCAGGTAGCTAGCAGCCAGAAGGTAACTTTGGACAACACAAAGATCGGCACAGATGTCTTGGTGTCTAGTCAAGTCTACAGTTTGCTGCAGTCTATTTTGCAGCTTTACAAGCTCAGGACTCCACCTGCTTTTGTAAGTTCCTAGTAATTTTTTATTTATTTTTTTTTATTTATTTTTTATTTTTTTAAAGAATCTTGATTGTATCATCCAGAGGACAAGGTTCCAAACTTAAGACGGATTGTTAAATTCTTAGAAAAATGCAGGAAGGAACATCTAACATTCATTTATGTATTTATAAAATATTTTACCAGGTTGGATACATTGAGATTTCTCTTGTTTTCAAGTATGTCCTGGGTGCATAATAACCTCCAACTTTGAAGTCTGTTTCACCTGAGTGTTATTATATACAGCATTACTATTGAAACATGGAAAAGTATAGTGAGCTCTCTTTAAAAATGACTGTTGATACTTACCTGATCCCTGGGATTTGTCCATGTTTAGCTACTTTGTTAGAGGTGCAGGATTAACATAAAACTGAACCTCTTGCCCCTTAGTAATGAGTTATATAAATGATAACTTCTAATACTCATGGGTACCAATCGTGTCTGATTCTCTTCTGTTCCAACAGTGTGTGATGCATCTAGAGGATAAGCTGCAAGAGTTATATTTTAAGAGTAAAATGTTGTCTGAATACTTGAGAGGGCATAAAAGAGTCCATGTAAAGGAGCTTGGTGTTGTTTTAGGGTAAGTATTTTTCATAAAATTTTAACCTCTTGTAATTTTAAGTGGTTCACAGTAACTAATCTGGATAGACTGGATTGTTATAGCAATGGTGCTCCTACATCTTACCAGTGTTGGTTCTATATGTGACAACGATTGTAAGGGATGACTGGCTCCACGGAGGAGCAAAATAAATAGTTACAGGGGCATATTAATCGCAATAACCATTGCAGCTCATGTATGGCCGACTGTGTTGGTGCGGGTTAGCCCAATATACTCTGTAAGAGTTAGACATGTCAATGTGGCAGTTATCTTCAGCATTAGCCGAGCTGCAGAAAAGGGGCTTATTTTTAGGCTCCAGAGGACCATTTTTTTGTCAAACTGCTTCAGAACCGATTATCTCAAACTATGAAGGATGTTGGCGTCTGAAGGCTTTTTGCAAAAACTCTGGAGAAACTATACATTTTTTTTGTGTGTGTATGTGTGTGTGTGTGTGTGTGTGTATATATACACGTTCAATACTTTGTTTATCATTATTTTTTCAATAGCTATAATGTTTGGGTGGTTTTGTGTTCCTTCATCACTTTTGTTTGGAGAAGTGATGGAGGAACAATAAAATTATTTTAATTAAATTTTTTTAGAGGCCTTTTTTCCTATGTTTAATTCACTCCACTTTATAAATCATGTACTTATGGAATGCCAACAAGTTATATTATTAAGTTTGCTTGTGGTTTAAAATTCAAATGTTGCAATTTCTGTCACAAAGGCCCAAGAAGAAACCTTGTATGGTGACTGCAGTTCTACTAAATTTGTCTTGAGGTTTTCTAATACAAAGATAGAAGTGTGAGCCTTTACTGATGCCTTATTTTGTGTTTTGGATATTAATCTAGATGTAATACACCTGTGTTCTTTTCTTTGTTTCAGGATTGAATCAAACGATTTACCTCTTTTGGCTGCGGTGGCAAGTACCCATTCCCCTCACGTTGCCCAAATACTTTTATAAGCTACATTTTGCAAATCACATTTCTTTATACTGAAGAGAACAGAGACGTTCAGCAAGAAAGGAGAGGCACACTCTAGAAGCTGGACTGAGAAGAGCGGGAGCTGATGCTCCAATTTATTCCCCTGTCTCCTCTCTTGGAGACTGTGTTTTAATGTTTACATGGAGTATAAGGCATTATGGAGTTCCCTGTAGCAGAAGTGTTGCTTCACTGGGAAATATTTACAGAATTTGGGGAGAAAACATAACACTACAGCAGTGGTATTTAATTTTGCATTGTAATGTGGCTGGCCAACAGCCTGTCCGTGGATATTTATTAGGTTTGTGATCTCTAAATGGTTATTGGATGGAAGCATGTTGTCATTGTTTCTGTAGCATTGTTGGTTCTGAAAGTAAGAACTTCAAATGATCGTATTGCATTACAAATTCTCTCCACTGTGGGGAGAGGAGGAGTTTATAACTAAACTTTCACACTGGCACTCAAGTTGCACTTACCCTCAAATATGATGCACCATCCCATTCCCTACCCCTGTCAGTTCTCATCCATTCCCTTTTTAATAAATAATCCGTAAACACCAAGTGGGTAAAGAATCCCATCACATTCTTGCACTTGGGAAGCACCGAACATTAAATCTTTCTCCTAGTTTTGTGTTTACCAAGTTCAAACATCAGCTACCAATGTATATTATTTTGTTGGACCTCTGTAGGTTCGTTTTGGCCACATTGCCTAGAACTTAGTGAACTGCCACAGTCTAGAAATAATCTTGCAAAAGCCATTAACAGAAACTGCAGATGTGCATATACAACCAGTTTTTAATAAATAATTGCTTTGGATTTTTGTAAGTCAAAATGTGGTCCTATCAGTAGTGACTTCCGTGTGTTTTGAAGTTAGGTAAACAGACCCCAGTAATTATTATTTATCTATGAAATGTAATTTCCGTTGATATCACTACAAGATCTAATTTCCTTTATGCCATGAAGCTCGAAGACTAGAGTTTGCTTCTAGAGCCTTTGTATGTCACTCATACTGCCCATGTACTAAACAACCATTAATCACTCCAAGTGATAGACTTTCACATTTAAATATTAAACAAGACAAAATTCACTAAGATTTATTTCAAATTGATGTCAAGTCACTTTATTGACATAGCAGGTATGTATCTCTTCAGCTGGTAAGCTAGCTACATCTTCCATGATTTTGATGAAGAGATGAAGACTTACAGTTTGGCTTCTCCTTCAATCTACGGTCTAAAAAACACAATGAAATTGTAGCATGTAATGTGTGTTTTGTTTTTTTTTATTAGTTTTTTTTTTTACCCATTTTAGTTTCTTTATGTTCTGCATGGAAATGTGCAATAGACTAGTTATTATTTGCAAAATATAGCTTTTACCTGTGTGCAGTTAAGTAGTTGCTGACACAATAATTGATCAGTAAAATTACCTGGAAACAATTATTTTTGCATTAAATAATAAAAATATATGGGTCACACTGAAGAACACATGCATTCTCAACAATTCATTGATAAAGCTGATTTTAGATCCGTTTTATGAAAAAAATTTCAATGTTTTTTGGCTTGGCACGGTATTTTGTTTTTTTGTTTTTTTTTAAACACACTGGAAAGTTTCGTAATTTTTCCTGTGAAAATTATTCAGGTATAACATGCCTTAAAAGGGGTGGAAATTGAAATACATTACAACAAAACATATTATCCAATCACCGTAACAGTGGTGATTGTCACAAAGACTGGGTAAGATTCTACATGCTGCTAACTATGTACCACTTAATTTGGTCAATACTACCAATATCCAATTCACATACCTACACCTGTGCCTTTTTTAATTGGGTATAAGTCTTTTTATATCCCAATGGTATGATGTTTGTGATCATGTAATGACAATCCTAGAAGTCTAATTTCTTAAAGCAACTCACCAGAGAAACAAAGCGTACAGTTTATATGGACTTGTTTTATTGACATGGGGTCAGTTTTAGGTTTGCAAAAGCTCATCCATAACTGCCAAATAAGACACATTTGTGTATAGCGTGCAACATATGGTTTATGCTGCATGGGAACATTTATTTACAGAGCTGGTGTACTGTACTCTTGTAAGACAATGGGAGTAGCTGGAAGATGACCACACTTTACAACTTTAATTAACTAGTGGCATTTGTACTTAGTAGGGGTTATTTATAAATAACTATGGGGGAGGTGGAGAGTTCTTAAAAATGAAACAATTCCAAGGGAAAGAGCATGGATTCTCACTGTGATTGTTGCCCTTTTAAGAACTTTATCCAGTAATTTGTTTTGTGTAAGTAACCCCTGCTACGTCTTCGCTTTTCATGAACAGTGCTCACGTGTTTGTAATCATGCACACATGTGAGAATGCTTACTGCTTTTGATCTGTGAGCGCAGAGATGGGTATTGGAGGAGGTGTACAAATATATTTTCATTGTGCTGTTGTAACCTTTTGTTATGTTTTGTCATGGAGGGACCTATTCTGGTTTTTAGTAAATGTGGTTACGTTCTAAAATTCATGCTTCACATACAGTGTGCTAAATAGATGTAAAGGGAATTTGGGTATGAATTTCACAGCTGGAAATTCTTGCTTTCTAATTGCACATCTTACTAGTTTTAAATGTATACAACAGTTATTTATTTTGTTTATAAAGCTTTGAGTACCACTTTATACAACCACAATTAATACTAAATGAAACAAATTTTTAAAAAATTGCATGTACTTGCAAAAACACCAATAGGATCCAAATTGACCTTCGCCACTGTCTTTTCTGCACAATACTACCTCAAAGTTTGTGGCTTAGAGTACTGTCTAACATGTTTTTATTTAATAAAAAAATATCTTTCAGCATGTTAGCCCAGAAAAATGTTGGCTTGCTACTATTTCTTATATGGGAGATTAATTTAGGGGGAGGGGAGAGGAGGTTCGTAGGGTATGACACTAAATTGTATACAGAGACTGAACACTAATTTTTGGTGTCCGTATATCCCAGTGATGTAATCTGTAGTGTATGTTGTGCTTGTGGAATTATTGACATGCATTTTTTGTTTTTTGGGGGTTTTTTTTCTCTCTTTTATCAGTATTTTAGCAGGGTTAGTGTTAATTATAGATTGCCAATGTTTTAATTTATTTCAGAAATGTGTACTCCTTGAAAGCCACTTTGTGGCACTGAGTTAACCTTGAGACCAAACCTTCTGGGGAAAAAAGGTCCGTCTGACAACATTCAAGCTTGGCTTGATTCTTATTTTTATATTTCATAGTTAATAAATGGTTTTTCTTTCTTTTGCAGCAGTTTGCTTAGTTTATACTGTATGGTGAAAGAGGGCCAAATCTGTAGGTCTGTTAATTACAGCTGATTAGTTAAATTTAGTCTTCTTCACAAGAATAGTGAACCTAAATACACTAGAAATTTAAAAGTGCTGCTCATGTTTGACTGCACATTATTCTTCCTCTCTACACTCACACAATATGCACTGTTTACTTCTCAAACAGCTTTTGACTTTTGGAAATATTTTAAATGTGCTGTATAATTTTCAATATAGTTAATGTGGAATTCGGTGCAATAAACTTATTTTTTTTTTCTAATAAAAAGCAACATGCAACCATATCTTGGTCTTAAAATTGTGTTTCTTTACTTAAAATCTTGTGTGAACATGCACCACTTTTAATATGGAGGGCCTGAAAATGATATTTTAAAACATTTTCAAAACAATAGGTTTCATATCCTAGAAAAGGGGTAGGAAAGCTTTTAACAACACTGTGCCAAAACAAGACATTGAAGTTCCTTGGTTTGCTGGTCCTATTATTTTTTTTATTAAAGTGTGTATGTTTCTGTCTTCTGCCTGTGTTCTGTATGGATATTGCATGCGTGTATGGTTGTACTTCTGCGAACACTCATCAGCCACAACATTAAAACCCCTGAGAGGTGAAGGGAAGAACCTTGGTAATTTTATCACAATAGCATCTATCAAGCAGTGGGATATATCCGGCAACAAGTGAATAGCCAGCTCATTAATTTCATGTGTTGGAAGCAGGAAAAATAGGCAACTGAAAAGATCTGAGTGACTGACAAAGGCCAAATACTGATGGCTAGGCGGCTGGGTCAGAACATCTCCAAAACTGCAAGTCTTGTGAGGTTTACTCAGTATGCAGTGGTTAGTTCCTACCAAAAGGTGATGCAAGGAAGGACAACTGGTGAACCGGAGAATCTGTGATTATCCAGAAAAGGGATATGACCCATCTAAACATGGTCATATAGTCAACAGAATTCTTCCATTCAGTCAATTGATATTCCCTCACAGTATGTTGAATTTACTCTTGTCTCTAACTATTAGCTGGTCTTTAAGTACATGAAACAAGCAGAGGCTACATCCTCACCATACCACAAGCAGAGGCTACATCCTCACCATAGAAACGTGAAAGCTCCACAGAAAATGGCATACATGTGCCGACTTGGGGCACAGTCTACCGGTGCTGAACCAGACACAGAGGTCTTAGACTTCAGTATCCTTTCACATTCAATTAGCTGCACAAGTGTGCAATAGAAATGCCTTAGTATTAGTAAACAGGCTATACCTTGCCACTTTACTAGCTGTTAATATGCTACATGTATAGTTATGTGTCTCTATGACAAAATCTGATTTATTTTTGGTTTTCTTATTATGTTTATTGCCTATACCGATGCTCAGTATTTTGTTGATCTACTTGTTTCCTTACTTACATATAATGGAGACTATGTACACTATGTGTAAAAACTCGAATAAAATACAACTAGAAGAAAAGAAACATCCTTTGGTGAATATACAGTATCTTACAACAGTGAGAACACCCCTCACATTTTGTAAATATTTTATATCTTTTCATCTGACAACACTGAAGAAATTACACTCTGCTACAGTGTCAAGTAGTAAGTGTACAGCCTGTGTAACAGTGTAAATTTGCTGTCCCCTCAAAATAACAACACACCGCCATTAACGTCTAAACCGTTGGTAACAAGTGAGTACACCCCTAAGTGGAAATGTCCAAATTGGGCCCAATATTGATTGGACTCTGAGCAAAGCATTAGCTTGGGCCCCCTGAACCCTGTCCCCCTCCCCAAGCGTGCCATGTCCTCCACCCCAACGCAGTAGGGGACTTACAGTAGAGAGGTGACAGATTTTTTTTGGGGGGGGGGGCTCTCTATTGCACAGGTGATTTAAAAGGTAGATCCCCATCTGTTGTGCAACTCCAGCAATGTATAGACAGATGGGGCTCTACCATTTACTCATGTTTGTATTTAGCACTAAGCTGTTTTTGTGTTGAATATGTTTGTATGTGGTGTTGGCGTACTTGCAAGCATCTATTTATGTGTAGTGTTGGTTTTTGAATGCAGGGGTGTGTTTACATATAATTTTGGTGTGTGAATGCTGAGATGTATGCACATATACACACACATAGAGAGATATATCTATATATACACACCGAAACACATGCCGACACACAGATATACACACACTGGCACACGTAGATAAACAGACACATATACACACACTGACACACCGAAACACACAAAGACAGCATACAGATACACATTGACACACAGACTTCATACAGATACATACACCTATATACAGACACATATAGAGACAGACAAACTGACAAACATACCGACACATACATACTGACATATGGACACATACACTGACAGACATGCTGAAACACATACTGAGACACACTGACCTACTGACACACAGACATACTGGTGCACACACACACACTGACCGACATACTGGCGCACACAGACATTCTGGCGTACACACAGACCTACTGGCACACACACAGTGATCTACTGACACACTTGCTCCCAGGCTACTGTTAAGCAAAGGGCCCGGTCGTGCTGTTAAAGGGCCACAGCACCCGACCGGGCCTCTGCTGAAACGTGCTCACCGGGTGGCCCTAAGTGTATTGGCCACCCGGTGAGCCCCCTTAGAGTACGGGCTCCGTTGCAGCCAGAATACCAGCACCGGGGGGGATTGTTTTTTTTAATGCAAGCTATGGGCAGCGGGGCCACGGGGCAGCTGCTTTGGGCTCCCCGGAAGTTTTTCCCGCGTTAAAGACGGCCCTGAATGAGCCATTTCCCCTCCCCAGTGTCCTGTGACTCATTAGTGTTACAAAGTCTCAGGTGTGAATCGGGAGCAGGTGTGTTAAATTTGGTATTATTGCTCTCATACTGGTCACTGGAAGTTCAACATGGCACCTCATGGCCAAAAGAATTGTTGCTCTATATAAAGATTGCCTAGGCCATTAATTTTTCCCGTGGAACCCTTTGACATAGTGTATCAACACACTGACAAACACACATTCACTGACAAGCACACATACACTCTCACTAACAAACACACATATACTCTTTGACAGACACACAAACGCATACAAACTCCCTAACAGACACACATGCAATTTATTATTTTTTTACTTTTCTCCACCCAGTCCCCCTACCTTTGGGAGTGCTGGCATGCAGTCTATGTTCCTGTGGGCCAGGGGGCTGTTGGGCTGAGCGTGGGGTGCCTGGAATCCAGTGGGGCTGCTGGGTGGCTGGTATGTGGTCCCTGGAGTCCAGTGGGGCTGCTGAGCGGCTGGCTTGCGGGCGGTGATGGAGCAGTGATCTCCCTGCTCAGATTTTTCGCGTGCCTCTTAGTGATGATGGAGCAATGTCATATTCCAGCTCCGGCATCACTGCTGTGCACACATGAGAGCTGAGCAGGGAGATCACTGCTCCCTCGCTGCCCGCGGCCATTTTGTTTTTATACATTTTGGTGGAACTCCGATTTTGGAACACTAATAAGGAAACGCTGGCCTAGGCTATAAGGAGATTGCCAAGACCCTGAAACTGAGTGGCAGCGGGGTGGGCAACACCATACAGCGGTTTCACCGGACAGTTTACACTCAGAACAGGCCTTGCCGCACACTGCATCAATTTGGTCTACATGACTGTCATCTCAGAAGTAAGCCTCTTCTAAAGATGATGCACAAGAAAGCTAGCCAACAGTTTGCTGAAGACAAGCAGACTAAGGACAGATTACTGGAACCATATCCTGTGGTCCGATAAGACCAAGATAAACTTTTTGGGTTCAGATGGTGTCAAGCATGTGTGGCGGCAACCAGGTGAGCAGTACAAAGACTGCTCACCTGGTTGCCGCAACACATGCTTGACACCTGGTTGCCACCACACATGCTTGACACATGAGTGCTGCCTGCACTGGGGAGCTACAGTTCATTAAGGGAAGCATGAATGCCAACATATACTGTGACATACTGAAGCAGAGCATGATTCCCTCCCTTCGGAGACTGGGATGCAGGGCAGTATTCCAACATAACGACCCCAAACACACCTCCAAGATGACCACTGCCTTGCTAAAGAAGCTGAAGGTAAAGGTGATGGACTGGCCAAGCATGTCTGCAGACCTAAACCCTATTGAGCATCTGTGGGGCATCCTCAAACGGAAGGTGGGGGAACGCAAGGTCTCTAACATTGAAGAGGACTCCAGTGGCACCCTGTGGAGCCCTGGTGAACTCCATGCCCATGAGGGTTAAGACAGTGCTGGAAAACAATGGTGGCCACACCATGACACTTTGGGCCCAATTTAGACATTTCCACTTATTGGTGTACTCACTTTTTTTTGCCAACGGTATAGACATTATTGGCTGTGTGTTGAGTTTTTTTGAAGGGACAGCAAATTTACACTGTTATACAGGCTGTACACTTACTGCTTTACATTGTAGCAGAGTGTCATTTCTTCAGTGTTGTCACATGAAAAGATATAATGAAATATTTACAAAAATGTAAAGGATTGTACTCACTTTTGTGAGATACTGTAGCAATCTTGTCACATGAAGGGTGGCACCTTTGAAGCCTTTTATATAGATTCTGTACATGGCTCTGTACCATGTTAGTGGATCTAAATACAGCTTGATTCTTACCTTCCATGTTAAACGTTAGGCTATATTTCTTTTCTTTATTGTTTTTGTTTACACAGATTTGTAAATTTAGTGTCTTCTAAAGGGTAATTTCAAGGGCAAGAATAATACCTGTTTTTAAATATTTTGTTTGTTATAGCAATTAATATTCTATTATTTACGAACCTTACCTTTGTTTAGAAAATGACCCTGTTTATTTTTTTGTTAATATAGTTTCTTGGTCTTCATATTACAATTGTTCACTGAACCAGAATTAAGTACAAATGATCGATGAACTGAACAACTTTGAGTCAAAATAGGTGAAAAAAAATCATTTTTTTTTCTAAATCAGATTTAAATTTGCAATTCCTTTAATTCTTTACAATTCTTACAAGATTATTCATTAGTTTGTGATCTGTGCGTGGCATTCATTTTGTTTTGTTAATATAGTTGAACAGGAACACATTCCCAACAACAAACACTCTGCAATTCCTGCTCCTTTCCTTATTGGGTGAATTACCCAGCTTGTTTATTGAATAAACCTCACATATGTTCAGGATTTCTAAATCGTCCTGTGTGACAGTAAGTAGAATAATAGACTTTCATCACAAACAACCAAATTGCATTTATTTATTGGAGGAAATTTAGATGTTTTAGGGCATCTGAACTTCTGGAATCTGTAATGGCACATGTTGTGCTGCAAACCACCTCAACATATGCCACAAACCCATTGATTTCATTACTGTAATAGACTAAATGCAGCGCTTATTAGAAGTGTATTCTAATGTACCCCGCTAATAAGGCTACAAGGAAATGTGACATTAATAAGTAGATGAAGAAGGTATAGACTTATAAATTATATATGCCTTAGGTGGTCCCGTGAAATGTGCCTCGGCCCAAAAAAGATTGTGAACCGCTGATGTAGAGAGTTTGATACTGCAAGGCGTGTTCAGTTTGCAAAATATTTAACCAAGAAGATGGTCCACTGGAAATAGTCTTCTAGATAATGGATCCAAGAGGGGCATTCATTTCAATTGTCCTCCTGTAGCATCCTGCAGCATTTAAGGTACAATGTTAAAATTAGATTCCTTTCCAAACCTTTTTTTCATTTTTTTAGATGTCCATGTTTTCGACCCTGCAATGACACAAAAACAGCCATTCAGATGTACCCATGGACAGCACTGAGAAATAATGTTGAGATTTATACATATGAATATACACTGCTCAAAAAAATAAAGGGAACACAAAAATAACACATCCTAGATCTGAATGAATTAAATATTCTTCTGAAATACTTTGTTCTTTACATAGTTGAATGTGCTGACAACAAAATCACACAAAAATAAAAAAATGGAAATAAAATTTTTCAACCCATGGAGGTCTGGATTTGGAGTCACACTCAAAATTAAAGTGGAAAAACACACTACAGGCTGATCCAACTTTGATGTAATGTCCTTAAAACAAGTCAAAATGAGGCTCAGTAGTGTGTGTGGCCTCCACGTGACTGTATGACCTCCCTACAACGCCTGTGCATGCTCCTGATGAGGTGGAAGATGGTCTCCTGAGGGATCTCCTCCCAGACCTGGACTAAAGCACCTGCCAACTCCTGGACAGTCTGTGGTGCAACATGACGTCGGTGGATGGAGCGAGACATGATGTCCCAGATGTGCTCAATTGGATTCAGGTCTGGGGAACGGGTGGGCCAGTCCATAGCATCAATGCCTTCATCTTGCAGGAACTGCTGACACACTCCAGCCACATGAGGTCTAACATTGTCTTGCATTAGGAGGAACCCAGGGCCAACCGCACCAGCATATGGTATCACAAGGGGTCTGAGGATCTCATCTTGGTACCTAATGGCAGTCAGGCTACCTCTGGCGAGCACATGGAGGGCTGTGCGGACCCCCAAAGAAATGCCATCCCACACCATTACTGACCCACTGCCAAACTGGTCATGCTGGAGGATGTTGCAAGCAGCAAAACGTTCTCCACGGTGTCTCCAGACTCTGTCACGTCTGTCACACGTGCTCAGTGTGAACCTGCTTTCATCTGTGAAGAGCACCAGTGGCGAATTTGCCAATCTTGGTGTTCTCTGGCAAATGCCAAACGTCATGCACAGTGTTGGGCTGTAAGCACAACGCCCACCTGTGGACGTCGGGCCCTCATAACACCCTCATGGAGTCTGTTTCTGACTGTTTGAGCAGACACATGCACATTTGTGGCCTGCTGGAGGTCATTTTGCAGGGCTCTGGCAGTGCTCCTCCTGTTCCTCCTTGCACAAAGGCAGAGGTAGCGGTCCTGCTGCTGGGTTGTTGGCCTCCTCCACATCTCCTGATGTACTGGCCTGTCTCCTGGTAGCGCCTCCATGCTCTGGACACTACGCTGACAGACACAGGAAACCTTCTTGCCACAGCTCGCATTGATGTGCCATCCTGGATGAGCTGCTCTACCTGAGCCACTTGAGTGGGTTGAAGACTCCGTCTCATGCTACCACTAAAGTGAAAGCACCATCAGCATTAAAAAGTGACCAAAACATCAGCCGGGAAGCATTGGAACTGAGAAGTGGTCTGTGGTCACCACCTGCAGAACCACTCCTTTATTGGGGGTGTCTTGCTAATTGCCTAGAATTTCCACCTGCTGTCTATCCCATTTGCACAACAGCATGTGAAATTGATTGTCACTCAGTGTTGCTTCCTAAGTGGACAGTTTGATTTCACAGAAGTGTGATTGACTTGGAGTTACATTGTGTTGTTTAAGTGTTCCCTTTATTTTTTTTGAGCAGTGTATATAGTGAGGGAATATTCTTTAGTTCTTATTTGTATAGGAACACTATACATTTCAAAATATCTTGAGCCATCTTGTATGGACTGGCACATTTTACAAGAGAAGAATTTTGTTATAGCTTGTGTGTTCCTGTATGCAAAACTAGCCAAAAAAAACAAAACAGAACTTCACCAGTGGTCCATGTATGTTGTTTGACACAGATCACAAACTGGGGAAAAGTGAAAATACTACAGCACAGGCATTTACCCTCTTACACTTACACATAAGCCTGGCAGCATTATCCACTACTCTCTAGAAAAGTCCTTATCTGCTACAGTTTGTTGTAATGTGACACTCATACCAACAGGTTGTATTTAAATAATAATTTTTACAAATTGCACCATAAGCCCACGAATTCCCTCCTTCCAGCACAACCTGCAGTGTTTACTTTTTTGCTCCACCAGTGCAGCTATATATGATGTCATCACAAAACTGTTTATAAATCAGTGTCAGTAGTGCTGACGAACAAACAGCTTATTTTAATTATTTTAAGGCTAGTTCATAAATGGTCAATTCATTCTTACGCTCTTTGGACCAGTTTGATTGTAATTTAGACCAAGTCTGTAACATAACAACTCAGTTCAAATGTTGTGTAATTACTATTTTTTATAAATACAGAAACCATCTTGTCCCATTTAATTATCTACGTTTGTTGGTGCAAACTGGGCCTTTCGTATTCTGCTCTTTGAGGCTAAATGAATGAGCCAGCATCTGCTCCTTCTCCTTTCTTGAACAAATATATCAATGGCCCCTCTAATTATTCAGATTTAATTGTGTTATTTATTGGGTGAGTATCAAGCTGCCTATCCACTGCCTCCTCCACTCCCTGTGCTGTGTGGTGGGAGCACACAATGGATGGCTCAGGAAAACCAAATAACAGTCCTGCTTTGGTGAAGGCAATACATGTGGCTGCTTTTTTACACAAGCCGGCTAGGAATACTGCCCTGTTTGCTTCCACTTCCACCTGCAGCTTCAGTTGAACATTTTCTCTATTCTGCAAACATTGTGACATCACAACCTCAAATGTAATGGACGGTTACCGTGTCACAGTGACATTGTTAAATACATCGCAGATACTAATCTCAAGGGATGAAATAGAACATTTAAAATGTTTAGCCGTTCCCATCCCATTTGAGAGACTCTGCACAAACATAAGTCCATGCAAGTATTTTAGGAAACGATCTTGGCTACTTCCTCCTGCTGTCTAATATAATATTTGAGATATCCCTGAAACTTACTATTTGCATCTTAATAAAATAGAACAAATATATAAACCTTTTTATTGCAATATTTGGAACTGTTGAGAAACAAGTATGTTTTTCCCTTGGGTTTATCCTTCAGGGATTGAGGCTAGCTAGGCTTCACGTACCATGTTTGGTAGCAACAAGGGAAAAATAATTCCTTATATGACAAATCTTTGATGCAATGACACATCTGTCAGCTCTGACATTTGCCTTGTTTTACTTCAAATTGGGCCACTGTCTGCAGTACAGGGAGAGGAGCTATGAGGGAATATGCTTTATCTGGTTTAACTGTATAGGACAAGTGTACATGGGGAGGTTTTCAGCTTCACTCTCCACCAGGACATACACTTCACACACTTCTAAAAAAGTGATTCCAGGGGTACCTCCACTCCAATGTCCATTTCTCCTTACCTTATATACTCGGGTTCCTCATCCCAGCTCCCTCTCAATCTCCTCACTTTCATGCCACCTCATTTTCCTTTCCCTTGTCCTCTTCTCTGTTTATTTATTTTTTTTATTCCTTTCTAAGTTACTCTAATGCCGTTCTTAAATGTGTATTAACTGCCTGTTGAAGTAAATTTCACTCACATTGCTGTTTGCTTTTTGTCAATGACTTGCTATTGTTTATGCATCTGCATAAATTCATACAGATGTAATAAAGTTTTGTTTATGATTGCAGGGCCTATAAAATTGCAACCCAACTTCCAAGTACAAAACTGGTCACCATGATGCTACCCATTAGTTATACATCTCTCTGAATCCTCTCAAAGCAAAGCATTCTGGGACAGATTACAGAGGATGCCAAGTGAAATGCAGGCACACACAGAAAGTTCCTGCATCCAGCACGGGACACGCATTATGAGTTACAGTCAAAATAATTTGATTTTCACTTTCTGTTACTCTGTACATTTGTTACGGATTTGCCTGTCACAGTGCATATATACAAACATGAGTAAAATGTCACTGTCATTGCTCTGGCCTCTGGGAGCTTGCTGGCTGAATAATGGCTCTTAAATACAGTACGTAACAGTTTAAAATATACAATAAATAAAGATTTATAAATGCTAGGGGCTCTGCTTTCAGCCGTCAACAGGAGTATCTTTTTACATTACAAGGATTCATATTCTTTTTCATGCCCTCTTTCCTCCCGCTACTTATTATTTATTGTTTGCTTATATTTTATTCTGCAGGAACAGAAAATAAACTTTAGCTACTTCCTCATCTCGTATAAACCCACTTGCGTCTATTTCCCAATGTGCCCCCTATTGTATCTCTTTCCATATCTACAATAAGCAGTATTTTGTCTCTCTCATTAACTTCTATAAATCCCATTTTGTCTCTTTCTTCCTCTCCATCTCCTATATTCTTGTTTGCGTCTCTGTCACCATCCCACGGAAGCCTGTCTGATAATGCTAAACCCGTGTTGTGCCTGTTATCTCCAAAGTCTACATTTCTTTTATGCTCAATCACCACCATGGCCATCAAAATATCATGGGAGTCCAAAGTGGCATAATTTTGGTGGTATACCAGAAGACAAAAATAATATTGGCAGCCTGTTTTGCTTTATATTTCACTACACTCTTCACCATAAACCTTTCATTTAAATCTAGATAATTAGTTTGAAATATAGTAAACCCACTACGAACCTGTTGGATTTTTTCCGGGGCCGAAGTCCAGTTGCTGTTACCATAATAATCCTCATATTTATCATGAGTCCATGCTAGGGTGGCTCGTGCACCAAATCCTTCAGCATCAAGAATATGTGGTGGAGGGCACCTATAACAGATCAAACAAAAATATAATACAGACAAAAATAATATTGGAAAAATGTTTAGAAGGTAGAGTGTAGAAACCATTTGTAAATATGTAAAAGATTTCATAAACTGGAATTAGATCAAAATCATTTTGCAGGAATGAGTAACACCATGGACCTGCTGAAATGCTGCAAAAAGACAATAGCGCATTCACATAGGTAAAAAAAAAATAAGAATGCACATAGCATGAAATTATGAAAAAAAACTGCCAACTTTGCTTAACTGTCCAGATAATTCAATACAAGATTGGATTCCTGACATTAAAGTAGACCATGTTAGAGTCAATTATAAAAAGTTGTATAATTAAATTATATTATAAAATTAATTATCAAAATATTCGAAGCTTGGACTTGTCACCAGTGGGGTACCTTAGGGATCTGTACTTGGACCCATCCTCTTTAATATTTTTATTAGTGATATTGCAGAAGGTCTTGATGGTAAGGTATGTCTTTTTGCTGATGATACTAAGATATGTAACAGGGTTGATGTTCCAGGAGGGATAAGCCAAATGACAAATGATTTAGGTAAACTAGAAAAATGGTCAGAATTGTGGCAACTGACATTTAATGTGGATAAGTGCAAGATAATGCATCTTGGACGTAAAAACCCAAGGGCAGAGTACAGAATATTTGATGGAGTCCTAACCTCAACATATGAGGAAAGGGATTTAGGGGTGATTATTTCTGATGACTTAAAGGTAGGCAGACAATGTAATAGAGCAGCAGGAAATGCTAGCAGAATGCTTGGTTGTATAGGGAGAGGTATTAGCAGTAGAAAGAGGGAAGTGCTCATGCCATTGTACAGAACACTGGTGAGACCTCACTTGGAGTATTGTACACAGTACTGGAGACCGTATCTTCAGAAGGATATTGATACCTTAGAGAGGGTTCAGAGAAGGGCTACTAAACTGGTTCATGGATTGCAGGATAAAACTTACCAGGAAAGGTTAAAGGATCTTAACATGTATAGCTTGGAGGAAAGACGAGACAGGGGGGATATGATAGAAACATTTAAATATATAAAGGGAATCAACACAGTAAAGGAGGAGACTATATTTAAAAGAAGAAAAACTACCACAACAAGAGGACATAGTCTTAAATTAGAGGGACAAAGGTTTAAAAATAATATCAGGAAATATTACTTTACTGAAAGGGTAGTGGATGCATGGAATAGCCTTCCAGCTGAAGTGGTAGAGGTTAACACAGTAAATGAGTTTAAGCATGCGTGGGATAGGCATAAGGCTATCCTAACTATAAGATAAGACTAGGGACTAATGAAAGTATTTATTTTTGCATAAGTGTTTTTTCTATATTTGTCCGGAAACTTTAAAAAATGTTAAGACATTTTCAATTAACATCAACAAATAAACAAATGGGAGAATGTATAGAAAAAGGTCTAATTTCACAGAAAAACTCAACCTAGGATCAGAATAAGAAAAAAAAATACCTCCAAGTGAAACCTACAGAGAAATGATGGATACTTATTCTGCACAAATTTTGTATGTCAGTAAAATCACTTCTAAACATTTCACATTTTTTTCATAAATATGTATTTAATACATTTATTTTGTGTATCAAAGAATACAAAGTTATGCATTACCCATCCGTGACCCACATAAACTGATTAGAAGAAATTGTTTATATTTTGGAAGAATATACCAAGTAGGTCACTCTAACCAAGACTCTATCCCACTGATCTTGGCTCTATCACAAGTTATTAAGATCACACTCAATTAAAACACACATTATTCAAGTTATATTGTTTATCAGTGCGTAAACTACCTTTCAATAAGAAACAGTTCACCATGATTACTCTATCACATAACCTGCAGCACCTCTATTCTCAATAAGGATCCTCTGATTAATCAGTAGATGGCACTACAGTCCACACAAGTGGAACAGCTGTCCATTCATCTGGTGACATCATGCTAACTAATCTACACAGATAAGTCATTAAAAAACATTTTTTCCCACACCATTTCTCCCCACTCACAAAGAATTAGACCTAATTATAAAACTCAGTAAACCATCAACCAGTAAATGGATCCTTCAGAAAAAAGATTTTTAATGCATTTTTTTTTAATTGTAAAAAAGGGCAGGGCGCGTCAGGGATAGAGAAATTACAATAAATGCTAAACCAATTCGCAGTAGGTATCACTGGAAATATCAAACTTATCTCTAAGCCAGGTATAAGCATGAGGGGACATAGGACTCTCCCATTAAGACAAAATACATCATTAACGGCATGGCCCTGTAATGCATTTTGCCTTTGAACGCAATCTCATATATGACCACTAGATGGTGCACAGCAGTGAGATTGCCTAGTGACAAAGTCCAACACCATGACAGCATCCAAATAGGTTGGAGGCCATGAATAGCCAGGGCTGAAGGTATATTCCAGATACCAAGTTCAAAATTGTCCTCCAAATGGTATAACTGAAACTGGACTAGAAATGTTGGATGTTCACTAAAGATAAATCCAAACGTCAATCTGGCAAGTGTGCCAAGTTAGATCATTTCAAAGCAACTTGGCATCTGCTAAATAAATAGCAACAAAAGTTCCAAATTGCATGCAAATACTGGAATTCATATAAATTATTTTTTTAATTCTTTCTTTTTTAGTGTATAACGGGATGTACATGCCATTAAGTGAGAACATTTGAGGGAATACACATTGGTCGCAATACAAAGCATTTAAGGCAATATATCAGAAAATACATAGCACTATTTTTTTTAATTTTTTTTTTAAATAAGGCGAACAAGCAATCTGTGTGGGTTAAATTTGGTGTCTAGTCAGGAGGTAATGCCAGTAGTGACATGCGTGTCAGTTAAGTGTTGTTTTAGGGTGAAGATAGCACCCTGATCAGTGCAACTGTTGCTTTTGGGCCCGTGGGGTGAGGACCAGGGTTGTGGAACCTTCTACCCTGTGGACTAGTGAGTTGTCTCTTGCTGTCAAGGTCTAGGTAGCGATCTCTCAGTGTGTGTGTCTGTGTGGTAGTTGCCCTCACCTGCTGTCTGGGTTACCAGGGCCGGGTGCGTGGGATGAATAAAACGTACCGCTTTACCAACAAGTGTCGACCCCTAACCAGAGGAGGTCGAGGTGGGGTTGAGCCACCAGGAATAAAGCTGTAGTAGCAAGAGGGATGGTCCTTTAGACAGGTCCTCTGTGTCTACGGGTGTCAAAGTAACTTGCCTGTATGGACTAACATAAAATAAATGGTATAACATCACAAGTATCAAACAAGCATAAAACATCGTGAAAAAGTGTGAGATGCCATTATCGCTGTTGCAGAACTCAGGTGACTTCCTCCTTTCTCTTTGGGGGATGAATCGGACAGTCCTACTGGGGTCCCTGGTATGTGAGGTCGATGGTGTCATAGGGGTCATGGCCCCCTGTGCTATGCCCAGTGAGTTGAGGAAGGAGTGGGCCTCCGATGCTGAGGTTAATTTCATCACTGCATGCCTCGGGTGACCGCTAGGGTTCTAGACAGAAGCCATCTGTAGTCCACCTTTGCTTCGCTGAGTTGGGTAGTAATGTGTGACAGCGATTTCCTCCACTGGAGTATACTGCGGGTAATATCCTGAAAGAAAGTAAGCTGGGAGTTTTCAAACATGTATGGGGTTTTGTCCCTTATTGCTACTAGTATGCGGCGTTTGTCCGCCAGAGAGTGACATCTTATGATTACATCCCAAGGGGCAGTTGGAGGTGCCTGCCTTTCCTTGTTAATTCTGAAGTGACCATCAAATTCCAGCTGTTTGGCTTGTGTGTGTGGCAGGAGCCCAGCCGTGTGTCTTCTCAAGTAGTGTGGTAGTTCGGTCAACCCGATAGTTTCTGGGATACCCCGGATTTTGATGTTGGACTGTCTACTGCGGTCCTCTATGGTGTCCAGTTTGTTTTGGACAGCCGTATTTGCAGACTGTAAGTCACGGAGGGTATCCCCCATATTGTGTACCTCTTGACATAAGACCATTATATCTTCTTCCGTGGCTTGTACTCTTGAGGTCACGGCTTGTATCTCCGTGCGGGCCAGGTTTAGGTCAGTGTCACACATTTGTCTTATATCTTGCAGCAATTGCCGTATGTCACGTTTTGTGGCCTGGGCCAGGGCGTCGCCCTCAAATTGCCATAAGTTTCTAAGTCGGGCGATGCCACCATTCTGTGGCACAAAGGGTGTTGGAGCAGAGTCCCGATGTCTCGGGTGTCTTTATGTGCTCCCGCTGGTTGTTTTGGGGATTTTCACCCCATTTTGTTGCCGGCCAGTAGTGGCTGCTCGTTTAAATTCATATACTTTTAAATACCAAATTATCACAAAACTTTACAATATTTGCACGTTTTGAGGCACATATTAAGGTTTTGCATAAATGTGTTATTATGCAATAAATAAACCAATAAAAGAAATGGGGGCTCCATATAACCCCTATTAACCTAATCTGGCAATATAACCCCTCCAGTTCCCTATTCCTTCACACGCAAGGGTTTAAATTATATATTATAAGGCATATGAAATAATGGGCGAATGTAAATGTCTGAAAGGTGAATAGACCGAAGACGTGGGTCATATATTTTACTGTTGTAAACTTTACATAATTTTTGTCACACTCAGTTATATAATTTGTTAAATATTAATAAACAATTGTTATGAAAAAAAAGAGACTGATAAAAAAAGGTAATTGTCAATCCTTAGCATCCAATAAAATATTAAACATCACCTATACCTTGTGGTGACCTTTTTCAAGTGATGCTCAGTTTTCTTTTAAAAGTATTAAGAATGAGCAAATTACACCATAACAGCTCAGACAAGGCACAGCCAGGGCAAACATTGCAAATTAGAAGAAGAAACATAAACATTGTCTAATTTATTTTCTTCTCTGTGTACTCTGTGCGAAGAGCACGGCTTTCAATAATGATTGACAGGAGGCGATATTTCATTCCAGCACATTGTATGTTGTATTTAAATATGGTTTAAAAATAAAAAAAACAGAATATTCAAGGATATAATTAGTATGTATTTGAACAGGTCGTTGATCCAAGGAGAAACCTCATTGTTTTTGTTTCTTCTTTTGCATCAACATCATAAAAGAATGGGCTTCAAAGGTTGAACTTGATAGACTTTAGTCGTTATTCCAAGCAGATTGCTATGTAACTATGTGGTAAAACACTAGGTAATGGTATGTTTATCTATATTTTTCTTGGAAATTGTTACAGTATTTGTAAGTCATTTACTAGAATTTAGTAGTCTACTTCCTATATTATCATGCGACACACGGTAGAATATATCTTCTTTGCACTCACCATGGGTTTTGATAACTATGAGTTATTCTCTCTTCACAAGCATTCCGGAACTCCCAGAGCTGCAAACACAGAACAGAATGAGTCGCATTGTTATTATTAATCTACACATTATTATCTACAGCATTCTAAAATGAATAATTCAGTGGAAGTTGTACATGCACAGTGCAATATTTAGGGATAGGCAAAACATCAGATGAACTCTTGTGGCCTAATATTTGCAAATTCCACTTCCTTGTAATTCCCAGTTCAATTTCTGACAATCCCCATATCAGTAACCCAGCTAGCTATGAGCCTAACAGGCTACAGCCATTCAAAGTAAGAGATGCCAGTATAACCGTATTTACATTCATTTCTGTCATGGTGTTGTATGTATATATATCTCTACTTGTCTTGTTCCATTCTTGTATTCTGGAGATGATGTAATCTCTTGGGCAGGTTTTTTAATAGATAATATTATCAGAAATTGCAATCCCAGGAAAAACTGTTTAATGGTTACATTGCAACATAACCACTACAGTGCATTGTAGTGGTTATGGTGCTCTGAGTGTTTTTTTGATCTGTAATGGAAACTTAGTATTATGTTAGTCATGTAAACTGCAATTGTGACGGATTAGCTTGTTAAAGAGTAGACCCATTGTATAGTGTTTTATTGTTAGAGATCCCTTTTAGTAATATCTAAATAGCAGTTTAGCACTTCTCTCATGGAATGTCTGTTAAATATGAAATTGGTTAAACCACCAATTCAGACTCCCAAAAGTCAGAGCACAAATAGCAAGGATTTGCAGGATCTCCTCAACTGACCATGGGTGGATCTATCTTCAGTCTTAGAGTCTTGAGAACAGGACTCCAACTACTGTTGGAGTAAATATATACATTATATATAGTCAATACATTGTTTAACACAGATCTGCAAAGCAGTCAAGCCATAATACTTGCTTTTCCCACAGAAATCTCAAATATGCAGTGATGTTACTCCTGCAAGGGATTCTGGGTGGGTATATGCAAATTAGTTCAACAAAGAATCACATTTTTGCCTAATTATTCCATTTCAAACATGGATTCCTTGGAGTTTGTGTTTTCTGTATACAATAGGTTTGAAACACAACCCAGGAAGAGATGCAAAGCCAGTGAGAGTGGTTCACTAGCTTTGCATCTCTTCCTGAGCTGCATTTCAAAGCTGTTGTATACAGCACACACAAACTCCAAGGAATCCATGTGTGTATGTATATATATATAAAAATGTGAAAAATATTATAGAACAATATTTTTTCACTTTTTATATATAATCACATAATTTTTAGCTAATTGCGTGGCAGCTTTCCTATTCATTCCACAGATCCATTCTAATTATGTTAGGAAATCCTCCAAAACCTCATTTATATCCACTATATTACAAATTGATTCTCGTGAACCCCACTTAATATCTCCCGGGTAATAATACACCGACTATTTACTAAAATGTGATCAGATCTGATCCACTCAGGCAAGCCAGCTTTGTCGAATTATTGGCTTTAAAACTGCATTTACATTACAAGAAGAAAATGTTATGCTCTTTTACTTTTATTATTGTTTATTTTTATATGTTCTATTTCTTTCCTCGCTTTTGACAGATTTGATATTTTTCTCGTCTTTGATGCATTACCAATTTACTTATAATTATTGCATTATACAGTAAATTATTTATTTTACTATTTATTTTCACGTGTTTTACTTTCTCTATTTTACTTAGATTTTTTTTGCTTTGCATAAGTTTATAATTTATATTCTTTAAGCTATGTTTCACCAATATTTTAAACCTTTACAATAACAGCAATATATATTTGAATATATATATACATTTCATTAAGAACATAAAAGTAACCATTCAGTTTACTAACATAAAGTAAATATTCCAGAAAGTGTGCTTGTCACAAGAAATCAATAAACACCAGTGTATCCATGAATATGTAATATTTCTTTTGCTGCGATATTAAATCTTTATGAACGTACGAAAACTAAGCCCTGGAGGTGAAAATTTCACAATATTTTTTTTCCCTTGACTGATTTCCTTTCGGTATTTACTTTTTATCTGCATCCACAAGTATTCCACTTGCAACGCCAGTAACCTAAAGATATTGAAGGACTAAGAAATTTGTTTTCAATTAAAATGAACAAACCAAGCCTGACAAATATGTGCCTAGTTTGATCACGCTCTGTGAGAGAAGGAATGATTCAAATTTTTAAATACATGATCCCATTTGTTGAACTGGTAAAGCAGTTAAAATATTAAAGCACTCTGTACCACGTTAATAAGTTCATTAAGATTACAAATTGTGTTTATTCTCTGAAGTTTGAGATGAAATGAATCAACAACAATTTGCATTATGACAAACCAAGTGAGTTATTATTATTATTATTATTGGTATTTATATAGCGCCAACTAATTCCGCAGCACTTAACAATATTATGAAAGGGGGGGGATTTACAATAAATGACACAATTACATAGGGACACAGGAACAATAGATAGATGAGGGCCCTGCTCAAACGAGCTTACAGTCTAGAGGTTGAAAAAAAGATCAAACTACGCCAATTAAAAAAATGTCAAAAAAATCCAATACTGAGAATGAGACAATTCATAAAAACTGACCCTCGTCCCATTTTAATGGATTATATAGATAGTAAATTAATTTTATGCAAAATAAATTAAAATTCCTCAAACTGCAGCTAATGTCAGCAATAGACTCATTTATTTTTGACAAGTATGAGTCAATCAGTAGCCTCTAATTCTGGCATTTCCTGTTTTCTATCATCTGTCATTGATTCCGTGGTGTTTTTGAACTAAAGAAGGCCTAAAACAGATATGTATTTTTGAAGATTTTGACAGAAATGAGGATTGTGAAGTAGATTTGATCATCCGAATCCTCAGTCAGTTGCCGTAGAGATGGGACATCCGATCTTCAGATGAATAGGTAAGGTTTATAATTAACTGTGAAGAGATCATATTCAGCTTCTGTAGTGTTACATTACAGTTGCCCAATGGCTGGACATTAAATGCAAAAGCTAAATCATCTGTATGCTGTCACTTGTAGGACAGAGCTTCTAACCTAAGCAGAGATTTAACATACGGTAATAGTGACCACTATGGTTTTTCTGGCAATGTGTAATGACAGTATAAAAGCAGATATAGGTAAGGATAGAATTCTCAGGTTTGTTGTCAATAAATAGGCAATATATCAGGTCAAGGAAATCCGTTCCATAAACAATAGTCAGGCAAAACAGGTAACAGGCCAGTGAAAAGAAAGCTATATGCTATTTAGCAAAATGGTGGTATGGTGGAGAGACTGAGATTACACCAGAAGAAGATAGGTCAAATGTGAGATATTTACCACCCCCTTACACACTTATGTGGAATGACCACATGGCATCACAATTAACTGTGGGACTGATAAAGGGATACTACCACACATGATGGTCCTGTAGGGATATAATACCATTCTTGGAAGGTCAGCATTCTCATCAAGAATACAGTAGGCTCCCGATTGGAACTAGTTATCGCTAAATTTCCCTCTTAGAAAATTGAAACTTTACACCGTAATAATAAAGCTTCTATTGTTAATTTTATACTTACAGTGGCCAAAATGGTGGTAACGAGTCTTTGGAGGTCAACTACGCCACCCTCCACCCGGGCACTAATTCACAAAATAGAACACTTATGTACACTGGAAAAATCTAGTTGGTTCTCTTTAGGAAATTCCTTCAAATACCAATGCATCAGGCAACCATGGATTGCTCATATGAAAGAACAACCGAAATAGAGTCAGTACAGCTGAAAACCTTCCCTCTGGTGGTTCTAGATATTAACTCCTATGATTATTTACACCTATGTGGTCTCTCTGGCCCTTTGAGTCTCAACAATCTTTTAAGGTTATAATGCAATACAAAATCTTTCACTCTATAATCTTATTGAGCCTACTTTGCCAAACACCAAGGTTTAATACATTAGCACTCGGCAACCTGTCTATTTATGTAATTTCTTCTATTTCCCTCATGTCTGCCCTAATTTGACTAGATACTTGTTTTGTTAGGTTAAGTTTAGTTTAATGTCCCCCTTTTCTCCCTTAGGTACTATAGGTCATGGATCACCTTCTCTATTATTCACGGATATCTGACGGCAGCATAATGGTCATTGGGTTGAACTACAGCAATTACCATACACCTTATAGTTACAACCCCACCTACACACATTGTATATTGTATGGTTTTTGATTTACCCAATATGCCGGTTATGTGCATTGTCCTCACTTGTTACATGATGTATATATATGAATTACAAAGCCCTGTCATAACCTGTTGCTAATACGTCTGACCAATATTGCTGTTATGTATCGGAATTGTGAGCCATGTACCGTAATTATCATTGTATACATGACTGTAAACTCCTTTAATAAAAAATATAATTAAAAAAGTGACATATTTGATGTGAGCCAGTGAAGGCCAAGTAAGATGCTAGGATTCAACAGCTGGTAAATGTGATATAAATATTGTACAATGCTATGGAAAGAGATGGCAGTGTTCTATAAATAAATAACAAAAATATTGGCTGGAGTTTACATATAAAGATTTGTATCCTGTCAGGGCCGTCTTTAAGGAGGGGCAAAAGGGGCATCTGCCCCGGGCCCAGTTACTCCTGGGGGCCCTAAGGCAGCTGCCCCATGGGCCCCCTGCAGCACCTGAGGTAATCAGGGGCCACAGCCCTTTAATACTGCTCTGGACCGGGCCCTTGTAATATGGGGGTTGGCTGAATACAAACACACAGCTAGCCCCTCACACACTGCCCTGTGATCCCTTTTCTTCTCCGTGACATGCTGGGAGGAAGTGAGGTCAGATCACTTCCTCCTCAGTGCCGCTGGGGAGGAGGCACACACCACACGGAGGAGGATGCAAGCATTGTTGGGGAGAGGGACTGACTCCCATCAGCCTGGGCCAACAAGCTCCTACTGGACCCCAGGGAAGCCACCTTTCTGTACCCAAAAGGTAAGGAGACAGGAGGGTGGCTAAATATGTTTTGTTTTTTTGTTTTGCTTATTTCTGATATCACTTTTATTCAAGTGTTGGTGTTTGTAATGTAACACACAGGGAATAAGTACATGTTAAAAATCCTAGAAGAACCTGACAATTCCCTATTAAATATAAATTTTAAAAGTATTTATTTTAACATATTATTGCATCAAGTGTTATCAAAGGCTCTATACCATTTCCAAATGTCACTTTTGCCAAATTCTGGACCAGGCTATGTAAGAACAGAGTTGAGACATTATTATGGCCAAGGTTGCTGGGAGTTGCTGTCCAAGAGCTGCTAGAAGGCAGAGATTAAAATATGTAAATGTACACATATATGTGTGTGTATCTGGCTGTGTTTATGTCCTTGTGTGTATCTGGCTGTGTTTGTGTCAGTGTGTGTATCTGGCTGTGTTTGTGTCAGTGTTTGTATCTGGCTGTGTTTGTCTGTGTGTCAGTGTTTCTGTGTGTATGTATACCTGTGTATGTGTACTTGTGTGTCAGTGTGTATGTGTACCTGTGTGTGTGTGTGTGTGTGTGTGTGTGTATGTATGTATGTGTCAGTGTGTGTAAGTGTGCATCTGAGTGTGTGGTAATGCATACATCCCAGCATTTTAATGCCAACACAAATACACTCCATCTCTAGCACTGTACACATATACACCCCTGCATTTATACCTTTATGTATGTGTGTATCTGAGTGTGTGTGTACATACCTGTGTCAGTGTGTGTGTGTACCTCTGTGTGTGGATGTGCCAGTGTGTGTGTGTATCAAAGTGCTTGTATCTGTGTGTCAAAGGGTGTGTATCTGAGTGTGTGTGTGTGTATGTGCCAGTATGTGTCAAGGTGTGAGCATGTGTCAGCGTGCCTATGTGTGTATCTGCGTGTTAATGTGTATGTGTATATGTGTTATAGAAATCACCAACATGCAAACAGAGCCCTGCAAACACAAATATTACATACAAACACACCAGTTTGCTGAAACACCAATACTACACACACATGTACACAACACTACATCCAAACAACCCCCTGCATGCAAATACAAACATTACATACAAACACATTCCTGTATTAAAACGCTAAAATTATATACAAACACCAACTCTACACACAAAAGTACACCTGTATTTAAAAGCCAACACTACAGACAATCACACATTACTGCATTCAAACGCAAACACTACACACAAGTACACCACTGCATTGCAATGGTAACAGTACATACAAATACACCCCTACATGCACACATACACTCTATACAATAACATGCTGACATTCAATTGCACAAACACTGCTCAAAAATACAACCCTGCAAGGATGGTAGATCCCCACCAGGCATAGCATCGCAGGAGTTGTATGACAGATGGGGATCTATCTTTTCTTTACTCTTGTGCTACAGGGCAGGCCTTAATTATTATTTTTTTGCACCAAGGCACTCTCTACATTAGTTTCGCCTCTAGGTTGGGGTGGAGGGAGTGATTTTGCCAATTGTTATCAGCATTGACACCGTCAGGTGTGAAATCTAAATGTAGTATTTCAGCAAGCATTAGTGCACTCATAGGTATTGCTCTTTACCTATAAATGAATCATGTTTGTTACTTGCTGGAGTGACATCACTAATCTATATTCTGATAACTGGAGCAATTAGTAAGTCATTTGTCCCCCTATTTTATTCCATTTGCAGGACTGAGTATAGGAAATGACCAAAGAGTACAAGGCCTGATTTATTACTAATTATGGAGGCGACATGACTGTTCTCACAGTAACAGTCAACTGATACTTTGGAGTAAATTAAGTTTACGTTGATACTTAGTAACACAGTTTAATTACTGTAACTGTGGGAGTATTGCTTGGTTACTAAACAATGTTGCTGTAATTTTTTTTGTTTGCGTGAACTTGTTCTATATTCCTAACTTGAAATTAGAACCTATTCAATTCACGGTACCACACTGACACAGTTCACCCAAGGCCAGTTAGGCTTTAGGCATAATTTAGTATTCCAGTTTTGCGCATTCGATTTTGCTAATGCTGCCTGTCGCAATGTTGTAAGTTGCTGTTGTGCTAGCTCTCCCCGTAGTACTCATGATATCACAGGAGAGCCTGATAGAAAGGCCTCAATGGACTGTGGAAAGAGTGATATGGAGCCTCTTTACTTACCATTTCTTCCTGTAGAGAAGGACAGTGGGGAGAGACACATCGCCATGTTAATGTGGACATTAACTAACTGACTGAGGCAGTATAGAGATTTGGAACATTAACCCCTTAGTGACCAGACCATTTTTTCAATTTTCTTACAGTTAAAGGGACACTCCAGGCACCCAGACCACTTCTGCCCATTGGAGTGGTCTGGGTGACAACTCCCACTACCCTTAACCCTGCAACTGTAATTATTGTAGTTTTTAATAAACTGCAATAATTACCTTACAGGGTTAACTCCAGCTCTAGTGGCTGTCTACTAGACAGCCACTAGAGGGCACTTCCGTGTCCATAGCACAGGAAATGGATTATGCTAGAGCGTCGTGTGTGAGGACCTCCAGCGTCGCTCAATTCCCCATAGGAAAGCATTGAAAAGCATTTTAAATGCTTTCCTATGGAGAGTTCTAATGCGCGTGCGCGGCATCAGTCTTGCCCACCGGCTGACGTAATCACTGGGAGGAGCGACGGCGAGAAGAAACCACCGCCGAGGGACATCGGCGGGGTCTCGGGTAAGTGACCTGAAGGGGTTTTCACCCCTTCAGCAACATGGGATGGGGGTGGAGAGTCCTTTTAAGGACCAGGGCTCTTTTTATATTTCTGCGGTGTTTGTGTTTAGCTGTAATTTGTCTCTTACTCATTTATATACAAATTTCTTGCCATTAAATGATCTTTGTAAAGATACCATTATTTTCATCATATCATAAAATATGATGAACCAATGTAAAAAAACACACTTTTCCGAACTTTGACCCCCAAAATCTGTTACGCATGTACAACCGCCAAAAAACACCCATGCTAAATAGTTTTGTCCTGGGCTTAGAAATATCCAATGTTAACATGTTCTTAGCTTTCTTTGGAAAGTTATAGGGCAATAAGTACAAGTAGCATTTTGCTATTTCCAAACGATTTGTTTTTCAAAATTAACGCAAGTTACATTGTAACACTGATATCTGTCAGGAATTCCTGAATAATCCTTCACATGTATATATTTTTTAAAAGAAGACAACCTAAGGTATTAAACTTGGGGTATTTTGACTCTTTTCCTGCAATAATTTTACCACCAACCTATGCCAAATTAAAAAAAAACAATTATAATTGGTGAGTTTTTTTTACACACAAAGCAATTATTGGAAAACATGTACGGAGAATTTTAAGGGTTACTGCGTACAGTGATACCCCCAATGTATAGGTGTGTTGGGTTCTCTGGGGGCTAAAATACCTTATTTGGAGGGTGCTCATTCCAGTTTTCCAACTTGGAATTTTCACAGCTGGTCATCATGCACCCATGTCCTATTTGGGACATTTTTGAAGCCGCCCAATGTAATTTGACCCCATCAAACCATATATTTTTGAAAAGTAGACACCCTAGGGTATTTTAAATGGTGGTATTGTAACACTTTCCATGCACTAATTCTACCACTAGTCTTTGTCAACCGTTTGGGTAGTCAATTTTTGTGTTATTGTTCTCTCACATTGTACTTTAGGCATGGAGTCTCAGTCCCTGTTATGTGTTACTGACAAAGAACACCCTTATATGTGTTCAGTAACATCTCCTGAGTACAGTGATACCACCCATGTATAGGTGTGTCAGGTTCTCTGTGGGCTAAAAGACCTTATTTGGAATTTTCCCAGTTGGTCATCATGCACCCATGTCCTATTTGGGATATTTTTGAAGCCGGCCAATGTAATTTACCCCCATCAAACCAAAATTTTTTTGTCATTTTATTTGTGTTATTTTTCTCTCACATTGTACTTTTGGCATATTTGTGTTCAGCAAAGTCTCCTGAGTATAACAATGTCCCCATGTACAGGTTTTACGATGTTTTGGAAAGTTACAGGGTCAATATAGGGCTTGCCCAATTCAGTTCAGGATATTCAAAATTGGGTATGTCCGATCTTTTGTAGTAGCTACTTAGTCACAAACGCTGGCCAAAGTTAGTGTTTTTATGTGTTTTTTTATAAATGTGTTTTTTTTCAATTTATAATATATATATATATATGGATATTTATATTGATATATATATATATATATATATATATATAATATGTGTGTGTGTGTCTATATACATATATATATGCACACACATATACATATAACACGTGTAACACACACACTTTTATTTCCTATATATGTATAATGTATTATAATTAAAGCATTTTATAATATATTATACATATATAATGCATATATATGATTTTATTTAATTATTTTTTTAGATATATGTGTATATATCTCAAAATACACTTATAATAAAATCATATATATGCATTAAATTAAGTCCCCCGCTGGCAGCTCCTAGAGTCCTATTGCGCAATGTGATCATTGTGATCACATGGCCCTGGAGTGCCAGGGTGGCCGTAGCTGCTGCAGGGGTATTGCTGGGGTCTCCATCAGTCCCCTCCGACCATGATCGCCGCAGATTGCCGGTCCAGGTAAGTCCAGGGCTCCTATTTGCCACGGACGTACTAGGTACGTCTGCGGTGCTTAACAACCGTTTTTGTTGGAGGTACCTAGTACGTCCATGGTTGTTAAGGGGATATACATAGCATGAAATGATATATATATATCTAAGTGTATTTTGATATTAATATATATATATATTAATATCAAAATAGAGTTAGAATAAAATAACATATATATATTTTTTTAAATTTAAAAATTATTTTCACAGTTTTTATATTTATTTTTAATTAATTATTATTTATTTTTTATAATATATGTATACAATATATATGTAATTTTATACAATATATAATTTTTTTTTTATTATTTATTAACTTTGTTTTTTTATATTTTTACTTAGTTTTTTTACTTTTTTCACCAGCTGCCTGAACTGACTGCTGGCAGCACTATGGACACCTATTGCGGCCATGTGACCGCTCTTTATAGTATGCACGGGCGTGGGGCGCAATATAGGTGATCAATGGCGTGCCAACAAGTTTTAGGGGAGAACCACTGCTAACAGGGATGATCAATTGCGTACCCTTGTGCTCCCTCTGTAGCAATACCTTGCGAGAGTAGTTAAAATAGAGAAGAAGTGAACTTCTGATACATATGCCCATTTAGAGGTAGATTTCCCACCTTTGGGCATGTGACTTAGCCTATACCCTGTACTTGATGGACGCTCCCCCCGTAATCAAGATTCAAGTCCCACGGATCCCACACAGCCCAGAGCACTTTGCCCACAAGTCCCGGATTCCAATACCAGTACTTGATTTCGAGGCCCTCCTTAACAATGTTTCTGCTCAGGCTTGGCCGTGGCCTTCTGAGGTAGTGAGCAATGCCTAGGGAACATTCCCAACATGGGCTGTGGCCTGGGAGGGTGGTGGCTTGTAGCAGGGCCGAGTCTTCAGCGCCAGGGCCGGTGCCACCCTTAGGCGAACTAGGCATTCACCTAAGGTGCCGGCCTGCTGGGGGCACACACCGGGATATTTCCTGGTGGCTCCCCCATTCTTGGGCCACAGCACTCTCCATGAGAGTAGGCTGTGTGTCTCGAGGTGTTGGCTTGCTCCTGGCTTCTGCCATCTTGCCACTAGTAGGCTGGTTGTCGCTGTAGATAAAGTTGCTGATGCTTCACCAGTGCAGCACAGGGAAGAGGAGTTGGGATATCCCCCACCGGCGGGGCGAGGTGGAGAGTAAAAGAAGGACCTTTGAAGGGGTGTGCAGCAAGGAACATAGGGATCGACCGCCTCCCTCGTGGTTGCTGTGAGTAGGCCTCAGGTAGGCTGCAGGTCCATCTCCCGCGGAGGCTATGGTCTTGGTCTGAGAGATAACAGATTGAATTGCAGCAACTTCGTCCTGTCTCAGGGGTATGTCTGCTGGCTGATTTCTGCAGTGCAGTCAAAATTTTGGCTATAGTAAAGGTTTTCTGTGCAGAGCTTACAAGATGTGCGCCCGACCAGCGCGGCTGCCTTAAATTAAATACGTTTTTAAAAGCCAAACTGAACAAATTAATTCTTGCTTCAAGTTTAGCTAATATGAGGAAATGTATTCAGTTCTAAGTGGTCTGCTTGTGAAAGACCTCCTACCCTGAATAAAATCACCAGAAAGACACTCCAGTGGTGTCTAGGGCTTATCCCCAGTGTACAAATAAATAAAGAAAAAATAATAATATACACATGCAAAAAAACAAAAATTGATATTGAGTGTGGATATGCACTGGAAAATAGTAAACAATGTTACAATAATCACTTAACCAAAAGTAGAGTTGCTGAGAAAGTCTATTAAATCTAAAGCTACTTAGCTTTTCTCCGACTTGGAAATCCTGACTCAAGGGTGCTCCCTAATTAACAGGCTTTATTAATGATGGACACAAGTTGGGGGGATCCTAAAAAGTGGATTGTCCAGAATGCTGTACTATTAGGAAGATCTTAGGGAAATTGGGTTTTCAGTACTTACTATTACAAATATTCACTCCAATATGTGGAGTCAGTAACACACCAATATATGGAGTCAGTAGATAGTCACCTTAATGCCACTTAATTCAGATGTGAGCTCATAAGTATATACCTTTCTTCATAAGTTATGATTGCTAGCATCAATGTGTGAATCCAGGCAAACAAGGTTCAATTATAGTAGAAATCTCCTGTAGTACTGAATAATAAAGCAAAGATACCAGAAAAGCCTCTTTCCCTGGTAAACTAACTAAATAGTCAGAGATTGGAAATAGAGTGTGAAAGAGAAAGTAATAACTTATTAATCCATTATATCATGCTTAATATGTGCATGATGAATAACACCAGTGTGAGTGCCTGTAAATGTGCCCTGTGAAAATCAGAAGTTGCCCTGTGAAAATCAAAAGTTGCCTGACGCGCGTTTCGGTGCACTGTGTGTGCACCTTCGTCAGGGATCAAGGCTAATATGGTCTTAAATTTGAAATTCATGTTGAATTCTCACTTTAGTAAATAACCCTGTAAAACATAGTCTAGTTTGAACTGTGGAGAATAGAATCACGCGATTTAGGCCAACAGATCTAAAGTGGAAGAGTTCACCAACTCAAGTTTTTCATTTTCTAAATCTGTTATTTTGATTCAAATTTGATTAAAATTTGGCAATTCTCAATATAGTATTGAGTATAGTATTTGTATTTGTATTTCAGTAGTTGCTGATATGTGTTTTAGTTATAGTCTAGATATAAGTCAAACTTAAAACACTTACCTTGATCTGATTGTTGCTTAACAGCTGACTTCTATTAAGGTGACTGAATGCTGTGACTCCCCAACCAATGCCCCCTACATGCATGTCTCTGGGCCTAGGGTGGGGTGTGCCTGGGGCAGCACGACATAAATAATCTATTTCAGTGGTGCCCTCTTCTGATGGCATGAATTCTCCAATGAGTTTTGGTCTGTAATCGCCTATATTGTCTGGACCTGTAATATACAGAAGCAGTATATTTTACATGCATTAGCAGTTCTGGAAAATAAAGCAGATAAGCGCTGCCATGAACAAATACATGTTATAGCTCAAAGTTCTACCATAAAATGCTAATTAATCATTTTACCCACAGTAGTATGTATTGATAAGTCATAGATGTACACAAAGCGACGCAAAGCTGATGACGTTTTAAAAATGACAGGGAGTAAAGATAGATTGTTACCAATAATCATACTAGCAGTTTTTTTTATACATTTTAACCAACCAACTCAGTGGCAATACATAGAATACTTATACATGGGGGGGCGGGGCCGGATCATGCTGACTAGTCACATGGAAGAACAGATCCCTCAATTCAGCAAACACAATACGTGTAATTAACAGATAATTATTAGTTTTAGTTAGAGATATCTCAGTTTTCATGAGTGTTACTGACAGTGTATTATAAGTTTATATAACGAACTCTTCAAACAAACGAAAGAATGTGTAAATCTATAAAACAATGTATTACTTCAATTATATCCCTCAAATAATAATTTATTAAAAATGCCATCATGGCTACCCTACTCTGTCGTTCTTTGGTGTTCTTTGCCTTTATGCTCCAAAAAAGCAATATAACCCTTCTTTAAAAGCTAAGACGACATGTACTACAAGGTGCTGGTTCTGGAGCTTGGCCCAAAACTCCGCATTTTGGCCCTGCGAGGGGTCAAATACAAGCATGAAGGCTGAGGCCTACTCAGGCAGAGAGTGGGGTGGACGGCCGCTGCCCTGCTATCCTGCCTGGTTGTAACTAGCCAGACCCTCTCAGCCCTGCTCCCCCCCTTTGGACTGGCGGGGTTTTTCCGGTCCACCCTGGGGCCCTACCACCAGCTACTATCAGCTGAGTCAGAGGCCATGCAGAAGCCTGGCAGCGGAACCTGTCACGCACTCCATGGAGAAGGTGGTCTCCCACGGGGCTCTTGATGCCTTATGCAGGCTACGCGAGCTGAGCTGCACTCATTTCTAGGGGCCCAATCCGGGGACCTCATGGGACCTCTAATGCTGGACTGCAACTCTGTTGGTGGCAGACCAACCAAAATATCAACTGACTCCTCTCTACTTACCACACCTGGCTAGCTTGTGCTGCAGTCGGTACCTGCATTGAGTGGGCTGTTTGTATCCAAGCAGGGTACGTGGAGCGGGTCAGTGGGGACCTGGATAACCCCCGCCGGTCCATGGGTGGGGAGGATAGCATTAGGTGGGGACCACCCGAGCGTCCTTTGAACCAGGAGAGCGGCCGTCTCCCCACGGCTCCAAAACGAGTAGGCCGCAAGCCTTAGGTCGGGCAAATCAGCTGAGGAGGTGCACTTGATGGGCACCCCCAGATGCAGCGTCGACCAGCAATCAAGACGGTTGCTGGCAGCGGGGATTGTGAGTAGGAGTCCCGGGTTTAGTCCCCCAAATTTGAGGCTATACGTGGGAGCTCTTGCTGAACACGTCCGATCCTCACGGCAGTCAAGCTTCGCCCCAACATATGCTATTTGATTAATACTGTCAACTATACACTTGTAATTCTGTCTCAACTATCCTGTATACTTAAGCACATCAAAAATAAAGAATTTAAAATATATATACATACATATATATATATATATATATATATATACACACACACACACATACACATACACAAGTCTGAGCTTCCACAAGTTCAGTTCTCATTGGTTGAAGATGTACCAATGGCAGTAGAGGGTTATATGCAATGGTTTTGTAAGGTGGCTGGCATAACAGGGAGGCCCACTTGGATCACTGTAATGCTGTGAGGTCCAGTTGAAGCCTTTGTAATAATAGCCTTAACTGGGCCATACTGAAGAACTGCTGAGCAGACCCCTAACCTGACCACAATAACAACTGCTGTTGCACTTCTGAGCGGAAACACTGGAAGGATGTGATTTCTTATCATTTCCTTCTGGAGCTATAGGGGTGCTTCACGTGAGAGGAAATGGAGCTGTCAAAGTGTTAAAGTCTGCTAACGTAGACACCTGAAAATCCTCCCTTGCATCTGAAAGTTCACACATTTGTGTGCCTGGAAGTGTATGTTTGGGAGTGTGTATTTGTCAAGGTAAGTGTATGTGTTTGTGTGCATTATCTTTGTATGCATGTTAGTCTTTTATGTGTTTTTCTGTGTATGAGTGTGTCTGGCAGTCTATATACATGCATAAGTGTGTGTCTGTGAGAATGTGTCTTCGTGCATGTCTGAAAATTCATACCCCCAAACTTTGGTATCTCGTTAATTGGTGGGGGAGGGGCAGTTGGGTGGAGTGGACCTGTATGGATCCATCACAAAGAACTGACATTTTAGCCAGGCTGCTTGCTAATCACACAGCCCAGCTCAATGAGCATAGACTTTACATGGACAACTGTTTCATTACTCTCTTCAATGTCCTAGTGCTCTTTGTTTAGAGTGAGCAAGTTTAATGATGCATTCAAACTATGCTTCTTTGGGTTAGCTTTCTAGGAACAAACCCAGGAGGACAGAACCTTGAAATCAGGATCTCTCCCGACGAAAACATGATGATTGGTATGCCTGAGGATGTGTATCGGTATGTGTCTGGGAGTGTATATCCTGTGTGTGTCTGCAAATGTATCTGTGTGCAAGTGTCTGTTTGTCTGTCTATCAATTTACTCTCACACGTTCAGCATTATTACCATGCCAGGACTGTCACAACAACAATTGCATGTTATTTAATAAGTGAGAATTTGTCAACTGTTGGGTAATAGCTTCTTGATCCATGGATAAATCTGACTGCCATTATTATTATTATTATTATGATATTTATATAGCGCCGTCAAATTCCGCAGCGCTTTACAAAGGGTTGACGAAGAGACATGTAGTTGTAACCAGACAAGCTGGACACACAGGAACAGAGGGGTTGAGGGCCCTGCTCAATGAGCTTACATGCTAGAGGGAGTGGGGTAAAATGACACAAAAAGGTAAGGATAGTATTAGACTAATGACAGTTGCAGAAGAGGAATCAGCTGGGGTCAAGAATTAATTTTTTCCTAGTTTGTTGCAAAATTGGAAGTGCTTCAAACTGGGTTTTTTCTTCTTCTTTTGGATCGACAGCAAAAAACAAATATGAGGAAGGCTGAACTCTTTTCAGCCTATGTAACTATGTAACTATGAGAATTGTCAATAATTTAAACTAAATTTTAAGGACAAAGTACTCAAACTGGAAGATTCTGCAAAACAACAATGCGTTCAATTCATCTATTTTGGTGCTGCATTTTAAAGTCCTGACAATTCACGCCTTACTAAAAAAAAAGCCTGTGTATTACTGAACCCTGGCCCTGAATGCGTTAAGTATTTTTAACCTTGGCTCTTTTCGCATGTAATGTACAGGAGTCAGATTTAGCAAGACATTTCTTGGAAAGATTATCAGTACACACGCTAGTCTTAAACCACACACAGCCAGGTAACACTGCAATTTCCCAAGGACGCACAAACACCAAAGAACGACAGAGTAGGGTAGCCATGATGGCATTTTTAATAAATGATTATTTGAGGGATATAATTGAAGTAACACATTGTTATGTAGATTTACACATTCTTTCGTTTGTTTGAAGAGTTTGTCATATAAACTTATAATACACTGTCATTATTTATATAATAAACTGTTAATGTAACACTCATGAAAACTGAGGTATCTCTAACTAAAACTAATAATTATCTGTTAATTACACGTATTGTGTTTGGTGGATTTCCAGCCATTCACATTGCAGCTTTTAAACACTCTACTTATATTATTTGCCTTTTGCCAAATATGCTATCTCTATTGTTTGAGATATGCTTTTATTTTCATTTTAACTTTATTTTATTTTTATTTTTTTTATAAAAGACATTTGATACACAATGCTGTTGCTTGGAGATGTATATTTCAAAGATTTGTTGTAACTGAGATAACTTTGTATACTATTGATACAAGATGTGTCAATAATTACCTTGCCCAGCTACTAGTTTATACACCATAGTCTTGTTGTATCCATAACAGTGAAAGGCCATTTATAGTTAAATTTAAATGGACAAACAATACTGCTTGCTCAGTACTTAATGGGATACATTTAATTGTTGGCATACTTTTTAAAGCTATCAGACATGTATTTTCTATTTTTCCAGGGTATTTAACTCTGCTACAGACAGAAACATGGCGAAGTGACAGGTTTATGAATGCCCAGTAAAACCTCACCTTTTTTTGCCATCAAGGTTTCCATCAGATACTAAATAATATGTCACCAATGAAATGAGAATTACAAAGAATTAACAAATCTAATTGTATGTCAGCAACCTCAGATATTAGTGTCCAAACACCTCCATGCACAAGCACAACAAGACAAACTTGAATTAACTTAACCCTTTCAGTGCTGCAGCCAAGAATAGCAAGGCAAAGTTCAAGTGCCGTGATAGACATAGAGTGGCATTAGGGGCTAAAGCCCTGGATATGGGGTTCTTCAGCCCCAGATCTCTAAGTAGAAGGATATTATTGATTTTGTCATTTTGAGCACACACTAGAGCAGGGGTACGCAACCTTTTAGCAACACTGTGCCAAAATAAGATTGTGATGCCATGTAGCGTGCCGCTCCTATTTTTTAAAATTGAGGTGTGTATGTTGCCGTATTCTGCTTGTGGTATTTATACTGCAGTTGCTTTGTATCGTTGTATTTGTGTGTATATGAGCTGTTATATTGTATTGTATATGTTCATGAGCAGTTTGTGGTATTGTGTATGATACCTATGAATGTGAGCTGTGTATGGAGGTTGCTTGTGGAATTGTGTGTGTGTGTGTGTGTGGAAATGTCACATTGTGTGTTTGGTGGTGTGTGTATGTGTGGGGGCTGTGTGGGGTATTGTATGTGAGAGCCTGCATGTGGCGTTGTGTGCATGTATGTGGATTGTTAGTGGTGTTGCATTTGTGCGGATTGTGTGTATGTTTGTGTGTGGACTGTTTGTATTATTTGTATAAGGGGAGGGTTATTTTGCGTTTATGTGTATGTCTAGTAGTATGGGTGGCTTCCCAGGGGTCCAGTGTGAACCATGCTGGCCAGTTACAGGTCAAGGAGAGGAGCTGCAACAGCAGCTGCGGGCTGCTCTACTCCAGTGTGGATTCCCTTTCACAAGTGCTGGGAGGAACTGGGACATGTCCACTAAAGCACCCTGAATTCCAGACAAAGGATTGAGTGCACTTCCATCACCTACATATACTAAGTGCTGGGAGGAAGTGATCTGATATCATAAATTGCATAAATTGAGGATTGTCCTTCACCACCTTTCCGTATTAGCAGATATCTAACGTTTCACTGGGAATCTTGATAGGCCAGAGCCTGCTTGGCTCTAGCAGCCTTGAATGCCGTGCAAAGACACCTCAAGTGCCATGCATGGCACAAGTGCCATAGGTTGCCTACCCCTGCACTAGAGTAATAACTAGAAGAGCTCGGAGGATAGAGGGAGAGATACAGAGAGGTGTTTTTTTGTTGATTGGAAGACAGGCACAAACAGTTTATAGGCCGTGGGCAGAGAGAGGCAAAGGGGCTTTTAGGGAGATGGAGAGAGGTAGGGGAATAAAATGACAGGATAAGGAGTGAGGGATAGACAAATTCAAAGGTATTATAGCATTTTGATATGGGCTAAAGGCTACAGATTTATTATATTAATATATATTTATTATTATTATATAAGCATTAAATAGCAGTAATATACTAGATCCACCATGTTTTCAGTAACATGTATCACATACACATGTTGATGGGCAGCACATGAAAACAGTTGCCCTGCAGTATGTAGAATTCAGAAGTAGGTGTAGGTTATGTCACTGCCATCTGTATAATGTATGCCCCAATAAAATTTTAATTGACAAAAACAAAAAATGATCTTGGAGAGAGAATTTCCTAGTGACCGCAAATCATGCAGACTTGATCTAATCCAATTAGCATTTTATCATTACTACATCGGTTTATGGGATGTTATTTAGCAGCAGAAAGATTTGTTTTATTTCTGGATAGTTCTTACTCAGGTTTCATGTTACTAATCAATGTCAAGGTTTCCTCCCTAAATCATGACCTTGTCCACTTTCTAATGTAACCCAGGCATGAAATAAGAGTAGCTTTGTATGCAGAGTTATCGTTTTTAATTCGTCATCTGTGCTATCTGTTATCAATTAATTTAATTCTGACACAGCTATTAAAAAAAATAAATGATAAATATGTGTGTGCAATTCTGGGGCCATTAAATATGACATCATACTTTTAGTCTTTCAGAGTCAATTAACCTCAGATCTGACGGCTCCCAGGCTAGCAGTCACAAATGTTTGGAGGGGACCAGAAGCACAGACCTATGCACTGTGAGTGAATAAAATGAGTCTAGAAATTCTTGGACAAGAATTCCTTTCAACTGGAATAATTCCAGGATCTCAACTCTAATAGGAGACAGGGAAAACCTCATATTGCAGGGCAATAAAAAACGTATCAAATTAAAATTATGGCTGCTGGTTCCTTCTAATTGGGGCATATTTGGCCACTGTGAATTCATATTTCCTGTATATTACACATATTTATATGGCATGGGCAAGACTTAACAACAATAATTTCAGATATCACTTATGTATTTACCCAACTCCATACTCACTATATTGTTTTCTAGACAACCACCGCTCAGCATGCCCATGGATTTATGCTATTTTGCTGTAAAATATGAACTTTACAAAAAAATGAGTGTGTGAATGTAGTTATCTAATTACATGGTAGAGATACTTGAATATCGACAATTTGGTTTGTAGCCTAATGCGAAAACAGAATCCCCAATTTACAAAAGGAATCCATTCTATATTATATGACTGGTTGGGCATTGTCTACTGACTATAAAATATACAGCAAACTATGTATTTCCCAAATTTCTCAGAGTATTCATGTACTCCCCATAGCACTCACCTACGTCCCGCAGTATTTAAAGTCCACCAACAGCATTCACACATTGCTCACACATTTACATCCATCCACACTATATACATAGTACACTACACACACAGAAATACATGCAATATCATATAAGGTGCTTTTTTTTTCCTCTTAAACAAGCAGTGCCCTGGCCTCCCCTCCCCTCCCCTGTCAGTTCTTACATTGGCTTACCATAAGAAATAGGGCTTAATTTAGAATTTTGGTACTTGACTACAAATCTCTCCATACTCCTGATGCTACCTGTCCTCACTGATATACAAGAATGTCCAGTTTAGGCCGCTACACTCTGCCAAAGACCTACGTCTATCCTCTGTCTGAATGCCCACCTCTGATACTCACGTACAAGACTTCTCTAGGCCTGCACCGTCACTGTGGAACTACCTTCCCTACCCCATTAGACTCTCACCCAGTCTCAGTTCCTTCAAAAGATCATTAAAAACTCACTTCTTTAGGAAAGCATTTCATTTAAACTTGTATTAACCTTCTTTACCCACTCCTTGCTTCCTCTCCTGCCTCTGTCACCCCAAAAAAACACCCTGCAAGGATGGGCAAATGATAGATCCCCAGCTCGTATAACATTGTAGGTATTGTACGACAGATGGAGATCTGGCCATTCATGCGCTTAAGGGGAGCCAAAAACAATTTCTTCTACGAGGGCCTACTTTAAATAATCCTTTCTTCTACCAGGGTCTGCATTCAGTGTACTTGAATGCAGTTGTATGTGAAGTGTCTGTTTGTATTAAAGCAGAGGTATATTTGTATGGATGTATATTATTGAATTGTGTGCATGTATATTTATGAATTCAATCCAGGTGTATATTTATCTGGTGTGCCAGTGTGTAAATGAAAGGAAGTGCAAAAAGAATGCAGCTACATGTGCAACCATGCTTGCAAGCACATACATTTTTAACAATGCATTTTAATAAAATTAGTCTTCTAAGCAAATTAAAAGATAAAAATCTTCTAAGAATTCTACAGATTTCATTCAGCAGCCTGTAACCAGAAATCAGAATGATCACTTCCAAAATTCAAGTATGACGATCTCATTGACATCATATAGCAGTGGCCCTCGGTAAAAACTTCGGTTAGCCATCTGGCCCCTCTCTAAAAAGGTTGTGCACCCCTGATATACTGTATGTGGGCATTATAATAAAAACGAGTTTAGCTGGTCTAGTACATTTGCCGATCATCAAAAATCGTGGCATAATCTTACCAGAAACCATTTCCAAAATTTGAATTGTAGTGTGAACATGTTTATAATGTATTTTAAAAATCCGCTAAACTTATGAAATTATTCGATGGTACACATTAACCCCTTAAGGACTCATGACGTGTGACATGTCATGATTCCCTTTTATTCCAGAAGTTTGGTCCTTAAGGGGTTAAATGGCATTCCTTCCGTTTCCATATTTATTTCTGGAAATTCTGTATTAATTCTGTGTATAAAAGACAAACAGTACTTCTACATCATGAAATCCTCATGTGTGCTGTGTGATGTTTGCTGATATTGCACATTCAATATAGATATTTTGCAGATAGAAGACAATCAAAAACACACATCTGATACAATGCTGCATTATTAAAAAGACATGACCACAATTTTAGAAACAAGTATACAGATGTGATTAAGAGATAAGAAATCTAAACACACTCATAACATTAAAGTAATTTCTAGATCAGGCATAGGCAACCTTCGGCACTCCAGATGTTTTGGACTACACCTCCTATGATGCTTTGCCAGCATTATAGGTGTAAGAGCATTATGGGGAATGTAGTCCACAACATCTGGAGTGCCGAAGATTGCCTATCCCTGATCTAGATTATCACACACCCTATATTATGAAAGTAATACCATTGAGGGATTTTGGTATTATCATAATAAGGGCAAGGGCTAGGGATAGAGTTAGGGTTCAACCACTAGTGATACCTTCTCCCTAATACCATCAATTTTAAAGTGTCTTCACACTTGGGATCATCACATGCAGCATGATTAAAGCAGGCTTAAAGCAGCTAATGTTCTTCTTTATAAGAAGCATCAGACTAGCAGAGCACGAGATGTTGGTCCAGAATGGTTATTTAACACGGTTATTCACTAAGCAGAGAATTGTTGAGAATTCAAAGTGAATTTCAAATTTCAAAGGCCAATGTAGTCAAACTCCTATGAATGCTGATTTGGAGAATTTTTCCAGTTCAGCCATTTTGGTCTTGAATATGAAATTCACTTTAAGCTTGCTTGTAATTCTTGACAATTCTCTTTTCAGTGAATAAACCTGCATGAGAAGCATTGGATTTATCAATCCTGGTGATTTCATTGTGTGCTGCAACAAGACAGATGTAATTTTAAAGGCTGTTTTTTTTGTGTCTAATAATGGGCAAGGGGTTCCTGAATCTAAAGGAAAAAAGATAAACAAATAAATAAATATATATATATATAATGGGCAAGTATACATATATCTATAAATATATATATATATATATATATATATATATATATACAGTTGCAAGAAAAAGTATGTGAACCCTTTGGAATGATATGGATTTCTGCACAAATTGGTCATAAAATGTGATCACAGTCACAACAATCACAGTCTGCTTAAACTAATAACACACAAAGAATGAAATGTTGCCATGTTTTTATTGAACATACCGTGTAAACATTCACAGTGCAGATGGAAAAAGTATGTGAACCCCTAGACTAATGACATCTCCAAGAGCTAATTGGAGTGAAATGTCAGCCAACTGGAGTCCAATCAATGAGATGAGATTGGAGGTGTTGGTTACAGCTGCCCTGCCCTATAAAAAACACACACCAGTTCTGGGTTTGCTTTTCACAAGAAGCATTGCCTGATGTGAATGATGCCTCGCACAAAAGAGCTCTCAGAAGACCTACGATTAAGAATTGTTGACTTGCATAAAGCTGGAAAGGGTTATAAAAGTATCTCCAAAAGCCTTGCAGTTCATCAGTCCACGGTAAGACAAATTGTCTATAAATGGAGAAAGTTCAGCACTGCTGCTACTCTCCCTAGGAGTGGCCGTCCTGTAAAGATGACTGCAAGAGCACAGCGCAGACTGCTCAATGAGGTGAAGAAGAATCCTAGAGTGTCAGCTAAAGACTTACAAATGTCACTGGCAAATGCTAACATCCCTGTTAGCGAATCTACAATACGTAAAACACTAAACAAGAATGGATTTCATGGGAGGATACCACAGAGGAAGCCACTGCTGTCCAAACAAAACATTTCTGCACGTTTACAGTTTGCACAAGAGCACCTGGATGTTCCACAGCAGTACTGGCAAAATATTCTGTGGACAGATGAAACCAAAGTTGAGTTGTTTGGAAGAAACACACAGCACTATGTGTGGTGAAAAAAAGGCACAGCACACCAACATCAAAACCTCATCCCAACTGTGAAGTATGGTGGTGGGGGCATCATGGTTTGGGGCTGCTTTGCTGCGTCAGGGCCTGGATGGATTGCTATCATTGAAGGAAAAATGAATTCCCAAGTTTATCAAGACATTTTGCAGGAGAACTTAAGGCCATCTGTCTACCAGCTGAAGCTCAACAGAAGATAGGTGTTGCAACAGGACAATGACCCAAAGCATAGAAGTAAATCCACAACAGAATGGCTTAAAAAGAAGAAAATATTCCTTCTGTCAGAGTCCTGACCTCAACCCGATTGAGATGAGGTGGCATGACCTCAAGAAAGCGATTCACACCAGACATCCCAAGAATATTGCTGAACTGAAACAGTTCTGTAAAGAGGAATGGTCAAGAATTACTCCTGACCGTTGTGCACGTCTGATCTGCAACTACAGGAAACATTTGGTTGAAGTTATTGCTGCCAAAGGAGGTTCAACCAGTTATTAAATCCAAGGGTTCACATACTTTTTCCACCTGCACTGTGAATGTTTACATGGTGTGTTCAATAAAAACATGGCAACATTTCATTCTTTGTGTGTTATTAGTTTAAGCAGACTGTGATTGTCTATTGTTGTGACTTAGATGATGATCAGATCACATTTTATGACCAATTTGTGCAGAAATCCAAATCATTCCAAATGGTTCACATACTTTTTCTTGCAACTGTATATTTATTTTTTCCTTTAGATTCAGGACCCCCTTGCCCATTATTAGACACAAAAAACAGCCTTTAAAATTACATATTTAGGTTTTTTTAAATTTTATTTTATTTTTTAGTAGTGCATATAATAATTACAATCTGGCTCCAGGTACCCCAACGGCATTCCTCGAGCTGCTTGGCACAGATAACAAATAGGGTAGTTGCTAAGCAGTGCACATTTTTTTAAAAGTAAAATAAGTACAGGATTAGGTTACATGCGGGTATTATGTTCTTTTTGTTAGTTGCTGGATGCATGCTGTATATGTGAAATGCAAAATGCCACCCCTTAAGCCCCTGTAGCTACACATGAGTAATGTAAATTAGGCTGGTATATTATGACAGGTAAAGTTATTGCAGCGATTTCACCTAGATTAGTTACGATTAACGAATAATGAGGTCGTGTTCAGATAGTCCCCTTGTGCCTCTGTTTAGCTTATGCCTTCCGGTGGTCTGCCTTAGTTGCGACTCTCACAAGGTCGGTTGGTGGGTGCTGCGCGACAGTCTGGGAGTGGTGTGCGGAATCCGACTCGATGGACCCGGACTGGAGAGTGGCGTGTCGCGGGGTGAGGGTTGATGGTCTCTGCTATTGGGCGAGCGCTGATCTGCTGTGCCCCTTTCTCCACCGTCGTTTGCTGGTCCATCTCCCCAACGGAGCCCAGAGCTCATGACGAGGCTCCAGAGTTGAGCTTCTTGTTAGGTTGCCAGTATGTGAGCTTGTCGCTGGTCATTGTGGGTGTCAGATGTATTTATGTTTCTAATCCACATTGGTTGCGGCTGATGTGGGGGGACCCCTTCCTTGCACTCTGTGTTTGGTGCTGTTACACGCGGCCTCCGCCATCTTAGGTGTATCATCTGGGTTGCGGGTCGATTTGGCAATGTTGCGAGGCCTTATCCGTTTTGTGGAGGTCGGGGCTTCAGGGTGAGGACCGGGATCACCCTCACCGGTCCAGAGGGGGGGTGAACAGAGCCGGTTCCTCAAGGGTCTGAGCCCTTGGCTGGGCACCTTTAGGCGGGATAGCGGGGCAGCGGCCGGCCACCTCACTCACCGCCGGAGTAGGCCTCAACCATGGTAGTGAAGATTCCACCTCCAGGGGACTAATACTAGTTGAGCCAGCCTCACCCTGGATCCAGTGCACTCTGCCTGTCGAGGGCCGCTGTTGCTGGTCAGCAGAAAGGACAAAATCATGTTGTTATGGCTTAATTGTTTGGTTCCTTGCAGGAGCTGGTCTGTCTTGTGACCGTCCAGCTTGGCGGTCCGCCCCCCCCTTTAGATTTTTTTTTAATATTAGCGTGTTCTTTAAACCTATGACAGTACCATGGTATAGATGTACTGATGTGCCAGTGACTGGTGGGTGTTGTATTTACAGGATATATGCTTTGTATCACCATTTAATATCTCAAAGTCTTCTCTCATCATATTATTATTATAAGGATTGAATAAAATAATGGTGAAAGCTTAAAAAAGGCATTACCATAACCCAAGCCTACCCTTAGCCCTAAGCATAGAGTTAGCGCTAACTAAAATGCCGAACTGAGATTAGACAATGCGTCAATCATACCATAAATAACAGTTTTTAGCTCGCAGTACGACATCATCCTGTGTTCTGAATTGGATTTGGAAACATGATCTTCCTGTTGAAAGATCATGTAATAAAACAAAACATTACTTGAATATTAATATGATGCCATTCATGTTAGACAATCAGTTACATTTATAATATACTGTCCACATTCATTTGTTTATGTGCTCTGTTAAACTGTAACTTCTTTTCTAAAATTCCATAAATAAACTGACTGTTACAGATTGGAAAACCAACACCAGATCACAACATCTCTAAACATGCTAGTAGTAAGTACGTGTCATTAATATTATTTTGTTTAATCCTGACACCAAGGAGGTTTATTGAAAACAACTTATGAATTCATGGGAAAAGAAGCATTTGTAAATATGTCAAAATATGTTCCCAGCTGAAGTAATGTGATGCGCTATTTCGTATCCACAAAGTTTACAGAGAATGCCTGTGTGAAAGCTCTGTGTAAAATGCCTATATGACTTAATTCACTTAGAGGGTTAATCACCGATTACGGAATAGTCCTAAATTCACCAGGGAATAGAACATTGAAAGCCAAAATAGCAAATGTACTACTAAGTAACCAGCCATACTTATGTCATATAACATCAACCCATCACATGGATATTCTATTTTATGACAGCCATCTTGATCTTTAAAGCCCTAAATAATGAGAGTCTATTTAAAGCTCTGTCACTTTGCCGATTTTGCTTTTAAATTGATCCTTCTCTTGTCCCTCTATGTCTCCTTGTTTTTATTTTCTGTAAATTCATGCTTTTTTCTAGTTTTACATGTATGGACTATATTTTTTCACAGAGAGCATGATTTGTGGCAAATATTGGCAATGGGTGCACTTTAAGCAAAGTTCAATTGCAGATGTTAAGCTGATTTACCCAGAATCCATTCTTCAAAAGAATCCCACAGAAGGCAAACTCCAGACATCATGGAGAGAGGAAAACAAAATGGCTGCACCAAGATATTGAGATAAGGAAGAAAAGATTCATATGAATATAGGCGGGAGATAATCAGTAAGACACAAAGGGCATAGTGAAAGGAAAATTGAAAGAAAGAAAGAAAAAAAATACGGTACATAAGCCACTTTAACCTAAATACCTAAATGATTTCCTGTTCTCCCACATTCAATCTGTCAAATATGTGCAACCTTTTTTTTTTTTAGAGTAACACTTCTAGTTGCAGTCACTGAGACAGACACTAGAGATGCTTTCTTGACCAGTGTGACATTCAGCGTCTCCATGCTCTGTATAACTAATGATCTCAGAGCCAGCCATGAGGAGACCCGTGCGGCACGGAAACTACCTTTCTCATGGGGGTGCTGGACACCTAGATGGTGTTTTCCCACCTATAATGTAATATATTTGTATTCTGGACACTATGGTGTTCTTTTAAAAAAATTATCAACTCTTCATTTAACAAAAAAGTTATAGTGCCTATTGTGTTCCTGTAAGTGAATAAAAATGAATTATTCCAAATACCACAGCTTATACACAGTCTCCTAAATCTAAACTTGCCACAAGCTTTGCTATTGTGTATTGTGCTTAAATTGCCCCGTTAACATAAAATGAACTTGGAAAACATTGACATTGAAACTAATTCACAAATTTAGAGTTTTAATTTAATAGAAAAATAAATTGTTGTAGACAAACCGTAAAAGTTTGATATTTTTTGGATGCGGCTACTAGGGCTTGTGTTTGCATATCATGCGATTTAGTGAAAGATAATATAAAGAACACATTTGGGGTAAAAGTTTTGATGTGAAGAAATCAGCAGGAACATTCGATTTGTTTCCAGGGTGAGGGCTACAATTTTAGAATTTTTCTCTCCATACACAACTTCTAATGCTTGTTGAAATATAGTAGCTCGTTAAATGCCAGAAGGGTTATTGACTGCTGTTTACTGTTAAAGTAAGCATGTCATTATGTTGACTTGATCTGCCTATCCCATGTAAGTGTCAGGGTATTAAAATAAAAACTAGATGTATTTCCTACCTGTGAAAAGTATCCTCTGGCCTGACCCAGCTGGTTTACAGGACGGTAAGGATGTAGAGGTCCTGCCATGCTGCTTCTGAATCATTCTTTTCCCCTGGGCATCCAAATGGCATGAGATAGCTTTGTATGAATGAGCTAATATGCAGCCTGATCACTTTGTAGTCACTGTGCAGTGTAATCGCAATCTGACCTGACTGTCTTTTGGCCAAACAATATCTCCTCAGCAACAGTGTAGCCGGGCCAACTAGCAGATCACATTGCTTAAAGGACTGAATTGAAAATGGTCCTTTTAAAAAAAAATAGCCCAAGGCACTTTAGTGCTACAACGGGGAGCAGGATGTTAAGGCAACACAAATGAGGTAGATTTATACTTCTAATTTGTGATAAATTTTCAGTGCAATTTATTAAATCTGATGGCTTTTATTTTCATCTTTTTCATCCTAACAGTCATTTTTTAATATATCCAATTTTTGCCAATACAACAAATGTATTAATATTAATTAGACTTTTTCAGACAGAGAAGTATTCTGTTTCACTTCTCTGTGTTCTGACACTCTAAGTTTGGTGATCTTCTGAACTAGAAAATTCTGCAAAAATTGACCAAATATACCATGGGAAAAAAACATCACGTATTTGTTTATTTTTAAAACATTTAATAAATAGGATTAAAACAATAATAGAATTTAGCAGTCACTTCAGAGCACTTTGATAAATCTCCTCCATTGTGTACATTACGTATCGGACAATGTGGCATAATTCGAAATCATGTTGATCTCAGAGTTATTGATTGACATGAGAATTATAATACATATCACAAAAACATAACGAATATACATTATTATTATTATTATTGTTACCATTTATATAGGCCAGTGAAATAACTCAGTTGGCTAATACATCATAGAATCTGTTAAACCCTTGGGTCACAGGCTCCAATCTCGGCAGGGTTGACTAAGCCCTGGTAAATGGTAAAATGAGTACCATTAAATTGGGTAATAGTAACAACCCCTGGATGTTGGGCTAAGGTATCATCCCCAGAACGTACTTAAAAACCAGAGTAATCTGAATGTACCTTCCCTGGTTAAATACTTTGTTATTATTATTATATAACGCCAACAGATTCTGTAGCGCTTTACAATATTATTAAGAGGGGGCGGGGGGTTAACTATAAATGGGACAATTGCAAGAAAACTTACAGAAACAATAGGTTGAAGAGGACCCTGCTCAAAATGAGGTGGGGTGTAAAACACAATTGGACATCAATTAATAAATATTTTTTTTTGCCATTACTACCTAACAACCCATTGCATTAAATGTTCCTTTTGTAACTAGAATAAATAGATGACAACAGGTCAAAACTATTTAGCTCTTTATTACCCATTGGAGATATGCCTTTAAGTGCATCTCCTCGCTTTCCATTGTAGTGTGGGGGCAGCCATCTTTAAGCTTTGGTCGTAAGGAAGCACCCCCTATCCATTATTATCACACAAAATCTGAATGTGTGAAACCACCACACCACTAGCTCTTATAATGTTTTATTTAAAATGATTATTAAAATAATAAAAGAATAAATAGCCTTTAGAGTTGTTTTTAGAAAGGCCAGGAGGTCAATGAATTTTGAGATTTTTTTGATTTTGCATCACTGAAACACTGCGCACTTTTACATACTTAAAAACTAATTTCAATTTTTATTTTCAAATATTTTATTAATTATTAGTGCTGTTATATCCCATGACAAACGAGGTACTAGATAATTTGTATAATGACAAGCTTATGTAACAGAGAAATGATAAGGAAATACAGATTATTTAATTATGTTATGAAACATAAAAACCAAACCACGGATAAACAATTTTGTGTCGGCCCAGGATGAGTTCTATCATGACATTGTAGCATCGAATAGCACAAGTATGAATAAATATAAGAAAACATTGGCTAAAATTATTAAAATAAGCAAACATCTCCATGGAAGCCATATAGTGTGCAATGGTAAGCATTCAATAAGGAGCAGCTGGTCAATACCAATAGCTTACCCTCATTCTCAGAGTGACCCCCTGCATCCACTTATCTTCTATAGGTTTTCACGCTTTGGTGGGCTGGTTAATTTATGATGGGATGGGCCAAGGGACATAGGGACTCCAATAAAGCAGTCTGCCAAGGTAATGGACGAAGAGGTTCCCCAGATAGCACATTCTCAATGTACAGTCATCAGATCTGGTCCATAGGTAAGTTCTATTAAACATGTTTTTAAGATGGTATTGGGACACATTTGGAAGACTCAATCCACACCCCACTCCTCGGCTTCATGAGGATTGAATAACTCAGTTTAGGCTTATTATTGGCCCACACAAATCTCATGGTGGCAGCAAGCACAGAGCCAAAGAACGAAAACAGAATTTGCCTATGGATGTGGGACACATTCATTTTGATAATACGAGCTCTAATAATAAATTAAAATGAGGGAGATTCCATTTGGACAAATGAGAAACTATTTTATTTCGTAGAAAGCATCTACATACATTAAAGGGACACTCCAGGCACCCATTCTGCCCATTGGAGTGGTCTGCCTGCCAACTCCCATCACCCTTAACCCTGCAAGTGTAATTATTGAAGTTTTTATAAAGACTTCTGGCTTCTTAAAACACGAAAAAGTGTTTTGAAATGACGATGGAGGTCCTCAGGCTATGCACAAGGACCTCTAGCAGTGCCAGAATCCTCATAGGAAAGCATTGAATAAGGAGCGTGGGCGGAGCCTGACTCGGCGCTGGATTCAGGTAACTTACTGAAGAGATATAGTACCAAAAAACACAAAATACAATAATACGTGTTTAAAAATATAAAAAACAGACTTAACTTTATGACAACTTCCCACGGCAACTTTTCCACATAGATGCCCGGTAGAACAAAAGTATACGAGAAAGGGGGGTAACCGTTGTCAAAACCTATAAAAAAATTACCAACTCATAGTGAAAACCATAATATGCATGTAAACAGACAGGCTCATCAGAAGCACTCACAAGTTGTAGACTATTAATGCACATTCAGGGTGCCACCCCTAATCCTTTAGGGGGTTAAAGCATGGATCCACTGGACTCTGAGATCCGGATACCGAAATAGAGCAGGAACCAAAATAGCAGTAGAAAAATATTAATAAAAAAGCACTGGTTCAACGCATTTCATTCAATTAGAACGTCTTCAGGGACCTAATTTTTTTTCCTGTACACTGGGAGAGGGAGCGCCTGCCCCTTCTGCTCTGTGTAGGAGCACTGGGTGTCACGTGACTACCAGGCGCTCAGTGTGACTCAATGCACCAGCCACTGAAGAATGATAGGAGAGATGCTATGAATGGAAGGGGCGGGGGATGCTATGAATGGAAGGGATAGAGGGGATGCTATGAATGGAAGGGGTAGGGGGGATTATGAATGGCAGGGATAGGGCGAGCTATGAATGTAGGAGAAGGAGCAGGAAGGAGAAGGAACAGAAATGAGCAGGAAGGGACGTCAAGGAGCAGGAAGCGGCAGGGAGGGTCTGCAAGGAGCAGGAAGGGGAAGAAATGAGCAGGAAGGGTAGCAAGGAGTAGAATGGTCTGCAAGGAGCATAAATGGTCAGCAAGGAGCAGGAAGAGTCAGCAAGGAGCAGGAAAGGACAGCAAGGAGCAGAAAGGGAAAGCAAGGAGCTGGAAGGGGCAGCAAGGTGCTGGAAGGGGCAGAAGGAGCACCAAGGTAAAGTAGGAGAAGGACCAGAAAGGTTCTGCAAGGAACAGAAAGGGTCTGCAAGGACCAGAAAGGGATCAGAAATAGAAATGAGCAGAAGAGCACAAAAGAAGCAGAAAGTAGCAGAAAGGCAGGGCCACCATCAGGGCATGACAACCGCAACGGTTGTCATGGGCCCGGCGGTCCTGGGGGGCCCGGACTGCTCAGGTCGTCCGGGCCCCACATTCAGTGGGTACATACCGGGTCGCAGGGGGCCCTGCGACCCCGGTATGTACCCACAGGGCCAGCCTCTTCTCCTGGGGGGCCCAGCAGAGGCTGGCCCTGCAGACACCCGGCGGGCGGTCCGGCGGGCGAGGGAGCACTCTCTGTGTGCTTCCTCTTCAGCTCC